AATATTAAAATATTAAGTATTTTAGTAGTCTTATAAATAAAAGTCTCTATAGTTAGTATACTCTATTATATATTAATAAAGCGGAAAATAAGATCTTCTTATTTATAGATAGTAAGATCTCTATAAGTAATAGCTTTATCTCGTTCCTATACTATTTATTCTAAATAGAGCTCTAAGTTAATTTTATTAGCTTAGAGGAAGAAAACCTTTTCTTTAAGTTATTTATATATCCTTACTAGTTCTATAAAGCGATCCTTAGTAGGAGTCCTCTATAGATATATACGTATAGAGAAACCTTCTCTAATATCGCCTTTCTCTTCTTTAGTATTTTTAAGTTAGATTATATCGTTAATCGGGGTCGTCGGTTAAGGAATATTCTCCTTCTTAGGTTCTTTATTAGAGTTATTTATAGTAGCTCGCTACTTACTATAATCTTCGGTTCGTCGGGTACCTACTATCTTAATAAGTAGGTCTAGTTTTCGGTTAGGGTTCGGGATCTAATCGGGATTAAAGGTTAGTACTAAGAGGCGAAAAGTAGGGATAAGACGGAGCTAGGATTAATTATAATAATAATCTATATAGCTATACCTAGACCTAGTAGTGACCCGTAGGTGACCCTTATAACCCTTAGACCGCCCCGCCACTAGGGCGGTTCGAGGGTCTAACCTCCCGACCCTAAGGGTAGTCTACCTAGGGGTTAGACCCTTAGAGGGTGACCCTTAGGGTTATCTATAGGTCTATAAATAGGATAAATAGGTAAATCTCGTAATATATATAATTTATATAGATTTACCTTATATTTTTAAGTATCTTAATTATAGTAACTAAACTTCTTTAGGGAATATTTTATAATTATATAATATTCTAAGGCTATAGAAGCTTTTAAAGTATATTCTTAATTCTATTTTCTATCTACTATATATCTATTAAGCCTTCTTAATACCTTTTAAACTCTTCTAGATAATCGAGGAAGAGGAAGTCTACTATCTTTATCGATATTATTCTCTAGATTAGATTATATCTTATTACCTTTACTTAGTAAGCTACTTCTTTATCTCCTCCTAAGAATAGTATATAGAGATAGTTATAAAATAGGTAGTAATTAGATTTATTTAACTATATCTTCCTTAGTATTACTAATTAGTTTAAATAAAGTAGTATCTATACTACTTACCTCTATTAAAGTTATAATCTCTTAAGAAGTTAGATACTCTTAAAGAATTAGACGCTAGTTCTCCTATAGATTAAATCTTATTATATATATAAATATTATAATATCCTAGATTATCTTTAGCTTTAGGGAATCTTATTAATAATAATAAATATCGCGCGTAAAGTTAAATAGCTACTTTATACTTATACTAATAGCTAGAATAAATATAATATTATAAGTAATACTTATAAGAATAGACTATTTATATTAGCTATCTTTCTAAAAAGTATAAAGTAATAAATATTATAATACTAAATTTATATAAAAGTTAGTTAGATATAATAAATTAAGATAGATATTAAGACTAACTAATATTAAAATATTAAGTTAGCTTATTCTTATTTAAAGTATTAAACTATAGAGAGTTATTTAACTCTAATATAGACTTAAGCTTAGATATTCTAACTCTTAATAATAAACTATTTAATAATAACTAACTCTACCTAATATTAAACTACTCTTTATAGCGCTTAACTTAGATCTTAAGACTATCTTTATAAATATTTTTCTAAGAAGTCTTAGTAGGATCTTCGGATTTTTATTCTTTTATAAAAAAAAATTAAAGCTTTTAAGTTAGAGATAAAATTATACTAATAGTATAAAGATACCTATTAATACTATCTATATCTTTATAGTATTTTAAAAGCTTTTCTAATATAGCTTTAAATATAGATTATATAAATTATTTCTAAAGAACTTTCTTCTATCTTAATATAGTAATTATATACTTAAAATAATTAAAAAGACGATTATATATTATAAAAATAAGATAAATACTTAAGTCTTTAGTCTATAATATAAGACTAATAAATCTAAAGAATAGCTCTAGAATAAAAAGTAGATACTTAATCTACCTCTATTCTCCTAAGCTTAGTATAAAATAAGACTACTTATACTATAAATAGAAGGTATTAAAAACTAACTATAGTCTTTTTATCTATTAAAGTATTAGAAATATTAAGTTTTATTATATTTTTATATTTTAGATTAGAATAAGTTTAGACTCTTAATTTTAAAAGGTATAGAATATATCTTAATACTATAGGCTTATATTAATATAAATAGTAAAACTATAAATCTAGATAGACTATTAGTATATAGAAATAATATTAAGGAATTAGCTTACTTTATTAAAGGTATTTATAATCTTATACTTTTTTTAATATATATATAGCGCTCTTATATAGTTATTAGACTAATTTAGCTTAGTAGTATTATTACTTAAAGATACTTTTATCTTCCTAAATAAATCTATAAGACTAATTTAGATAATATAAGTAATATATAGTATATAGATAATAGTAGAATTAATATTTAATTAAATTATCCTTACTAAGTTATTTATAGCTTAAAGTAGTATTATATTATTTAAAATATTATTAATAGTAATTATAAATACTCGATTAAGAATATTATATTTTTATAGTATTTAAGTAATAACCTTACTAAGATTTATACTAGAATAGGTATTAAAAAGTAGCTTAAAGTTAAAGAGAATCTCTTAGTACTTTTACTCTTTATCTAAAAAATAGTCTATAACTACTATAAATACCTACTAAAATAGCGATATCTAATAGTCTAGTATAAGAGAGAGCTTTATCTTTAGTAGTAGACTTTAAAGTAGTCTCTTTTAATATTTATTAATAAATCCTTTTAACCGCTTATAGATAGTATATTATAAAAGAATAGTAGGTATAGTTAGAGTAAGATATATATATTTAATAATATTAATAAACTCCTAATATTTAAAGAATAAAAATAGAAGATATAATATAGTAATAAGATTTAATAATTTCTATTTCTAAATATCCTATAAGAATATAAGAGTTAATATATTTAATATCTATATATTAGTTAATAAAGAAGATAATATTAGGAAAAATAATATATAGCTATCTTAAGTAAAGTCTTAATATTTAGTCTTCTTAATATAAATTTTATATAATTAACTCCTTTCTAATACTTATTTATAGATAAAGTATCTATATAAATAACTATAAAATAATTAAAAATCTTTTAATACTATTTATATATTATATATAGTTTCCTATCTTTTATATTTACTACTTAATTAAAAGACTTCTAGTATTTAGCTTAATAGTATATATCCTAGTTAATATATTTAGACTTCCTAAATTCTATCTAAAGCTACTATTTAATAAATTCCTTACTTATTATATTACTATATAAGGCGAAGGAATTAATATAGTTAGGATTAAGTATCGTAATAAAGAGAGGTAAAGATAGATATTATAAAGGGCTTAGAGAAGTAAATCGAGAATTATTATATACCGATATTAAGATTTATTAACTACCTAATACGTAAAAGGTTATAAATAGAGTATTATCTAGAATAAGATATTAAAAAGTATCTAATAGTACCCCCTTATAGTTTAAGGAAGTATAAGTATTAGAAAATTACGATATACTTAATATAAATATATAAATAGAAAGATAATAAAGAGTAAATAATCTATAGTTAATTATTTTCTTAAAGTTAAGTATAAGAGGTATAAATATACGATTTACTAAGTTAATATATTATATTCTTAAATAAGCTATTATTATTAGTTAGTTTATTATATATTACCTATAGTAAATCTTAATAAACCTTATTTTAACCCTTAATAAACCTTATAGATCCTCTATAACCCTCGTTCTAACCCTTAACGAACCTTATAGACCCTTTATAAACCTTATTTTAACCCTTAGTAACCCTTTTAGACCCTCTACGAACCTTATTCTAACCCTTAGTAAACCTTAGACCTCTAATAAACCTTTTAATTAATATAATATATACTATAGATATATATCTCTACTCTATTATAGACTAATAACTTCTACTACCTATTATACTTCTTTCCTACGGTCGTATAATATAAAAGAAGTATAAAACTAATAGAACTATTAGTAAAAAATAATATTATTAAAATAATTTAAGATATTCTATAACTTTAATAGTTAAGTGTTAGTGTTTATAGTCTAATAGATAAAATAGGTATAAATAATAGTATTTTATTAAGATAAGTAATTAGTTTTATCCACCTATATTAGGTTTAGCGCTAGAAATTTATATATCCGAGGGTCGCTACGGGTTATTAAGGGTCACCCGCATACGACCCTTATAGAACTAGGGTTAGGGTCAGGGTCGCTTATAAGCGACCCTAAACCTCGGAGGGGCGGGTGGAGGGTCTAAGGTCATGGACCACCCGGAGGGTCACTGCTAGATCTAGCTATACCGTCTTATAAAATTTAAAGAGTAGTCTTAGTATTATGTTACGAGCTAGATCTTTAAAGAAAGAGTGTAATTTAACGAAAATACTAAGACGGAGAAATAAAGGAAAAGAGGAAAGGAAACTCGCTATCGCCGAGTTTTAGAGAGTCTTTGAGTTATAAACCTCACAAACCTTTGACCCACTCTGCGACAACCATAGTCACGTGACTTAGTTTCCTTTCCACGATCGTCACATAGCTTAATAGATTCCTATAGAATATAAGAAAAAGGCGAAGAGCTAAAAGGATAAAGTAGAAAACCGATAAAGCTATCTTATAGGTTTAGAGTAAGGAAATAGTTCTAATCTATAACTTAGTAATTTAAATTAACCTAAAACTTTACTCTTATATCGCCCCGTTATAGATAAGCTCGGTGCCTTCTAATTTTACGTTATCGTGTTTTAGTGTTATTAATTTTTAAGGGGGAAGCGAGACTAAAGGATCGCGTACCTTAAAAAATCGGGGTATAGTAAGAAGTGAGGGCTATTAAAAAGTGATCGCAAAATAAATAATATTATAGGCTAAAGTGCTCTCTTAGGTATGGACTAAGCGTAGACTAAGTGCTTAATAGATAGCTCTGATTAGCCTAAGTAATCAGTGAGCAATCAGTGAGTGGTCAGTGAGCGCTCAGTGAGCGCTTAGTGAGCATCCAATCACAATCACTAAGCGCTCACTGAGCGCTTATTGGACCTCACGGCTTTGTCACATAATGTACCAAAGCAGCTCACTGAGTCTGAGCCCGGACTGAAATTTACTCAGTGAGCCTGACTCTGAGCGCCCTCGTAAAAGCGGCGGCAGCTAAGATAGGAAAGCCCCACCCGGCAGAGGAAAAATGGTACGTAGAGCTACCTAGGTACCTCGACCTAGGTAGTAGCCCTTTACCTATGTATGTACCTATGTATGTATCGTAGGTTCCAAGGTTGCTCCAGAACTGCGTTGGTGATGACCCAATCCACCTCAAAATGTGTCGGAGCTATATCCAGCCCGTTGAAACACACATCCGCGCCCCGTATGGATCAGCTGGTAGCAAGCATCGGTCACATAATGTGCAACCGCCTAAGCCCGAGGATGAGCTGGAGCTGGGACTACCTGACAGACCCTATGAATGGGAGATAGAAGCAACTAGTGAGATGATCACTGCGCCCATGCCCGGTAGGCCTCCGCGATCTACTTGGTACTTAGAGATTCTGTTTTCTTTCTGCTCAGTTCGCCTTCTTCCAAGATTGTCTCGTCCATCTGTACTTATATTAAGTTAGCTATCTCTGGAATCCTCCTCACATCAACACTACTAAGCATCCGACCACGCGATCTCTGCTCCTTGATTCAAACATATTTGTGTTCAGCAACGCTCTCAGCATTCCCATCCAATCTGCCGCACAATTTCAACGTCACTGTTCTTCCACTCATCTATCATTCCCAGCATGTCCTCATCCAACGGTTTACTGTTGGACTGCACTTTTTGCAGTAATAAACATGCCAACTTCACCCTAGCCCACATCACGAGTGAATCATGCTCCGTTGGCTGAGCACCCCCAAGACGCAATGTGGAAGCCTTCAGGTCAGCGGTGGGAACTTCTCGCACGACGGGTTGGAGAGAATCGAACTTCATGAGCAAGATCGGACCCCGGGAATATTTGCGGATCAAATCAAGGATTGCTGAAGTGAATATATCCGCTGCCAAATTGGATTCCGAGGCCATTGGATTATAGATTGGAGAAGGGAGCATTAGAACATCGTATTCGAAGGTGGACGGCAGAGTCGCAGGATATCCGCCAGTAAATTCGGCTGACCACCCTTCTTTCCTGACATCTTCGAAAATCCCAACCGTCCGGGCCATGGCATCGGTCAGATCGTTGTAGACCGTCGCTTTGTAGACGGTATCCTCCACAGCGAAGATACTTGCCACGCGGCTCGTTCTGAGAGCTCGCAATAGTTCCAATGTGTATTCCGGACGCACGGTGTATTGTTTCAAGGCCTCATTGTATTTGACTGGGTTTTTGCTGATGATTTCCGCACGGCAAGCGAAGTCCTCGAGAACCAACGCAGTGCTCAACCCGTTCGCAGCTTCCACTTCCTTCTCGACGATCGAATCGAGAAGACGACCTAGACGGTAGATAGCAGGTCGAGCTCGATGGGACTTGAGGAAATGATTCCAATGGTCTCGAACGGTGATATCCTTGAGCGGCTTATCAACTGTTACCTCGAGTGCCTTATCGATGGAACTGAAAGACCCGTATTGAAGGTAGTTAAGAGCCCAGGGACGGTGGTACTTTTCAAGATATGACCCAGGAAGATATTTCATCCACTTCCAAAGGATTTGATCTGGTAGATCTGGAGAAAAGGGCCCAATCTCCTGCTCCGTGATTTTGAGGTCGGACATGGAAAGCCCCAGTCTAGCAGTCATCGCAGCTATCCATCTCGTATGCTGTCGAGTGGATTCCTGCACCAGGGGTATCAACACGTTTTGTGCATAATCTGACCGCAGTTTCTCTGGAATTTTGAAAGCGGCGGTAGAGACCACTAATTCCAGTACAGGGCGCTCAGAATGTGGCGCAACGTAGGGTAGTGCGCCCAGTTGGTTCTCCGCCATGTCCCATTCCGCTTCAGTGATTCCAGCTCGCTCGTTGGGCCCTGCAACCGAGGAGGCGATGGAAGTAAAGATCTTGTATGGCTCAGCATTGTCACTATCTTCGACGAGCTCCAAAATCGAAGCGACAACTTCTCTTCGAATGTCGATTTGGTGGCTAGAATGGAACATTCTCTGTAGTACTTCCATTTTATCAGACTGTGAAAGAAAATTTGCCTGGGCCAAAGCCTGGGCAAGCATTTTCGCAGTCGTCACTTTGATGAAGGCTTTGTTCTCTTCTTTCTCCTGTTGCTGGCTCTGTTGTTGGCTCTGTTGGGCTTCTAACGTACTGCAGACATATCCGCCAAATCCGCGCATCATCTCACCTGCCTGCTCTGGGGTAAAAATCCTCCCAAGCTTCACGAGGCTTATTTTTCGATGGAGAGAAGACTCGTTCGTAAAGTCCTTCCACACTCTAATCACCACATCGATTGCAAGCTGCGGTTTATCGGTGCGAAGAAGGACTTCGATCAGATCGAACGTGGCGTAGAGAAGTGTTGAATACATTGGGGCATTTGGTTCAGCTTTCAAAGTATCCAAGAATGACCAAATAAGATCTCGCAAGATCTGTGCAGGAATCCTCTTGGAACAGTGTCCCAACGCTTCTATCGCCCGTCCTAACGCTTCTTTGGACTTTCCCTTGGTCTGAAAAGTAATGAACTCATCCGCCAGATATACAGGAGTATAGCGCGGAAAGTCGACATCAGGGAATTTTGTTCGCAAGATTCGAGGGGTTTTGGTATAAGTGTCTAGCAATAAGAGAGCTGCCAAGATGACCGAGTCTTGTACACAACGCGAAGGATCTTGGCGGTCTTCTGTTAGTGAACTCAAGTCAGGCGACCAGATTGAAAGAGGCTCAGGCAATGCTCGCGGTTTCCAAGCACGCACAAACGGAGCTTTTGAGGGTATTGTGCCCCCCATACGGCAGTTGAGGATTGTACAGGGTATTTTGTCAGGTTGCTCTTTCTGATCATTGGAGATTGTCTTGGGAAGAGGATATTCACCCTCGTGGGGATCCCATTCGATGATTTCCGATCCTGTAGGCACCGCCGATACCATCGGTATGGCCGACAAAGAAAAGGGGCGAATGAGTCCGGAGACTCCGATCATGTCTTCTTGGCCTTGGATGATATTGACCAGCCAGTCTTGGAATAATCCAAGATAAATCGGATGTGGCTGTAATAGCTGTGAATAATACTCCCAGATGCGCAAAGCCTCGCGAGCTTTGTCTGGTTTTGCGTCATTTTCAAGGAGAGCACGAATGATAAATCCAAGATCATCCACAAATTCACCAACATGCTCTATTTCATTCCTTATGACAACCATAACGGTGTCAGCCGGACTGAAAAGCACGCGATTGGCTCTTGATGACAAAAATGGCGCGTGATTTTGGTGTCTCATAGCATGGTATAACCAGGTTGAACTATTGACTAGTTTTTGGATTGGGAGTCCTCGAGGCCAAGCATCGCTTAGTTCCAGAACGTTTGGATCATTTTGAACTCGGTGTTGCTGCCAAAGTTCGTCTCGTGCCTTTGCGAGCCGGTCCATAAATGACAATTCCATAGGATTGGGATTATCAGGAAGACAGCGCCATTCCATCATGCCGGATATACCACTCCATCCGACAGCTGTCTGGCCCTCTGCGTTGCCCTCCCGCTCGTATTCGATGAGTATTGGAATCATGGGGTTGAGAAGTATTTCAGCTAGTTCAGATTCAGTTACTGACTCACCGCAGGGCCTCTTTCGTATCAAGTCCATTCTGCGACCGATGACGGTAGAAAGCATGCGGGGGACACTTCCTGTCATTTTCTTCATCGATGATCGAGCCCAGGGTTCACGCAGAAGAAGTAAAAAGGTTTTGAGTAAATCGTTCAGGAATTGATGCCCCTTCTGCGCATCTTGCAGCAGGCAGGATTTCGGAACAGATGCCACTCTTCGCAAATCGACACCACAGGAGAACATGCGACCACAATTGCTGGTTATTTCCTTCATTATACCAGAAAATACAAGCTTTTTTTATGTCTCGGTCAGTAAAGCAGTCGTTACGATGAGGATATGAAACTCACTGGGTCTCGTATGAATCTTTTACTCCACTCTGTTATCTGAATGAAGATATCAACGCAGCTTGTTGCGACGGCCAGCTCGATGGCCGACTTTGCCCAGCGTAGCCTTTCAGGGGGCTCGCGTGCCCGCACCGACTTTTGCTTCATCTCATCAAGTGCTACCTTTCTTAGTAAAACGTTCGGAATTTAGAGAAGGGCAAGATTTTGTGTACCTTTGCGTGTGACAGGGAAATCATCCCCTTGGGAACCAACAGATTCCCAAGTTGCCCAAAGCCGGCACTGTGCTTCCCATGATGGAATCTTCGAGCCTGAATCTTTGCCCTGAGAGCTTGGAAGGAACTCTTCACAATGATGAATGTGAAGAGAACGTCTGAAAAGGGACTTCGAGTCCTCTGGTGGTAGTATCCGCAAAACATCTATGTCCCAACATGGCATAACTTCTTCCTCTTTCTTCGACGGCGGCCAGGCTGTAAGGTCAATTTGCAGGCTTGGGGAATGCTGGAATAGCAGCTGAAGAAATTCCATTCTTCCCTGCTTATCCACGAGCGAGAGAAGATTGATTATGGTCCTAGTGAATCGTGGACGGCCTTGTTGAATGCTGAAGCTCTCATCATTAACGTGCAATATCTTCTGGATTAGGCATTGCTCCAAAGAGGCCTGATGGCCTGATAATGGTTTCGTGCGCCGCCTTTGTCGGTACTTCGCCATTAGCCCACTTAGGGAGCCTCCCACACGCCCAAATCGCGAAATCGACCAAAGCTGAATGACGAATTGAGAGAGACCCCGCGACAGCCAACCCACGCTGTCCTTGGGTCGAGCCAATGCACTAGCTTGGCAAACTGCTGATCCCTGATTCAGAATCAACAATATCGATTCGACAGGCAGCTTTTCACGAATCATTTTATCCAGGATTTCCTCCACCCATTGATCAATCTCATCATTACTGTGTTGTTCCGGCTCCTTTTCCATGGCCATAAGGAGATCCATGCCAAATAATAGTCCGGGGGACATGTCGAATGCCCTTTTCTGATAGTAGATTGGGTCATATGGTTCTTTTGAGCTCAGTAAAGAGCTTCGATACCGCTTTATAATGCCGAGCCGCACCTCGTTGGGCATATGCACCGCTCCAACTCCGATCAGCCGCAGAAGATGGGTATGAAATCGGGGAACATGGCTGCGGATTTTGAAAGAAATTCGCGACTGGGATCGAAGCAGATGTTCGACCTTTTCGGCGCTACAAAGCGCGTATAGGAAGGTGAGGTGGGGTAGCAACGATCTCGAAACCCAGCGATTTGTATCCTCCATCAGAGTCAGGAACTCCTCGATACACGTCGACACTAACTTTCTGTCGGAAAAGCCGTCACAGCGGCCGAAAATGGCATCGACCAAGCGTGGCACTTCCACCAAAGGCAGCTTGTCAAGGATGTCTTTGGTCCCCTGCGCACCTCCAAGTACATCCCATCCTCGCTCTTTCCAGTGACTACCACGGAAAAGACGATGTTTGACAACTTTAGTGGCGCCGGCACGGACTCCGTAAGACGGATCGTGGAGTGCTTTGACGGGGAAATACCAAGAGTGCTTGCATGTCAATGACAGCCAGATATTGAATACGGAGGAAGGAATTGCCTCCGTCTGAACTTGATCCAGAATACATGAGCTGATAAAGTCGAGGTTCTCGGTCGATGCATCAGCAACTATCAGAGTGCGGAGGTGTGGGGCCAAAGTCCTCGGGTGGGCAAGGAGCGCCTTGGGTTGCAGAGCCTCAGGAATCATTCTCCAAGATTGTTCGCAAAGAATGGTCAACTGGATTTTTCTCTGCGATGATAAGGGGTTTTAATAGTAAGACATACGAAGCGGGGCAATTGAGCCTCGACCGTGACTCATGATGTCCAGGCGAAAGGATGACCCTTCAGATGAGAGCCCCGTGCGAACCTTGCCTCTTTGAGCATAACTTAACACACTAAGTGAAAGGAGCTAGCAACAGATTTGGTTATTCCGAATAGCCCCTAATGAAGGAGGACCGGAGTCTTCTAGGGCGTGTATAGCGGAACCTCCTGGTGCGGTGGAATTCGGTTCTTGAATAGGAGTAACTACTTTGTTTGCCTCCCATATCAGAAATGTAGAGACACTACCTAGGTAGGTAGGGGCTTCTCTGTAAAATATATAGTCATAGTTGCCTTCGAAGTAATCCCAAGTCCTAGGCAAGCCCGACAGCCTAAATCAGCGAGTCCCTTACACCACCGTTTGCAGCCCTATCTTAGGAGTCACCTTCGTACACACGAAGGTTATCATGGACTCTTGCGTTTCGTTCGCAGGACTTCGATGATCTTCGGAGTACTTTGGTTGCTGATAGAATTTATAGCAACGTGTGCCTCAAAGGGCAGCAATTCTTTAGGCTCGTCACAGCTGCATCGGCATGTCTGAGCGAGCCTACAACATAGAAGTCTGGGATAGTTGTGACGCCGTCGTGGAAACTCACGGCAGTAGAGTCGGCAAAATCGGGTTGAGTCAGAGGAAACCTACTGATCAGGGGTTGATCTAGCGTTTGGGGGCATAACTTCTCTCTAGTCGCAGTTAGAACTCCATGAAATTCAATAGCACGAAACAAAAGCGTTGATCAATTCGTCCGTTGACAGGGAAGTTCCCTTGAAATTTCAGTAAAACCACCTAAGGCCACTAGAGTGCCCCCATTCCCAGCCGTGAACACAAATAACAATGCCATAGATGGCCCATAACTGCCCAACTGCCAACGCCTACCATAACATAAACCGAGGAAGAGAAAACAAGGAAAACTCTGATCATACAATCAAGTACCACTGTATGCCAAGAACATATCGATGGCCATTTCTTCATAGGCATCGGTGCAAATTCACAAACATAAGTGGAAGATACAACAGATAGGCAGAAAAAGAGAAATTGGTTTACTAGAATCGTTGTTCTAAGACTCCTCTTCCTCATCGACCACTGCGGCGCGTAGTTCCCAGACCAGATCGTAACATTCGGCCAGCAGGTTATTGACACTGCCTTGGCCCTCAGGGATATCTGGACCCACGTAGAATTTCCCATCGACTCGCATGTTGTCAATCGAGTTGAGCTGTTTTGGTCAGCTTCGGTGTTATGAAAGGAATGTGGACAGTCATATACCTTCATGCTGTAGGGGTAAAGCTCGCGCGAGTTTGCGACGCCCCCAGATTCCTTAACTTCAATCAAGCACCGGCGGAGAGTTTGAAGTTGGTTATAGACTGGCAGAAGAGCCTCTGAAACAGGCTCTGATGAGATCAAAAGTGCGTAAATGTATGCATAACTGCGGCGAATGAGGTATAACAGCGTCTGGGCTTATGTTAGTTAAATTCGCCAAGAAATACTTGGAGATTCTTACCCGCTGCGCATGCAAGTCCGCTGGCTGACCCTCGGTATCGACAAAGTTTCCGTTGATTCGTGCCTCATCAATGCGGTCTAGCTTTCGCTGGTAACCGAACAGATCGGTCTCGCGCAGCGACCAGGCCTGGGTCACAGACAAACGGTCTAGCTGGTTACGGATGTCCAACAATCGCTCATACTGATCTTGGAATCGCTCGTCAATTTTTCCCTCGCTGTGGTTGAATCAGTGAATGTCCAGTCATCAAGCCGAGCGCTTTCAACATACCGCTCAAGCACAGTATCGGTCCATTGCCAACACCTTTGGATCAAAGACTTGAGACCATCCTGTCCTTCAAACGGATTTCCCTCGGCATCCACGAAGTTACCATCCTTTTGTGTCTTTTCAATCCTCTTTAATTGTTCCCGAAGACCGTTTACTTCCGAGGCTGAGAACTATTGGGGGTTAAGCATTAGTTGAAAAGCTCCCGAACAATGCGACCATCCGGTGCCGTACCTTTGACCGAGTATTAACAGCGGATGTTGACCGCAAAATTGAAACCAGTGTCTCGTGTGTTTGCGCCAAGGGCGGAGTCAATAAGGCAAGACCTTCTTGCAATTTCACCAGCAATTGCTCACAATGTTCTAGGCGACTTTCCAGAAGTGTCAGAAGAGCTGGTGAGTATGTGTTGCGTCCTCGCTCAAGAGTTTCCCTTGTAGACTCTAGCGTTTTGGTGATCGAGTTCAAATCTTTCGAGCTGTAAAAGCCGGCCTCTTGGAGGTGGTCAAGTAAGCGCTACAGAGAAATGTCAGTGCCCAAATTGCCTATCTAATTCGATGAAATGCAAGAAGACCCAGAAATCAGTACCTTGATTGTGGTCACCAAAGAATATCTATCAAGATATCAGTCATAATCATAAGATGGCGGGGTGAAGGTATTGTCTTACACTGCAGGAGCTTCGTTGTTCTTCCCAACCGTCAAAAAGAGCAGAGAGATCAACTGGAAGCAGTCATCCAAGACATAATCCACTATCATTGAGTGTCAGAGAGGTCTGAGTTCAGTGCGCGACCTATGTAAAACTCACGGCGATTGTGTACCATGCGTCGCTCTTGTCCTTTACGGGCAGCATTGATCTTCTCAACTCCTTCGATCACTTCTTCGTAAAGTGGTAACACATCGCGAGACTTGATATATGAGGACTTGTCCTGTTTTATGAGAAGCAAGGCGTCACGGGTTCGGAGCAAGCGTTCGAGGATGGGCTGCTCCCGCGGATCCAGCGGGACCGGGATAGCGGGGGACTCCATGGTTGGAGAATATGATAAGTAGGAAAGTTCGGAATAGCAGGGGTTAAGGCAGATCAAGTCGAAGAAGTAAGTTGCTTTGAATGTGAAGGGAAGTTAAAGCAATCGTACGGTTGAACCCCACCGGACTGTGATGTCAATTAATGGATCGATTGATAGCGAGATCATGCAGATACGACCAGACCGCACGGGCCCGCTACAGTTTAACGGGGGATTATGTCATCTTGGGCTAGCTCTGCTTTTGGCTTAGCGCAAAGTCACGAGGAGGGGCACGGACTAGGCCCAATTAGTCCAAGCCCTAAGCGAGGGCTTTTTCCCACACACGGGCTTGCCCGTTCGGGTGTCTATCATTGGCGTTCTCCTCTCTTCTTCTTTCCCATCCCCAACTCTCCTCAAGACACCCAGTCCGGTCAACACCACCCGTCGACATGTCTACCGCCGAGCTCGCCTGCTCTTACGCCGCCCTCATCCTGGCCGATGACGGTATTGAGGTCTCCGTACGTATCCAAAATTCCTTGATGTTGATGGAATAGTGGAGGCTTGAAGATCGCACTTGAAGCTTTATTTTTTGTGTGAAATGGGGCCTTCGGAGGAACACCAGAAGCCGCCGCGAAATCAAGGGAACGAACAATCATCACGCGAGAAATGTGACTGACCTTCAATGTTCATTTAGGCCGACAAGATCCAGACCATCCTCGATGCCGCCAAGATCCAGGAGGTTGAGCCCATCTGGGCCACCATCTTCGCCCGGGTAAATACCTGACCCCATTCCACCACCCGCGCCAATATCGAAACAACGGAAATGGCCGCGCGCGACAATTTTGAGATTCGAAGACTGACCCGATTTACAACTTAGGCCCTCGAGGGTAAGGACATCAAGGAGCTCCTGACCAACGTTGGCTCCGCTGGCCCCGCCGCCGCTGGTGCCCCCGCTGGTGCCGCCGGTGCCGCCGCTCCCGCTGAGGAGAAGAAGGAGGAGAAGGAGGAGGGTAAGTTTTGACATGGACTTCTGGTTTGTGAATCACTATACTAATCCCCCCTACAGAGAAGGAGGAGTCTGATGAGGACATGGGCTTCGGTCTCTTCGACTAAGCGTCTTATCTCCATATCGAATTTGAACTCGTTTCCTTTTTTCTCTATCCCTCACCTCCTTTCCTACTGCCGCATGGCGGCTCCCTCGACGATTCTCTATTGTACTCGATACTCCACGACCCCCGCTACGACCTAGAACCCGGGGAAGAAAAAAAGAAAATTAGCAAAAGAATTCAAACGGACACGGACATTCAATGGAGACTGGGTGCTCGGTGTGCCTTCGCGTCATAATGTGGCCGAGGTAGACTCGATCGGATACCGCTGCGACTCCGAAACTTTGTTGCTTCCTGGACTATAGGGGAATTGAAGAAAGACGTTTGGCACACTTATTTGATTTGTCCATAATCAAAGTTCTGCTTTGGTTTGGCGAGTAGATGTATGCGCTATCTCGCCCTGTTCACGGATCAGATAGCTTAGTTCGCCCTGCTCTGCTGTTGTGTCTGTCATGCGACCACGAGCCAACGAATGCCGTCTGAATCTTACGGGGTATCTGTAGGCCATATGACGTAGTGCTGTAGGGCTGATCGTCGGTGTTGATCTCGAACTCGCATGGATCTTTGAGTCTCCATGTTGTCTCTAAGACCCATCTAGATGTACTTGGTATATGTGAACATCGCAGTGCCCTACTGCTGTTCGGGGTTACATCAAGTCACAATGGTTCTCAGGCACTGATATTCATTGCACTATCTCAACCAACACGTCGCTAAAATTCGTATCGACTCTAATAACATTTGAACGTTGTACATGAAGCCCAATCGCCACCTGGGCATTTCACTATCAAAAACAAAACGCTATGCGATTCCCTTTTTTTTCTGATGTCCAGCACCACCAACAAACACACATAAATCATTCTCGCCTACCGACGAGCGAGCTCAGAATCAGACTTCCCGTCGACAGTATATAGACGCAAGTCGTTGTCTAGTATAATGGGAAATTCAAATATAAGAGATCCAGGCTTATAGAACCGCCGAGAGCGCAGGTTGCTGGACAGCGTAAATCCGGAATTGGATGAAGATGACCACATCTTCAACCATGGTCCCCAGAGATCCAATCAGCCATGGAAGATTGGTGAGGAAGTAATCTTTCTCTGTAGAATGGCAAAGGATCTATATCCAGACTGTTAGCTTACTTCGATTTATGAAGCACTTTGCAGAATCACTCACCCCCGCACCGTAGGTCAGGTTTCCAAGAAGGGATAGAATGAAGAATAACAGCGACAACCCTGTATCAATGTTAATTTCGACTTCGCACATGCACGGGGGAGCGGCAACGTACCTTCGCAAGACTTCTCGCTATAGTTCTTGTATATCTGAGGCAATCTCGCTCTGCAACCAAAGTCAATTCCAATTCACAGCCTCAATCGAGAGTATTACTCACCCCAAATAACACACAGCACTGAAATATCCCAGCACCAGCCCCCCAGTAGCCTGCTCAGAACGATTGTTGTTCTCCAATGGCGCCGGCGCCCACATTCCCGTCTGCCAGGCCATAGTCCAACCTACCATGCCAATGAAGAAGATCCCGATAACGCTGGTGAAGTTCTTCACCCACGCCTTACGGCCATGATCATTCTCCTCGACGATCTTGGCTATGGTATCCTCGATCTCGCTCTCACGTCGACCACTAGCTTGGTTGCGACGCTGCGAGCCCGACGGCCGGCGCCGCGACTCAGAAGGTTCAACAGAGTCGCTGAAGGGCCGGCCGAGGAGTGGGGTAGTCGGATCCGGGATCTCGGTGGATGAGCGTCGGCGGCTGAAAGGCTCGGGGCGAGAGTTGCGCGCCTTGAAATAAAGGCACTGGGCGATCAGTACACCGTCAGCAATGCAGAAGTATACTGCAATCGCAACGATGACGGGTACGAGCCCAGCAAGGAGGCCGCCAGCGAGATTGGCGATATCGCCAATGAACCAAACGAAGACAAACAGGAGAGATATAGCTTCTGCATTGCCATTGCGGTAATTCTCAATCAGCTGAGGAACCTGTAGAAGTCTTGTTAGCTAGGAGTTACGTGCTTTTGTTGTGTTTCAAGGTGTGAATTTGGTTTATCGCGCCCGTGTTCGCACACTCTTCAATGGGGAACATACCAAAAGGAAAACCCAACAGGTCATAGAGACCGATCCCAAGAGACCAGATGCAGCCTCTCGGGCTGTCAAGGGTATAGGACCTTGTTCCATGCTGGGCAATGAATATGTGGAGGAAAAGAAAATTGCGCGGGAGATAAGGCGATGACACAATCTACTCGGGTCCCGCTTTGTCCCCCGGGTTTGCAGTCTAAGCGCACTTCATACGATGTCCAGGAGAGACAGAGACTCAAATTAAGTGGCAAAATAGGGCTATTTAGGTATCCATTGGAGATATTCTCGGATCATTTCCTTATATCGACTAGGTAAGCACTCTTTTATTTTCAATGTCGGTGCATGATGTGCATCAGCCAAGCATTTGGGCGCTTTCCATGGCCAATGATATACTTCGTTATGGTCATGCAGTCAGAAGCGTAATACGCTGCTTGCGCTTTTTTTATACGAACACATAGAGGTTATCGAGAGCAAGATTTCAAGACACGTTGTACAAAATGGGCATTATTGCCTCGGTGGGATTAAAATTCTCCGTGGGAATTCTCCGATGCTCAAAGGATGTAGAAGATATATCTATACATCCCTCGGTCAAGATTTGAGGAAATGGCTAGAAAGAAATTCCTTCAAAATCCACAAATCCAAGCTTTTTAACTAAGGAGGACCCTCTATAAGATGCGAGGCTACACCGAAATTGTTGCTAGGGTATCAAGGATGTTGTACATGGAATCATTCAATTAGTTTGTACTGTACTCGGAATAATACAATTGGATTTCATGTCCATCATGGAGCTGGATTATTCGCCTCGCATGATCTCGAGTTCGTCTTCGAGCATGCTGATCGCAAAGTCACCAAGAGAGCTTTTGATAGGGCCCTCCAACAATCGTTGGCGCGTTGCTTCTGGGAGACGCTGTAATGCCTCCAAATAATTTGTCAAAGGTGCATAATCCACGACTACTTCGCTCCAGTTGCCCCTATCAACTCCATATTGAGCGAGGAAGATGCGAAGGGTTTGCATGCCCTCGCGTGTGAGCCACCCTTCGAGGGCCGCCGGGTCTCTCAGAGGTGGGCGCGATTGCGGAATATCGAAGTGCCCTCTATCCTCGGGCTCATCATCGAACCCAGCTGGTTCTTCATCGTCGGATGGAGCATCGGGATCACGGGCATTAATGTTCATCTGACCAAGAAGATCCTGCAGCCAATTCTCACCACCCCCAGCGGCAGCGGGAGCGGCGTAGATAGGAGCAGGCTCAGACTGCTGCCTATAAGCTTCTGATTCATAGGGGGGTAGAGGATCGGAGGAAGAAAGTCGACCAGCCACAAAGTGGTTTGGCAGGTGGGTTGTCACAGCCTTGATATCAGATAAAATCACATGTCGAGCAATGTCCAAAGTAATCTCAGGCGGATCATACGGCTCTTCGCCGGACATAGAATCTGCGACTTCCATGATGAGAGAAATAGCTTCGGGGGTGTTCCATAGATCCTTTGCACGAGCAATGTAGAGTTCGGTAAGTAGCTCGTGGGTGCCTGTGGGAGGCATCTTGCCCCAGATTTGTTTGGGAACGTGCTGGACATCAAGTTCCTGAGCCAGTCTGCTGAAAATCCAAGGGTAATGGGACATGGCGAGCTGCAGCTGTCGACGACATTCTTGGGGCTTGTTCAACCGGAGGTATGCCATTACCAGCGAACATTGTATGTTAGGGAGATTGGCCCAATCCCGACTAAAGCGTGTCTGGGTACACAGCTGCACGAATTGGGCATACTCTCTACCTCGGAGCGCGAGGTGGTCAATAAGCAGTCTCATGCAGTAAGGATCATTGTCATCCAGACTCAGCAACAACTTGGCCCATTCGTAAGCAGTTCTCCATGTGCCCTTCATTGCTAGGTTAGAGATGTACCTCCACCCGACAAGCCAGAGTTCCCGGTTCTCTGCAAGCATGAAATCAAGTCTGGCCTCGCCATCCTTGAGGCGACTAGTGAATGAAGAGTGGGCTGAGCGCCCGATGTTGAAAAGTGCTCTTTCCATCAGATCAGCAGAAACAGCATGATCACCCTGGTGTTTGGCAATTTCCGAGACCTGGAGAAGAGTAGAGATATGATATGGGTTGTATTGCAAGTGTCCGATCATTCTTTGTGGGTCCATGGATTCGACACAGAGATCGAACTGTCTTTGGACATCTTGATAACCGGTATTGTGTACCAATTGGTAGAGAGTCTCCCCGGAGGAAAGCTTCTCTACAGTCTCCATGCCTAGCCCTCCACTTGGAGCACGAGGCCATTCTTCTTTGCCTTGCATGAGAACATTACGTCGTTGTGTGGCTCCAGCCAGACTTTGACCTCTGCTAGCTGGACTATATTTTCCCGATAAGGCCTGCGCAAGATCAATCATCTGTCGATTGCGCTCTCGACGGCGGCCCGTTCCATTATCCGGTGTTTGATCAAAGTTCTCTAGAACAACATTGCCAAATAGTCGGCGCATCTCATTTGTTGCATTGAGGTATTTGGGGTCAATCCCGAGCAATTCACTTGTGGTCTTCGGGAAGGAGGCGTCGCGATCATGCTTCGCATTCGATGAATTTGCGCCAGAGGGCAAGTGCCCTTTTTTTGATAATTCCTTCAGCGCCCGATCAATTTCATCCAGTTCTCCTTCATTTGATTTTGTTGGTGGCGTATTGACCAGTCCAGAGGCTTTGGCAGCCTTCTTCTTCTTCTTTTTCTTGTTGCTCTTTTTGGGCTTTGATGGGGTTGGTGCAGGTTCTGGTGATTGAGTTCGATATTGCTCGTGTGTCCCTTCTTCTTCTTCCTCCTCCTCTTCCTCATTCTCCTCATCTTCATCGTCTGCATTTAGCAAATCGAAGGCATTGAATTTTGGCTTCGCGGGGCGTGGGGCTTCATCTTCACTTGACTCATCCTGTTGGTCGGAATTTTGCAGTTGTTCTTGTTCGCGCAGCTTTTGTAGCTTGCGAATTGCTCGTGACGACATCCTGTGCGCTGAGGCAAAAGCCTTCTAACGTGTGAAGTAAACGCTGTCTGCGGGAGTGAAAACAAAAAAGAAGCAACTCGCCGAAACGAAACCGCGGGGAATGACGACACAGATCAATGGGGACTAGCGCGTTTTGAATAACCTCCACACGTGACCTCCATCTTGAGGAAGCCCAGCTCCTCGATAAGCTTGAATCTTGATTTACACATAGTCCCAGAGCTTTTCTTCGCCTGACAAAAGGCAAGGAAGTCTCCAAGGTTATCAACCGTCACCTACACCGTCGAAACAATGCGTCGGGCCACTGTTCAGGTCTGCCGTACTGCTCGGCGTGCCCCAGTATGGAACATCGCCGCTAAACGGCCGTGCTCTTTGACCTTCAACCAGCTACGAGGCATTCGACCATATTCCGGCGGCAGACGCTCATCACACAGTTCAGTAGCTCCTCAAACATCTATGCATCGCCGAAACCTTTCCCTCGCCGTTATCTCGACCGTCGTTGCCTCCGGGGCATGGTATGCTTATCAGGGTGACACTGTTAGATCGGCAGCAACCCAGATCCGGGGCTTCGCCTCAGGTGCCCTCAATTCCGCCTACGCAGAAAATCCCACCGAGTCCACGCGCCGTGCGTTGTTAGTAAGTGGGGATCAATTCTACACCGCGACACTTTCCGGAGACCAGCCTCTTGCCAAGAATACAGACGATTCAGACCGCCGAGTCCTGGAGATGTTGACACCGGACCAAGCAACGCAGAAGCTGCGCAAGAATGAGGAGTCATATTTGGTCAATCGGGGCAAGGGTGTTGTTCGTTATGATGTGGTCCAAGTTCCCAGCAACTCGCCCATTGAGGATGACCATGCGGAGAAGATAGTGGAGATCCCAGCATCCGTGGCTGCTGTCAACAATGGCGAGTCGAGCAGTGACTGGATGTTCTGGGGAGTTTTCGACGGTCACTCGTACGTTATATTAAGCTTGGAAGAATACCATGCAAGTACTGACTATGAACCAGGGGTTGGACAACGTCCGCTAAATTGCGGAACGTTCTGATCTCATACGTGGCCCGTGAATTGAACACTACTTACAAAGCGGCTTCTGCCGATCCATCACTTCTTGTGCCGACCTCTGAGGCTATTGATGCTGCTATCAAGAAGGGCTTTGTCCGCCTCGACAATGACATCGTACATGAAAGCGTTAAGGAGGTGATGAAGTCGAAATCACGACGAGTTGCTGCCGAGCTCCTTGCTCCCGCTCTCTCTGGATCATGTGCTCTTCTCAGCTTCTATGATTCACAGTCCAAAGACCTCAAGGTTGCTGTTACCGGAGACTCTCGCGCAGTCTTGGGCCGTCGCGGCCCTACCGGCAAATGGACTGCTACTGCCCTTTCCGAAGATCAGACTGGCGGTACTCCTTCCGAAATGAAGCGCTTGCGCGAGGAACACCCCGGCGAGCAATATGTCACCAAGAATGGGCGAATCCTCGGCCAGCTTGAACCTAGTCGTGCGTTCGGTGATGCTTTCTATAAGTGGAGCCGGGACGTTCAAGATACAATCAAAGCGAAGTTCTTTGGACGCACTCCTCATCCTATGCTGAAGACACCCCCCTACGTCACCGCCGAGCCTATCATTACTACTACCAAGATCGATCCCTCCAAGGGCGATTTCCTCGTTATGGCTACCGATGGTCTATGGGAAATGCTGAGCAATGAAGAAGTTGTTGGTCTAGTAGGTCAGTGGGTTGAGCAACAACAATCTGCTTCTGCCAGCACTGGTAGTAAGGCTTGGCTGCAAAGCTGGTTCAAGTTTGATAGCCAGAAGACACTGCCCGTAGAAGCCGCAGCCGATGGTTCGACCGAGGGCCAACGCCGTCCGATCCGCCAGCAGCAATATGATATTTCTGGCGTGGCTAGTCGATTTGTTGTTGAGGACAAGAATGCGGCAACTCATCTTGTGCGAAATGCAATGGGTGGAAAGGATAAGGATATGATGTGTGCTTTGTTGACGCTACCCAGTCCTTATTCTCGCCGATACCGGTATGTATATCATATATCTCACATTTCCTTTGACACAATTTCTCTAATTTTTCTTAGTGACGATGTTACTGTTGAGGTTATCTTCTTCGGACAGGGCCCCGATTCGCGTACTGTGGAAGTGAACCAGGAAGCAAGTGCCTCAGAACAGTCTCCCAAGTCGAAGCTTTAGGTGTTCCATTGTCTTGTATTTTCTTCGCGGAATCGCGAAAGCATCTTGAAAGGCGGCGGATTTTCTAATACGTTTTGCAATTTACGTACAGTCTCTCGTAGGCGATCGTTGCGATTTATGGCAAGACCAATATCAAATATCAGAAAAGGGTTTTAAATTTACAGGCCTCCACTGTTTGTAAAATGCATTACGCGCATTTGCGGCGTGAGAAGTAAAGAATATTGTACATGAATGTGGGCGGAGACAAGGAAAATGATGTTTACATGAATCCTCGAAACCAGTCGAGGAACAATATGCGGCTTTTATAGGAGGTTTTTGCAGGCTTGAACCAAATCATGGACTTTAGCTTGTAAGTCTCAAAGCCGTTTCGCGAAACTGAGCCTCTCCCAGTCCACTCATACGGTATGTACCAGTCGACCAGAGCCTCTTCCAGGTTGATTAGATTCTGTCAGAATTCGATGCGAATGTAGCAATCTAAGCCTGCAAGTGAATGTTGTGGGGGATGCAAAGAAGGGTGTGATGGGGTATGACTGAGCATCCTATGATTGAGTCACGGTGTGGAAAAGTTGGAGCACATGCCACTCCAGACGAGATATCACCGGCAATGGAATCAGCGTAAATTTTTCAGTTGGAAGGGATCCGAATCACCCGGCTTTTCGAAACCGACGAACCGCGTCTTATGAGACCCAGTCACTGGCGGCTTGAACACCTTTTTCTCCAGGATCCAAGTCTGCAGCGTGGCAACATTGGTACTAGTGATCCAATAGAGCAATAGCGCGGTTGGCATCTGAGAGACATAGCTTGCCACGCCAACCTGGCATGCTAAGACTTGAATAAGCAGCCGCAAGCCGCGGAAAGTGACCTCCCTAAACATTTGAGGCTTTGGAAGCTCCGAGAGTTCTGACAAAGGCTTAGTCTTCCAACCAGTCATTACATTTCCCAAGATTGATGCAGTCAGAAGGACTGGCAGAACACCTGTCGTATCACCAGCCAACAAATCTGGGAACCACAGGGCGCCCTCATTTGCAAATGTGGGCTCGACGGTTAAATGCAGAGATTGGGTAGGAGACGCGGGATCTTGTGATGGCTCAACAAGCGATAGCAACCAGGCAATAATACCATTGTTGTTACCGCTCATACCACGCAGACTTTCCATGAGTGCAATGAAAACAGGCAGCTGTAGGAACATCATAGGGCGATATATGCGGGAGATACCCCAGCGCTTGTGGAGCTCACTGGTTCGCTTTTGTAGATCCATCATAGCTTGCCTTTTGGAAAGCCGGGAGTCAGCTGCCATGCTATGTTTCTGTTGATATCTTAATGCCCAAGCAGATAAGAGTGGCTGCAATCTTTTCTCTTGTTGCGCCTGGTATCGAGTGTATATCTGGAGGGGGAATCCGATAAATGTTCGAACAAGTACGGCCGTCAGAGGGATTGAGGCAACCCATGGCAGACAGGAAACAGTGTGAACGCCATGAATGAATGCAGTAGAGCCGTCCAAGACGAGATTGATCATAGAGAATGACGCTGGTCTTGTCGGGTGGAAGTGTCGAACTTGCGTGCGAGTCAATTGCGTGACCAGCCGCGTTGATTGCAAAGCCTGTACCGAGTGGAGGGAATACATAGCTGCGAGCAGCTGGGAGCAGAAGCAACCAAAAGAAAGAACCCAGAGAAAGGGAGCTGGAGTAATTGGGGAGCGGAAAACGGATGTTTGGGGATTATCATGTGACGCGTATGTAAGTTATTCATTTGGCCCGACTGATCAACTTATTGACAGCAAGAGGGGGAGTATTTTCTTACAACCAGTCATTTCAGTTACGCTCCAAATCCTCTTACTATGTGTGATCTCTGATGAGGCCTCTTTGATCATTGCCTTTCCACCATGGCCCTCCTATCCAACGTTGTTTCGACCATTCTGGTCCTCACCGCCACAGCTGTCCTGCTCCCAAAGCTGACAGGCGTTCTTCTCGGTCTTGTGTTCCGAGGATTGGGCTGGTTGATATGGCGAAGAACGCGGTCTCGCCGCGATTATGTGGTCGCGCGGGCGCGATCTGAGGAGGAAGAATTACGCGCCTCACAGCCGAAGGTTTCGACTCATTCACCATCGCGGAATGGTGCCGAAGATGAGGACTGGGAGAAGGTGGACAGTTCAGGCCCGGGCGAGGTACAAAAGGCCGCCAACAGTGAAAACAGCGGCAGCACTGCTGGGGAAAGCAACCAGGGGTCAGATAACTGGGATGGCATTATTGGGTTCTTCCACCCATTCTGGTATGGCATTCTCTATACATGATTGATGTACGCAGCACTGACTGAATACGATAGCAATGCTGGTGGAGGTGGTGAACGAGTCTTATGGGAAGCAGTACGCGCAACGCAGAAGCGCTGGCCGAAAGCAATCTGCGCTATCTACACAGGTGACCACGAAGTCAACAAGGCTACGATGCTAGAGCGGGTGGAACACCGATTCAACATTCACCTACACGCGCCAAATGTTGTGCTTTTATACCTGACGACACGCAAGTACGTTGTTAGCAGCTCATATCCTTACATGACGCTGCTGGGGCAATCACTGGGGTCACTGGTTGTCGCCTACGATGCTTTCACGTTGCTCGTGCCGGATGTTTTTGTTGACACCATGGGTTATGCCTTTACGCTGGCTCTTTGCAAATGGCTTTTCCCAAAAGTGCCTGTCGGCGCCTATGTTCATTACCCGACTATATCAACCGATATGCTCGCCTCTCTTGACGACAAGACTGGGGTGCAGGGGATCAACTCTGGTGCAGGGAAAGGAATGAAAGGTAAGCTCAAGCGTCGGTACTGGCAGCTATTTGCCAAGCTATATGGCTGGGTTGGCCGCCAGGTGGATGTAGTGATGTGCAACTCGTCTTGGACGGCAGCGCACATTCGCACACTTTGGGGCACCGGCAACAAGAGCAGCAACACCAGCGGCGATGGGACCGCATCATCGCCGGCTGTGGTGTTTCCCCCAACGGCAGTGACCGAATTGCAATCAAGTATCGCCGTTGATGCGGAGAGCGAAAAGACTCGCGAGCCAGTCGTGCTTTACATCGCCCAATTCCGGCCAGAGAAGAACCACCCGCTAGTCTTACGATCCTTTGCACGGTTTCTACAAGAGCGAGCCAGCAACCCAACCTACGCAGATCAACCTACTCCACGCCTTGTGCTTATCGGGTCTGTCCGCCATTCCAGCCCCGACGAGACCCACATCTATAATCTCCGCCTCCTGGCACATGAGCTCCGCATCCGCGATCATACCACTTTCTTATGCGATGCCAGCTGGCCTGTTGTGCTGTCACATCTTGGCACGGCTTCCGTTGGTGTCAATGCCATGTGGAATGAACACTTCGGTATTTGTGTCGTTGAGTATCAGGCTGCTGGTCTCATTTGCGTGACACATGACTCCGGTGGTCCACGTGAAGACATCGTTGTTGACCTAGGTGATGGTGCGACTGGATTCAGAGCTGAAACAGAGGAGCAGTTCGCTGCTTCTTTCGAGGCTGCTCTTGCTCTTCCTGAGGCGGAGAAGGTAGCTATGCGACAGCGGGCTCGTCGTTCAGCTCAAAGATTCACCGAAGAGGAGTTCTCCCGCAAATGGCTGGGTCAAGTGCAAAAGCTTGTCAAGGCATCGAAGACTCAATTGTGATATCCCATTGAAATAGACAAATCACATTTCATTAATTTTACTGGCGATTCACCGAGACGATGTCAAATCTATGATAGCAGTCTTTGAGACTGAATTGAATTCGTAATAATCGTAAAATGGAAATAAAGGCATGGCCACGTCTAGAACTTGTGTGTAAACCAGACATCTCAACTCAAGCATCTCAAGCTTTCCAAGCAGACACAGATAATTCCTGCAATACTAACAAGTGATAACGCAGCCGTCCTTAGGTTCCCTTCTAATCGCTGTCACTAGCCTCACCACCATCTGATTCGGCTCCATTGGTGTTGTGGATTCCCTCAGCCATAATATACTCACTCTGCTGAAGGGTCTTCTTGATCTCACTGTTGTTGAAGACCAGCTCAGCAGGCTTCTGACCATGCTTATTCCGCACCCGAGGATCACATCCAGCCTCACACATCATCTTAATCATGGCCTCCCCCAGCGCTGCATCTTTTTCGTTGGCATACCGCACAGCAATGTGAAGCGGTGTATCCTTGTCCAGCCGGGTCAAGGGGTCACATTCGAAGAACTGGATGTCAAATAACGCGTCTGCAGTGTCATCTGAAAAAAGAGAAACAATAAAAGGTTAGATCCAAGATAGGCACCAGGAAGTGGCAAAGTAAACACATACAGCTGCCATACTGGGCACAGATGTGCAATGCATAGTTTCCCATTGAGTCTGTCACGCCATTGAAGAACTCTGCCACTTGTTCATTTGACTTCTCTTCCATATCGTTCAGCACTTGCTCAATTAGGTGGGGTTGATCCCGGCGGCAGGCCTCCACGATCAGTTCGCGGGGTGATGCACCCTAGTGCACAGTAGCGTTAGCGTCGATCACCAGCAAGTGTTAACCAGAAATTCGATAGTCACCTCGTCAGCCATTTGAACTTGGAATGACAGTCCGGAATATCCGAGAGTAAAGGGGATAGTGGAGGATTCGGGGTTTGGCGGTAAGGGACAAAAGAAGCTAGTTGAGCTGATCGCCAAAGATTTTTGTATGGGCGTTTTTGCTAGTGATTATGTGTCTCGTGCCAGCAGACGAAGTGGGATATGTACAAGGTGGATTGTTGGATCAAACGATTATTCAAATTCCTGGCAAGCTACCCTACAGGTTATCGGAGTTGTTCCCCAGGGACATCCCACGCGCGGCCCGTCCGGACTTAGTATTCTCCGTCTTCCAAATTAGCCGCGCGCCTATGCCTCTTATCGTCGCCGGTGATGTTCTGCACCTAACAGCGTCTTATTGAACAGCTATTGAACCCTTTTTTCCCTTTTTTGGTGGGCCAGTCTGATATATTCCAACCTTACCCACTATATCTTTCAGTCAAACCGTCAAGATGCTCGTCTGTATGTGCTATGTCCGAGTCGACACTACCCAGGAACAACCTAGAGCGTGAAAACTGACTACTTCTTTTCCAGTCTGCCCCAACTGCAGCAATGCGCTTACAATCTCCAAAGCCGACTCGAACACAAGATTCCCCATGGGCGTGAACCGCTTCGAATGTCGCGTGTGTCCCTACGAAGCCCCACTGGACAAGGAATATTTCGAAAAGACAGACATGAAGCAGAAGGAAGTCGACGATGTCTTTGGAGGCAAGGAGGAGTTTGCCAATGCAGACAGTGTTGGAAGTAAGTTTTCATTGCTTCGTGTTCGGATGACATGTCGATCAAGATATGTAAGGCTAACATGGCTTTTCTTTTTTTCTCTCTTGCAGCTCAATGCCCCGCTGAAAGCTGCAACGGGGAACGTGCATACTTCTTCCAGCTGCAGATTCGTAGTGCAGATGAACCGATGACTACATTCTTGAAGGTACGTTCCCCTCCTTACTCCTAACGCGAGGTACCCGTTTCTGACAGCTCTAGTGTACTTCCTGCGGTGCTCGGTGGAGAGAAAATTAGAGTTACATGTCTTTCTTTTTACATTCAAAAGAGAGGGTTTTGGTTTTACAGCGAGGTGTAAATGGCGCATTGATCGAGTGTTGATTTCGAGGGACTGGCGTTGGGTATCAGACCATCGAGTTTGATATACCCAAATTGATCGACGTCACAGTCCAGCGCATTGATTATGTATTATTTTTGCCGGAAAGTTTGTGGTGGGACATACATATTGGATCTAGCTTCTTTCGCAATTTTTTCTATCACATGGTGGCTTAGCTTGACTTTTGTTATGATTTCAATTTCGCCTATAAATACAATTGAATCTAGTACAAATTAAGAGCCCGACGTTACAGGATAGCGTCTGCCTAGGAAATTGTGTATGAATCATCGGAGGCAAAACAGCCTACCTAGGTGGGTAGGTGGGAGAAAAAGAAAAAAAAAATAAGAAATGCTATGCATGACATTGTTGGTGGGATGAGTTGGCGGTGAGGATATGCCCCTCACCCGCGGGGTTCTCAAAAGACAAAGAGAAAAGTCGAAATAGCAGAGATTTTTAATTCGCACCCAATATCACAGACCAAATTACACACGGGCACACAAGAGGCAAAAAAAAAGTGTAAAATAAACAATGCAAACGAGTGGTTTCTCACCCAACCACTCTGCGTTGCTGCCCAGCTCAAGAGTTTAGAGCCACGAAGTGGGCTGGGAACGAGCCGATGAAAAAAAAATTCACTTCGAAGTGGAGCCCCTGGGCAGGACGAAACCAGGGAAACGGAGGGGAGTTTCAAGCATCCAGGTAGTGAGTACATCGTAAGTTATGGGAAGCAGCATACTGTAGCAGGTAGCAGTACTTTTTCCCGTCAACCCACTTTGCAAAATCTGCGTGCACGGGTAAGGGCTACAGCCAATCAGCAGCCCTAACCGAGAAGGGCTGGGCCCCACCTGCTGACTCGCCTCTCTCGCTTGCCCCTCCATATAAGGATTTCCCCTCCTCCCCCTCCCACAGAGTTTTTCTTTCTTCCTCCGTCTGCTACAGTGAGTATTTCCTGCCCCCCTACTGCTATTCAGCCTCTCCCTCTTCGACTACTCTTACTGATTACATTTGCTCAGTACCTCTACGCGTTCTGCCGTAGTCTCTGAGCAAGTTTCCTACAGATTTTTTCTAGTATCTTCCAAAGAACTACAAAAAGTTTCAACCGTCATCATGGGGTATGTTTCTCTGGGTTTGCGACTTGATATGGAGAGCACTCGGACTGACTTGACTCTACAGTAAGGAAGAGCGTGCCCACATCAACATCGTCGTTATCGGCCACGTCGATTCCGGCAAGTCTACCACCACTGGTCACTTGATCTACAAGTGCGGTGGTATTGACCAGCGTACTATCGAGAAGTTCGAGAAGGAGGCTGCCGAGCTCGGCAAGGGTTCCTTCAAGTACGCTTGGGTTCTTGACAAACTCAAGGCTGAGCGTGAGCGTGGTATCACCATCGATATTGCCCTCTGGAAGTTCCAGACCTCCAAGTATGAGGTCACCGTCATTGGTAAGAGATTGTCCTTTCTCCATCTAGTATTTCCAGCATGCTAATCAATGCCACTACAGATGCCCCCGGTCACCGTGATTTCATCAAGAACATGATCACTGGTACCTCCCAGGCCGATTGCGCTATTCTCATCATTGCCTCCGGTACTGGTGAGTTCGAGGCTGGTATCTCCAAGGATGGCCAGACCCGTGAGCACGCTCTGCTTGCCTTCACCCTCGGTGTTAAGCAGCTCATCGTTGCCCTCAACAAGATGGACACCTGCAAGTGGTCCGAGGACCGTTACAACGAGATTGTGAAGGAGACCTCCTCCTTCATCAAGAAGGTCGGATACAACCCCAAGTCCGTTCCTTTCGTCCCCATCTCCGGCTTCAACGGCGACAACATGCTCGAGGCTTCCGCCAACTGCCCCTGGTACAAGGGTTGGGAGAAGGAGACCAAGGCTGGCAAGTCCACCGGAAAGACCCTCCTCGAGGCCATCGATGCCATCGAGACCCCCGTCCGTCCCTCCAACAAGCCCCTCCGTCTTCCCCTCCAGGATGTGTACAAGATCTCCGGTATTGGCACAGTTCCCGTCGGTCGTGTTGAGACCGGTATCATCACCCCTGGCCAGATCGTCACCTTCGCTCCCGCCATGGTCACCACTGAAGTCAAGTCCGTCGAGATGCACCACCAGCAGCTCAAGCAGGGTAACCCCGGTGACAACGTCGGCTTCAACGTCAAGAACGTTTCCGTCAAGGAGGTTCGCCGTGGTAACGTCGCTTCCGACTCCAAGAACGACCCCGCCGCTGCTGCCGACTCCTTCAACGCCCAGGTTATTGTCCTGAACCACCCCGGTCAGGTCGGCGCTGGTTACGCTCCCGTCCTCGATTGCCACACCGCCCACATTGCCTGCAAGTTCGCTGAGCTCCTCGAGAAGATCGATCGCCGTACCGGTAAGGCCACCGAGACCTCCCCCAAGTTCATCAAGTCCGGTGATGCCGCTATCGTCAAGATGGTTCCCTCCAAGCCCATGTGTGTTGAGGCCTTCACCGACTACCCCCCTCTCGGTCGTTTCGCCGTCCGTGATATGCGCCAGACCGTTGCCGTCGGTGTCATCAAGTCCGTTGAGAAGAACGCTGGTGGCGCTGGCAAGGTCACCAAGGCCGCTGTCAAGGCTGGTAAGAAATAAATGATTCTCGGATGATGCTCAATTATGCCGTGATGATTTTTTTTCTTTCAAAAACAATTATGGATCGAGGTAGATTTGCTGTGTAGTTGCTTAAAATGGCTACATACATTTTTCATGAATCAAATCAATTCTTTTCCTCGTTAATTTTGACAACTCGTGTATACGTAAATGAGGCCGTAGGGTAGAATCTTAGAATCTGCATGTCCCTATAACTTGACCCTTGTGTCCTCCCTCGTTGACTCGGTCGTTCATGTCTGTTATCTGCGCTTGGTGGGCCTAGGGCTGGCAACGTCTGTACATACCTCCCTACTACATCATCACAAGGTACATGTAGCCTCAATTCAACGTAGTTGACACTGCATAACACCTATTTTCTAGCTCGTACCTAAACTCATCCACCTAAAGAAGGGAATATCTATACCTTGCCTTGACTCCAACTCGAGCGATGTTCATTGGAAGCACTACATCATCCCAATATTTGGAAATACCAGGATTACCACAGACTTATGGATTATGGATCTTTATCAAGCTTCATTGGAGATTGTTATACCCCCTCTGTGCAGTTTTAATGCCGATTAATTGTAACCCAGATATGTGGAAATTCACAGTGAATATATATTCTTTGCGACTTTTACATGCCTCAAAGTCGAATTATATAGTCCTAATATGGACTTCACCCTTCTGAATGAAAAACGATGGTCGGACAGTCATTGTTTCGAGGGCCTATATGTAATTAGGTGCACAAGATATGTTCCATGGTGTACCTAGGTAGGTAAAGTTCTTTACTCTACCTACCTAGACCTTAGATAGATGTATTCAACTCGATCTCAACCTGTCGAAGGGTCGAGTCGATCCTCAAAGCGAAGTGAATTCAAATTTATGAACCTAAACTGGAAAGTTCATTGCTGTATATGGGGGGAGAAGGACCGTTGTGGTAGTAGTAATGGTAGGGAAAGTGATCGTGCCCAACCTAGAAATTGGAGACGGTTATAGCCGTGATTATAGTCGACATGGTAGTTGAAGCTGTAGTATTTGGGAAGGTCCTAGGGACTATAATATGTGATGCAATGTCATTGAGAATACCTAGAAACATAGACATCTTTGCCATAAACTCCTGATATTCCCCGTTAGCCGTCCTCGACCAAAGAGATACACAGCTGCGAAGTTGACAAATTAACGTGAACTTCAGAAGACATTGAAGGCCAGTTGTTAACCTAGGAGGACCCAGAATCGATTATAACTCTAGCAGAGGTCAAGATCTAAGATGAAAACTAGGGATTGGCTCTGTTCTATTCTATCGGTATACAACTAGTTGTGTCAATTTGTCTTCCCAGAAATCGTAGTGAGCACATGTCCACATCTGATACAAGCTTCTATTGGTCTTCAATATTTCCATGAAGGCCTAAATCGGTCCCACCGCTACGACCCAGATTGTTTACAAGGTAAATGCTGGTCGAATGTATTCAATTGGCCTATCGTATCTTGGGTATCAAGTTGTAGATACCTACACGTAGTATGTATCCCGAAGTTATCAGAGCATGTTAACTAAAGAGCAAGAGCAGTAATGGTTTACTCGTCCTCATCATAAGAATCTTCCTCATCATCGTCCTCGTCATCTTCGTCCTCGTCGTGAGCAGGCTCACGCCTCGAAGATCGTCTAGGTCCCGTACTTGGCGGTGCCTCGCGCTCGACTCCGTTCTGCTCACGTTGAGTATTTACTCCATCAGTATCAGCATCCACATCAGCAGGCCGAACAGTCGCCGGCTTGATGCCAAGACTCCTCCCAAGCCTCCCCTCAAAGTCCTCGAGCTCATCCTTCTGGAGCTGTGTCAAGTTCCCATGATCACCCTTCTCCTTGCCGTAAACAGTACGCACAAGACCCGCCACAGCACCGGTGCCAACTTCCACTTTGCCCCGCGGACCAACAATATACTCAATCACTTCTTCACCGCCATCCATCTCCCGCGTTTTGATAATGTACCCCTCCTTGCATAGCCGCTGCAGCAATTTGTCCGTGCGATCGATCGGCGTACCGACATCCGCATTTGTGCGGGCCAGGTACCGGTCGAGTTTCTGCTCACCCAACGAACCACCATTCAGCATGATCACCGCTATGATGAAACTGTAAAAGCCCGTATATGTGCTTTCAGCGTAGAAGGAGGGGGCCTTTGTCGGGATCAGGATAGCTGGGGAGCGATATGGCATTGGCAGAGTAGTAGTTACGATCCAAGATTTATTGGCCGCAGAAGGTTTTTCGGTTTTTTGCGCAGCTATTGAACGCCATGTCAATAAAAAAAAATAGTCTGGGGACTCGCAGCCGCAACATAGCAATGCGCACCAAAACTCACCTCGTCGCTGGGAAATCGTGACTTTTTCTCGCGCTGGTAATTCGCTCATTTGCATACCAAACCGCTGCTTCAGTTCGCGCTGGGCTTGCTCGAAAACCGGCTTGAATTGTCGTGAGCCTTGCTCGCCCAGCACCTTGGTGCTGATGTCGTTGCGCCGGATTGGTAGTCGTGAGTATTCGCTTGCCATGGCTAGGCGTACTAATTTCTTGACCATTGCATCGGTGCTTGTGGGTGCGCTTGGTCCGCCATCGTCACTGTCTGCCGGTGCCGATGACTCTGTTTCTTCGCTTTGCCTTCTGCGCCGGCGCGCGTTCGGGGTGGCGAGGTCGGGTCCTGCGTTGGCCTGGACAGCGAGGTTAGTTGATGGAAATTGTGAGTAGAATTAGGATCACGTACTCGTCTTTTAAGACCTACGGGCATGTTGGCTGGTGATTATGGTTGCGTTCGAGGAGACGCGACGCGATAGATGATTTTACCCCATCTGGACTGGTCTGTGCGCGGCCCTTATCAATGGCTTCTTTGTTGCAGTGTATGAGACCTCATGTTCGAATCTTCTTATTTCGGGGTTATTTCGAGGGCTGTCTTTGATTATGTCACAAGGAAATAAATTTCTATATGTTATGAAAAGAGAGATTTACATGCTTATGAAGCTGATTATAATACCTAGGGAGGTTTAGAAAAAGATATATCAATAAAACCCGGGAGAGGGGAAGTAAATACACCGAAAGCAAAGTAGCGTACTCCGAACAAAACAGCGACAAGGTATTATTTTCTCTAAAAAAGGGCAGAAAAACAGGAAAGAAAACGCCCCAAAAGCTCAAAGGTATCTCAAATCAATGGCTATTCTTTGCATTGACAACCTCATTCGCTTCTTCCTTCCTGGTCTGCAGGAAAGCGCTGACCCAAGCTAGTGACTCTTGCGACAGGACCAAACTGGTAGTGACAACAGCCTTGCCGGATGCGAAGACACCATCACCGCCGCATTTCTTGTACTCGGAGCCATAGATATCATAGACATGGTGCTTGACATCCCCGACGACGCGGACGGGCAGGGAGGCACTGTTGTAGATGGAGCCGCGCAGTTTCTCAGTATCCTCCTTGATGATAGGGAAACGGGTGTCAATCTCAGTCAGACCCTTGTCGCCGAGAGAATCGGCACGGGCGATGTAGGGTGCGACATAGCTGTAAGGAGTGGAGAAGTATGGCAGAACGGGCTTAGCGAGACGGGTGTAGCCTTGGTCGGCGAATTCGAGGGACTTGGCTCCGTAGGGATTTCCCTTGTAGTAGGCAATAGAGTCTGAGACGATAGGGTAGGAGGTGAGATGCTGGATTTTGAGCGTGGTTAGTGGGGTGATTCTGATTCTGAGGTGTGTTGGCTAGTGGGGGGTATACATACATCGATGAATTGAGAGTAGTGCTTCTCGCCGTTGACGACCGGTTCACCCATGTTGGTTTCTGCGTGAGGCATGAAGATAGTAAGAGTAAGGTATAATCTTGCAATAGTTAAGAAGGAAAGAAAAAAAAAAGAAGGGAAGAAGGCGAAGATAAACTGGGATATAGAAAAATAGGATTTTCACATGTGATTGCGCTGTCATTATGCAATGGGTTCTACCGCCATCGCATCATCTGTGCACTGGATTGTATTCTCGGCTGGTTATTCGCCTTGGAATTTTGCTTTATCTTTTCTACTTTTCTTCTTTCCTTTTTGCTTTTATTTTTCGTGGGCAAAGAGTATAACAGCCTCAGGTCTCGGGCCTGATGCCCCCACGCCAATGCGCCATTGAGTTTGGGCATTATGCACCTGAAACTGTTGCCCGCAATCGGATTACTGCTATTTGAGCTTTCTATATAGGCCATTCCCTCTATTTAATATCTGCTATAGTTGTTTCTCCTTAATGAGATCACAGGGAGTAAAAAGCGGCGAAAAAGACTCGCCAATGAGTTTTCTGATAAGCGGCTCTCACATGTGATAGCGGGTCCATCGACGCAAACGCTGTTCCACTTCACGTTACCCTCTGGCAATATTGGAGCTTGCCATTTCTCTAGATGCATCTGGTATGTTTTCCCCGAAATATCCTGGAATACACTCAAGGTATATCTCTCTGACCTCCGGGTCTAAATGAGGGGTCAGCTTTGCAAGTTAAACCTTGTTTTCACCTGTGCCTCGTTGGACAACCTTGCTTATCTGCGTCCTATAATAAAACTGCCTATGGCCGCAGATCGGGGTTTGCCAGGATACTCTGACTTTCGCATCGGATACTGGCCCCGGGGTCTAGCCCATTTGCACCTACATTAGCGATGCCCATGATGTATCCACCCATTGGCCTGAGCGTCGGCCCCCGAACCTCCCTTCTGTACGAAGTACGCAGGTCACTTTCCGGGAGTACGTAACGGCTTCCGGTGCAAGTGCGGTTTTGACGAGCAAGGGATTGCGCAAGTTCCTAGCCAGATTGGAGATCGTTCCCTTGGCCGGGCATGCAACTGCTGGCGAGATGACTCGTTGTGGATTCATCCGAATCTCGGCGTTTGACATATAGACATATGAAACGGTTGCGTTTGATAGTGAATCTCTTGTACGGAGTACTACATATGATCATGCTATGTATATCATATGTCTTGGCCCGGGCGATTTACGGACTCGGAGGTATTTGGTACGTATCTTCACCTCGTGCTGTGGACTCATTGATACCCAGCCAGCGAATGGCGGGACCGCTATCCGGTACGACTCTCAAGGTTACCAGCACGTAGCACATGCCAAACTGGAGACTCCACTAAGGGAATTAGAATATACATAGCGCCGTAATCCGAAGCCGAAGCCGGGGGGAGAGGGAGGGGAGAGAGGTGGACCTTGCCTGCGTTTAATTTGGTTAATTTTGAATTCCGTAGAGGCGGCTTCCCGCGAGTGGCAATTGAGCTACTTGCAGATCACGGTATATCGGCCTTCATCTGCAGTGGTCTCAACATCTTCATATACAACTCCATAACAATTTCCCTTTCCAGGTATGAAGCTTTGCTGAAATCATTACTGGAACATCATTCTTGACCCTATTGCTGCCCTAAATGACATTGCGATATGCAGTGTAAAGTTGTGCGGCGGACTTCTTGGAATAGACTGTGACAAGCACGCCACTCCCTTTTCATGTTTAACTCTCTATAGACACTTGACCTCATTACAGGAATCTTCCCACAGAGAAAATACCTATCAATACGATCGAATATATGTGCAATTGCCTACCTAGATCTATGCACCAACTCCGGGTGGCGGGCTTCGAATACCTCTCCGGAAGGGTGGAAGGTAGCATCTCGGGTATAGCCCTATGATAATCTAGCCTTCGCGGACGCCCGTGATCCGCCATCGGGTTGGAAGGTATCTGTTTCACATGCGAAACTGGCCTGCCATTCGACGTTACCACTCTTGATATCAAGGGTTCTCTGTTGCCTTGTCAACCCAGGCGAATATCACATGCGTTAGGCGAATAACGGCTCTGGTGATTATCTGTCCATCACAATACGCACCATCTGATACTATGTGTGCTCTTATGCGGTTTGGTCCAATAATAGACGACAGATCAGTTATTCTGAATCCCAATAGTCTCGAAGCGCTTTGCCCTTGTTAGCTTGGCTTGGCATTGTTTTTTTTCGCATAATAGCCCCCAAGAGGGATACCACGTCAACAAGTATGCCAAGAATCAGCCGTCGGGGGGCTTTGATGCCATGCATTAGTTGGTATATAATAATATATTCTTGCCGCTTTGTTATCTAGACTACGCCACCTAATTGCTCTTCAGTTTTCTCATATTCGTGATGTTATTGCATGGGTTGTCTGGAAGCTAGAAATCGGTGATAGCATATGAATGTACAGCATGTCAGCATGTTACGATGTAGAGAACCTTGGAAATGAGGGGTTATGATGTACAGCATGCAGGCATTGATTCTGAATTGTCTTCCTCCGATGTAATATAGCTCGGAGATGGATCCTCGGAGTTTATGTTGGAATGGTGAATGAATTCTTTATGAGGCACATGCTTCTGGAAGGGTAGAACTTACCTACTTCTATAATATTCGTTTTTATTACATGTGAATCTAAATATTGCAATAGTGGGAAAGGCTAGTTCGATCACAGTTTACATTTGAGAATCTGTATTAAGAAAGAGATACCACCTCGGAAAAAAGGCAAGCGCAGAAACAAAGTAAAGAACTCACAGGGTCTCAAAGAGTATGCCACTCAGCTATAATGGCTATTACTCACCCTCTTCGAAATAGACAATCTTGCAGACATTGTACTAGTCCCTTAGGGGCTGCGAGAGACTCTGATGGGCCAAGGTTAGTTGAGGAACAAAAACCTCCATATGCTTCGGCCGGGAGGCGCAAGGAATCCAACGGAGCGGTATCATCGAATGTGTGAGGCTCCATAAAATTCGAAATATCCGAATGACAACCACACTCCTGGCGATCGCTTGATGGAGACATGTTCCAAGGATCGATAGGATCCTCGCCAGCAGGGGTACGCAAGGGTGCTTTGAGAACAACGGCAAAGGGACCAACTGTGGGGACATCACACTTAAGGATGGAACTCCAAAGATCCCAGAAGGCACTGTTGACCATATCTTGATCTGTGTTTGCACGAAGCCGCCAATACCGGGAGGCTCGGTCAGATTGGATTCTCAATTCCGCAACCTGGAAGGGCGGGGGCTGGACCTTGTGGAGGAATCTCTCGGGGAGGTCGGCGATGCCCTCGAACTCGTGCTGGACTTGCGTCCACGTTTCCTTGTAGTTCTCATCGAAGAACTGAGTCCACTTTGGATTAGTGCCGCTGTCAGCTAGACCTGCTGCCATCTCCCAAATGAAATAATCGGCGTTAATCCACTTATCGATACTGACTGATGTCTTTAGACCCGAGGTGGTATCGCGGCACACATCGCAGTGCATCAGAACTCGAGGCTTGGCTCGCACAGCTTGCATGGGCACTTTATAATGATTATGAATCTGGTTGTCTTGCCATTCCTCGTTGTCGGCCTCGAGGATAGGAATGGGCCGGAACATGCTTGCGGGAATGGGACGGTTAGCGATATTAAAATTGGGACTTGGTATGTGTCTTGTTGATTGAATGTTGTTTGGACAGTTGCGTGAGTACCGTAGTAATAATGAGATGATCTGGGAAGAAGCTTGTGGACATCACATTCCTGGCGAAGAAGGTTATATAGCTTGTATTCGATGAAAGGTCAGAATCGAAGTTCTGGAGACCAGCAAAGATAGAAAGAAGACAATGGAGATAAAGATTGTCTTTGTCTGCTTCCAAAAATGACATCAAAAAGATCATTCATTGCCATTGTTCTCTCGTTCGTTGATGAGAATGGTCTAGGATGTGTACCATCGGCTGGGGGCTAAGCAGTCCATGAATTCTTTGTTTGAGTTGTTTGCCTTGTAGATAGGACTATCCTGGTAAGATCAATATAGCACGGCATAAGACAGATATTGGGAATGTGGAAGCATTCGAGGGCGACATTCCCTTGGGAAATGATAGACTTGCCTTCTTGGCGGGGGTGGGGTTCGCATGTGGTAAACGGGCTGTGGAGGGGGAAAATCTATAATTGTCTCCTTGAACATGAATGTGAGGACCTAGACCTAGACCTTCAAGGCCTTTAACATACCTTCCTCGAGAGTCGAGAACCTCGAGTCTTCTAAGGGAAAAAAATTACAGGCTTGGGGTTAGATCCAGAGGATAATTTAGCATTGTCAGCAGGGAAGGCGTATTTGCACTCTTGGAGCTACTTCGTAGAATAGCGCGACGTGGATGGGCGTGGGTATCTCAATCGTGGGAACAATACTATCAAGGTGAGAGATATGGGACAAACCCCATAGCTACAATAGATTTTGGTGGCGCGAGCATAACTTGCACGTAGTTGCCAAACCAAAAATCGAGCCCGGCCTATAGGGGAGAAAAATAAATCTCGACCGGTTTTCGGGGAACAGACAACATTGATTTTGAAATAATTGTTCATTTTCCATTTCATTCAGACGGACACCAGGTATGGAAGTGGCGTCCCCGTTAAAAACTGGAGTTCATCGACACATCCCCGAATCTGTTTCCAGCCATGGTATATGTTTTCCCATCCCATGTTCGCAGGGACCGAATGTGCTCGATGGTTTTTCGACCTCGCCTTCACCTAGACCCGTGCGCTCAAAACGACAAAACGCCCAAGTAAACCGTTTAGAAACCTGTTCCGGAGGGTTAGTGTTGAGTTCCAGATGGTATGGAGATGGATATCCTGGGCCAAACGTACGCAGGGCAGTGAAGAACCAACGGTTCTTTCCGCTGGTGTAACGGTCCTCAAGAGCCTTCTTGATGGTCTTCTTGGCGTCCTCGCGCTGGGAGACCTCCTTGAAGGTGTCGTTGGTGACGGTACCCTTGAGACCCTCAAGCTCGAGAGTGTAACGGGTGGGCATCAAGTGGTTGTAGTTGACGACCTTGATGAAAGGCTTGATGCGGCTGCGGCGGTCGACGAGCTTCTTGCCCATACCACGGGTAACCTTGAGGGGGTAGCGCTCGATACCGGCGACAATGGCGTAGGAGAAGGGGTGCGACTTGGAGCCAGCATCGTTAGGCTGGACAATGACGACCTGTAAATCCGAACAAAAATGCCTGATTAGCACTCCGATTTTTTTCTTCTTGTCGCGCATTTCCTCCTCATTGATCGTGCTCTTTCAATCTCGAGTCTTTCGCTTGCAGGTCGTTCGCCTCTTTCCATGCTCGTATTCAAATCGGGGAGGATCAGGATGTTGTCGTACCTTCTTACCGGCGTAGCGGCCACGGGTGATGATGGCCACACGGCCCACTTTCATGACTGTAGCATATCCGTCAGCATATAAATCGCAAGGGGGATCGAATGGTGAAGACGTACACTTCATTTTGAAGGTCCCGGGGGCGGCGAGATTGGGTGGTTGTCGAGATACGGAACGGTCAAGATCGAAGTATTCGTTTTTTCGGGTGTGAGGTAGAGGGTTTCAGGGCACAGTAGCGATTTGTGTGCTGTCGATTGATTGGTCGACTTACCGACAGACGGTGGCTAGCCTGTTTAGGGATAGTTTCCCCATTGGGCCCGGATCAAATCTATGACATAATCGTCGACGGTTCACCGCCTTGCGCTGACTCGGGATTTGTTTACATTGCGACTAGTTGCCCCGGTTGCTATGGGCAGGAGTGATGTGTACAAGGTCGCATATGTAGCTCCCTCTGTCATCCTCTGCAGACAACATTCATCTCCACTTGTTTTTTTCTTTATCAAGTTGATCTCTCGGTGATTTTCTCGCTTCCACCGAGTTTGGCGATTATCAGCTTTTGCTTTGCTCTCCCAGCGTTTCCTCCCTTGTGTTGATATGCCTTGATGACCTTGCTTTGTTTTAACTTTGAACACATTCTACACATACCCCCTACAGTACATTCCATCCATACTGCCAATAACTCTCCGAGACAATTTGGCAATCCATTCACGAACCCATCATGCTGTCCCCAGAAAAGGACATACCCCGTGACCGGGAATTGGTCCGGCATTCGCTGACATACTCCGAGTCTAAAGTTCCAATGTAGGTTATGCGACCAATATTTTCCAACTCCTAACTTGACGGCACCTATGAGTGATTTGAAACAAATGCTAAAACGCAGTTTGCGCAGGTGGGACAGTTCGGATCCTGAGCGTGCGCCTCCGCCACTACCAATGAATCCTCGTTCAATGAGCCCGACGACGAGATCCAACGTGTCGCCCAACATTCAAGCAGTTGCCGCAAAATTTACAGAGAGACCGAGCGAACATGCACCTAGCTCGTACACAACAAATCCCATGCCCTTGAAGTCGTCCTCTCCAGAGAGGTCGTTGGTTAAAGGTCAGCATCACAAGCGCATGCAGTCACTACAGTCTGAGGATATACGACACGACGCGCGCAGTGACTTTTTAAATTATCTCGAGAACAGATCACCAGAGCGACCTCTTCGTGCGACAATTATTGAAGCGGCTAAGCCACGCGATCCAAGCAAGTCTGTCAGTACGCCAACCCTCCGTCAAGAGACAGACCGGGAGATGAACTACTCCTTATCAAGCCGGTACTTATCCAAGCCGATCTTGGGGGAAAGCACTCCGCCATCGGCTACAATGCTGGCTTTGCAGAACATGCAGCTGCCTGTGGAACTCGATTCTCCGTCACCTTCTAAAGCACCAAAATTGATCGCTGCGCCATATGAGCCTCTGCCGCAACCAACCACGAACGTAAATATGGACACTCTGTCAAGCCAAATCCACAGTCTTACTGCCATTGCAAGCAGCTTGCAACGTGAGATGATGAATTTGAGCCGACGTAGCAAAGACAACGCCACCGACTTGGTCAGTCTCAAGGCTGCAACAAATGCGAGGGATGAGGACATTCGCAAAAGCCTCAAAGACTTGTCTTCACATCTCACAAACAAATATCTTGATACCGATGCTGCAAGGTTTGATTTCAGTAATCTTTTCAAAGGTGGTGATGGGCCTAACCCCAAGGATCCGGACAGTCCCTTGTCGAAGAGAAGCTACTCCGCGCCTCGCATGCCGAGTCCTAATCCTTTCGCCTTTGATCGAGATTCTTGTTCCTCCCCTGCGCCGATCTCGGACGGTTCCGCGGCTCTCGCTTTGCTCGAAAAGGTATTGCGCGAAATGGCAACTAAGGAAGGCGAGGAGAGATTGTTGCAGGTCGTCGAAGAAATCAAATCCCGACCCCCTGGTAGCTCCTCTGACAAAGAAGCTGATACCAAAGTCACCGTCATGCTCGAAGAGATTCTCAATCTCGTCAAAGAGGATCCCTCAAGCAAAGCCCTTGTGCGGTCTTACGGAAAAGCAGACGCGCTCGATGATACCCACGCTCACGATGCCTCCCCCGAGGCCACCCGATCTGGTTCTATGGATTGTCTAGATCCCGAAATCGTACGTGCACTAGATATTTCCAAGTCTGATCAAGGAGATGGCGCTAGCGAGGTTATGGCCATTCTTCGAAGTGTGAAACACAGTGTGGTAGAAGGAGGTGGAATGACCAATGGTGTGAAGTCCCTGGTACGTGAACTGAGAGGGGAGGTTCTGGGCATGGGCCGAGAACTAGGTCGTCGACTAGACGAAATCGAGACTTCGCATGCCAATGAAGGCCCTGAGGAGCAGCCTCGGGGTGCTGGCCCAGAGGAAATCTCAGCCATCGTCAACCGCAGCTTGGACGACCTCAAAGAGCAGCTGGCTGCCACAATCAATGAGAGTCGACAGCAATCTTCCGACCTATCCGAGTTCCTATCAACAATGAACAGCGCCACGATCTATTCTGTTGTGAAAAAAGCCCTCGATGAGCTAGAACTTCCTCAACCCCAAGCCGAGCCGAGAGGCGCTGAAATGGACCGGGAAGACATTCTTGAGACTGTCCGTGAAGCGTGGGAGACGTACAAGCCAGAGATCGAGTTCAACAATTTTGGCCTGGAACGAGACGAAATCCTCACTTGTCTCGAAGAAGGGCTCAAATCTTATCAGCCGCAGCATGAAGAAGCAGTAACCTACGACCAGGTGCTTGCGGCCGTGGAAGACGGCATGCAGAAGTTTATTCCTCCTCAAATTGAGCACTCACCAAGTATGTCTCGGGATGAGATCATCTTGACTATTCGCGAATGTCTAGAGAAGCAGCCTGAGCCTGCTACGAGGTCCCTTGAAGAGGAACACGTGGGCCACCTCCATTCTATGCGAGATGAGATCCTCGATGCGGTGGCTAAAGCCACGGCCGCCCACAACGAAGGAACGAAGTCTCTCGATGAGGAACATGTCAACCACCTCTACTCCGTCCGAGATGAAATTCTGGATGCCGTTACGAGTACCATGGCAGCCAATAACACAGCGCCCAGGGCTCTGGATGAAGATCACCTCCATCATCTTCACTCTGTCCGCGATGAAATCATTGAAGCAGTGACCGGGGTAGTGACCAATCATGCCAAGAGTCCCAAACCCATCGACGAAGACCATGCTAGTCATCTGACTTCGCTCCGTGACGAAATCCTCCAAGCAGTCGCTGGGGCGATGGTGAGCAACAATACAGGCTGCAAGGAGTTGGACGAGGAACACATCAATCACCTATACTCCGTTCGCGATGAAATTATCGAGACTATCACTGGAGCTATGGCCAACCAGCAAGCTTCTAGGTCTATGGATGAAGATCATGTTGGTCAACTCAATTCTATGCGTGATGAGATCCTCGGGGCATTAGCTGGCACCATGGCTCAAAGCGCCCTCAGCAAGGATTCCTATGACTCTGGGCTTGGACGTGATGAGATTGTCAGTGCTGTCTCTGATGGTTTGGAGGCTCACTTCACCGCGGCCAAGGATTTAGATGGGCCACGCCTTTCCCGACATGACGTTATGAACGCCGTCAATGAAGCGTTTGACGCTCAACAATCCGCCCTCACCATTGCCCACGCGAATATCTCTCGTGATGAGATCTTGAACGCCATTGCCGAAGGAATTGAAACTTCAATGCATGCCCAGCAATCCGCACTAAGCACCAATGTTCAACCAACAGTCTCCCGTGAAGAAATCTTCGGCGCCATTGTAGACGCCATTGAGCAATCCCGGTCTTCCTCTGGCACTGGCGGTCAGCCTAGCATTTCTCGTGACGAGATTCTGGGAGCCATTTTGGAAGGCGTGGAGCAGTCGTCAAGACAGAAAGAGCCAACTATCTCCAGAGACGAAATCTTGAATGCTATCGCGGATGGTATTGAGAACTCAAATAACTCTTCTTCGCGTGCTCTCATGTCGACGCATCCTGAGCCCGAGAATCAAAACACCCCTCTCTCCCGGGAAGAGATCTTCACTGCCATTGTCGATGGCATTGAACACTCTCATGCTGCACTCGGCTCAAATTCACAGCCTAGTGTTTCCAAAGAGGATATCATGAGCGCGATCGTTGAAGGCATTGAGGCTTCCACAGTTAGTCAACAATCAGCGCTTAGCACACATGTCAAAGAGCCCTCCATCTCACGAGAAGAGATTTTGAGTGCCATTGCAGAAGGCATTCAGAATGGTAACTCTATTACCCGGGAGATCGAACTCAACCAGGATGACCTCATGCAGGCGATCACGGCTGGTCTCAGTGAGGCTATGGGTACTACCAATACCAATGTTAGCGGGGAGATGACAGAGCGACTCCAGACATTGTTCGACGGGATGAAAGAGGAATTCAAACAGTACTCTTCCGCCGGAGGCCGAGACACTGAACAGGTGCTTGACGCGATCAAGGATGGTCTTGATATCGTCCACAAGGAGATCGAAACTTACGTGGTTGCAGCTGCCGATCTTTCGGGGAAGGACGAAGTCATCGACACGGTCAAGGAAGGCTTCCGTCTCCTTCATGCTAACATGGAGAAGACTATTACCGAAACTTCTCTTGCAAATGCGCCTCGAGGTAATCCTGATACCCCTGAGCTCCTAGATGCCATGGAAAAGGAGTTTGAGCACCTGCGAGGAACAATCACGACTCTGCTTTTGCGCAATAACAGCACCGAGGACAAAGATGAGATCTTAGACGCTATCCGGGAAGTCTCTGATCAGCAAAAGAACGGATCTGGTACTCAGGAGGTGATTACCACTGTCAAGCAGGAGTTTGAGAGCCTCCGAGAGCGGATAGACACGAGTGTGGTTCGGTCAGAGCCCAGTTCTGAGAAAGACGAAATCATCTCCACGCTCCGTGAGCTATTTGACAGCTTACGTGAAGAGACCTTGCGTCGAGATGACACCCTTCGCGAACAAATGGATATGAGTGTCGTTCGTTCAGAGCCTGGTGTCGAGAAAGACGAAATCATTTCTGCACTTCGCGAGCACTTCGACAACCTACGCGAAGAGACCTCGCGGAGAGATGAAAACGATAGCATGCTATCTGCGACAAGCGAGCTCATTGATGCCTTCACCGACGGTGTTGGCTCGATCCGTGAAGACTTGAAAAGAGTACTAGAGAAGCCGACTGAGTTCGACAGTTCCGAGATCCTCGACACCATCAAAGATGGTCTCGCTGGCCTGAAGCTTGAGATGGATTCTCTCCGTCAAACCAACAAAGAGCTGCAGGATATCAGTACCACCCGCGGCGATGAGCTCGTGCTGGCAAATGAGACCAACATAGCACCTGACATTGATGGTCTGAAACTGCTCATCACCCAGCTTCAAGCCAAAGTTGAATCCATTGACACTACTCCTCGCGCCCCAGAGCCCGCCGAGGATGCCTTGAAGCGCTCGCATATTGACGAAGTCCTTCTTGCCCTCCAAGAAGTTCAACTTGCCATAGGTGAAATGGGGGCTCAAATCAACCCCCAGAACGATGATACCGCTCGCAAGCAAGACACAGAGGCCCTCGAACAGTTACTATTGAGCACAAAGACACAGATTGACGAGTTGGTCATTCCTTCGCCAGATCAAGTCGCCACTCCTGATCAGATAGGAGCACTTGAGGCAATGATCCGCGAGGCCAAGGATTCGATTGCTGAGTTCTCCAGTCATGTCGAAGCCGAGGTTCCCACAAAGTCTGAGATCGGTACTTTGGAGGGTCTCATCAAAGATGTCTGGGTTCTGCTGGTAGAACTTATAAGCAAGACCAAGGAAGGAGAAGAAGGAGAGGATTCGGAGAAATTACTGAAATCAGATCTTCAAACCATGGAAGCCATGATTTTCGAAGTTAAGTCTCAAGTGGACGAGTTGGTGCTTCCTGATGTAGAAACTCTCCCCACAAAGACGCAAATCCACGAGCTTTCCTCCCTCGTCAGCGACTTCCGAGAGACGATGGAAGCCAACAACGACTTGACGGCCCAAGGATTTGATGCTCGCAAGATCGAACATGGTGGTCTAGCCGAGAAGATTGATGAGGCGAAGTTTGTCGTGGGCGAGCTTGGGGACGAACTCAAGAGCAAACTTGATGGCAGCTCTGAAGGTTTGGCTGAGCTAAAACAGCTCCTCGAAGGCCTCGCTGTTACCGCTGAGAATTTCGGCACCGTCGACAACATCAAGGAACTCACCGATCTCATCAACAGGGAATTCGAACGTTCCCGCGGCGAAGAAGACGCTAGTAAGGCCGAGAAAGAGGAGCGAGACGCTGCTATCTCAGTCAAACATGACGAGACGCGAGCCGCCATCATTGTGGACCTTGGTACAAAGATCGATGAAAAAATCTCCGAAGTGCTTGCAAAATACGAGGACGCGCACACCTCTCTCCAGTCCAAGTTTGCCGAAACCGAGGAAAGAGATCTTGCACACACTGAATCTTTGACGACCACCAAGAGCCTTGCTGAAGACATCAAGCTGGTAATTGGAGCTATGGGTGATAGTGTCAATGAGACCTGCGAACGTTTGAGTGTCGACACCAAGTCCCTCATGGAACAAGTCGGTCAGTCTCGCCAGCAAATGGAGGAGATGCATAACGATGTAAGATCACGCCAGGAGCAGTCCCAGGCCGAGAATGAGAGGGCTGCCGCTGCCACCGACCGAGTGGAGAGTAAACTCCTGGAGTTCCACCCTCAGATTTTGGAATCCGTGCAAGAAATCTTGACGATCGTTAGCCAGCACTACGATCACTCTCAGAAATCAGCGGAGGACTTCAAATCAGAGCTTTCGGCATTGCCTTCCAACATCCCAGCGATGCTGCCCGCCCTTCCCCCGCCAGAAACTGAGCGTCAACTCGCCATAGAGGATACTCCGATGCAAAGCAAGCTTGATGACCTATTGGAACTTGCTAGGGATAACAAGGTTCACGAGGTTTTGAGCACTCTACTTGACCACTACAAGAATGACAAGCTTCATGAGAAGCTTGACAAAGTCATGGATCACGCATCACGCTCCAACGATCAGATACACGAAAAGCTTGGGGAAATTCTCGATCACTCGAAGAATGAGGAGTTACACCAGAAGCTCGACCGGGCCCTCGATCAAACATCTGGGTCGAATGATCAGATACACGAAAAGCTTAGTGAAATCCTTGATCATTTGAAGAATGAGCAGTTACACGAGAAGCTTGACCGGGCCCTCGATCAAACATCCGGATCGAATGATCAGATACACGAAAAGCTTACCGAGCTCCTCGATCACTCGAAGAATGATGAGCTTCACGAGAAGCTTGACCGGGCTCTGAATCAAGCATCCGGGTCAAACGACCAGATCTACGAAAAGCTTAGTGAACTCCTCGACCACTCGAAGAACGATCAGTTAAACGAGAAGCTTGACCGGGTCCTGGACCAAACATCCGGATCGAATGATCAGATAAACGAAAAGCTCACTGAACTCCTTGATCACTCAAAGAACGACCAACTTCACGAGAAACTTGACCGGGCTCTGGATCAAGGATCGGGCTCACACGACCAGATATACGAGAAGCTCAATGAACTTCTCGATCACGCCACCAGTGGTAGTGGTCCTGTCCACGAAAAGTTGGATGCGCTCCTCAGTCGCCCCACGAACCCACCAGAATCTGATCAGTCGGTCACCCAGATGACCAAATTGCACGAGATGCATATGGATATCATGGAAAACTCCCGCAGAATGAACGAAATGTTTGCTGTCCAATCCACGTTCATCGCCGAGGATACTGAGCGGAAGCGGCGCGAAGCTGAGGAGGCCGCGATTGCTCTTGAACGGAGAGTCGCCCAGCGTGAGCAAGTGGAAGCCGAGCTCGTCGGCTTGCATGAAGAGAAGGATTCTATGCTGAAGATGATCCACCGTCTGAGAGCCGAGAAGGAAGATATGATCAAGCAAAACAACAAACTCAATAAGGATCTGTCTGGGCTTGAAACCGCTCTAGAAATTCGTCATGAAGAAATGCGACAAATGGAGGAACGTGCGGACGGCCTTGAGAAACGTATTTTGGAGGGTGTGCTCGACCATGCGCGCACCGTTCTCCTCGGTCGTTCCAATAGCTTGCATGCCATGAACCTGAGGAGGAACCGCAGTACCCGGAGTACCCGTTCTTCTCGAGCAGGTGCTCGCAGCCCCAGTGTTGCAAGCACCGCCAGCACCGCCAAGGAGCTTAAGGACAACAGTTGTCTAGTTGGCAATGGTGTCGGAATGGCTCTGAAACGCCGAGTGCCAACCTCGCTTCAGGCTGGAACAGTCGCTGTGTCGCCCAACATCGGAAAGGAGCGTCGTATCCTGAGCTTGAGTCACGTTACAGGCAACCGTGGAGCCGACCGAAAGGTCAGCGGTAAATCTGGTATCACTAGCTTGAAGCGCAGCCACTCTTTCAAATCGAACTCTCCTCGCAAGACCTCTTGGGCTGGCCCAATTTCGGTTGCCGACAAGGAGAACGAGCCTTTTTATGAAGAAGACGAGCTTGCCAGCGAAGTGGAGGATGCTATTCCCCAACGGAAGATTAGTTACGCAGCAAGCAACGCCACTACCAACCGCAGGACAAGCTACGCAGAATCAGACTTTGGCCCTGAACGAAAGACAAGTTACGCCGGCAGTATTGCCGACAGTGTGGCCACGGATATCACAAATTCGCGTCGTGTCAGCGGAGTGGGCTCCATAAACCCATCTGGTGCGGCTGAAAGCCCAATTGCTGAGGATGCCCACCAGAGGCATCATGATGATATTTCTATTAATGGGTCCGAGTCAGAAGACAATGCGCGAACACAAAAAGCGCATTTTGAGCACGAGGACCACAATTCGGGAGATCACAAAATGTGCTGCCCGATTAGGGAAGCCAATGAGGCCGCATAGGCCGAAGTCATGAAGTTGCTGGCTCCATCTACTGAGAATGGAGTTGCCACGGGTGTTACAGTTTGATTGAAATGTTTTCCAGATTGGAGTTGAGTGCTTGGAAGCACCAGTGAAGTTTTCATTCTTTTCCATATACCACTTTTGTTATGCTTTCGCGCTTGGATGATGTTGAATGACTTTCGTTTGTGACTCTCAATGTGTAATTCCTCAATAATGAATTTCCTTATGTGACGTAGCTGTGTTGTATATGTATATAGTGTGTGTATCCACGTATGTAGATCCATGTGGCCAGGGTCACCAGGATATATTTCTTCGAATCACCATCATATTTCTAGCCATCTCATTCACTTTAGTCCCTGCCTAACCCCTGCAGTCCACGTGTTCCTGTGCAGCGTCAGCCTGCTCCGTTATAAGTCCGCGTGACCAACCGAACAAGGCAGGTGGTCATGTGACGCTCCCAACAGTTGTTGTTGCCTAAGGCTCCGCCGAGGCTTCATCTGGCCATCTTATCTCGACTCCATTTTCCCATAGAGCTTCCTCTCTCCTATTCCTGGTTGTTGGGGTGTCCTTGGTTTCCTTTCCATCTTTCCTTTGTCTCTTCTCCATGTTAGATGGGATAGGGTGCCTTCTCAACTGCATATAGATTCACATTCCTCCAACCGTCCAACGACCTCGAAAGACCCTTTCCCCCCACATCGGCGATCATAACTAGCTAAGGGGACTCCGACAATGTTGGACCCCTTCCCACCACCTCCAGAATGGTTGCGGAGCTTCGTAAAGCCCTATCTCCTCCCGCTCAATAGTCCAACACTTGTCGACCATATCCATGAGGTGATAGGAGCATTTGCCTTCTACCTGTTCATTCACGCAGTGGTCTCGCCTGTGCTTTCGCCAATTCTCTTTGCTCGGTCTTATAACAAACTCACACCTCGAACAAAGCTGAACTGGGATATTCACGTTGTCTCACTTGTTCAAAGTATCGTTATCAATGTTGTCGCCTTGTGGGTCATGTTCTTCGACGAGGAGCGCAAGTCTATGACCTCCGGTGAGCGAGTCTTCGGGTACACAGGCGCCTGTGGTCTCATCCAGGCTCTGGCCGTGGGATACTTTGTCTACGACCTCATTGTTAGCATTGTGCATGTGCGCATGTTTGGCATCGGTTTGCTTTTCCATGCTGTCAGCGCCTTGTGGGTGTTTAGTCTTGGCTTTGTAAGTTGCCTTGCCGATCTGCTTGATATACTTCGATATCAAGAAGATCATCGCCCTACATGCTTTTCATATATAGAACAAAAGAGAAAGATACAAGACATCATCTAACAGAGTATCCACAGAGACCCTTCCTGAACTACTTCGCCCCGACTTTCATCCTCTATGAGCTCTCAAGCCCATTCCTCAATATCCACTGGTTCCTCGACAAAGTCGACATGACTGGTAGCCGCACTCAGTGGTACAACGGCATGGCCCTTCTCTCCAGCTTCTTCGCCTGCCGCCTCGTCTGGGGCACCTGGCAAAGCATTGTGGTGTACGGGGATATGTGGAATGCGCTGCAGCTAACCTGGTCTGCATCCACCGCCCCACTCTCAGACCCGGTGAACATCAACGCAAACGTCTTCTACCCAGCTCGTGACGGCAGCTCATGCGTCAACGAAGCCTGTCTGCGCGCAAACGCCGAGATCGCCAAGTATCAGGACTACACCGCCGGAGGCGTGCCGACCTGGCTGATCCTGACCTACGTTGGATCGAACTTGATCTTGAACTCCTTGAACTTCTACTGGTTCTCCAAGATGGTCGAGACCGTTCTCAAGCGCTTCCGCGTTCCGGCTGAGTCTGATGCCAAGAAGGGGACTGTTAGCGCGGAAAAGGCTGCGCAACCCAAGGAAGACATTATGCGTGATGTTGTGCTCGAAACAGCCGCCCAGCTGGAGCAAGAGGAGACTGCTGTCTTGCAAGGCGATCTTTCTGCAGTGCGGGAACATGTCTCTTCTGCTGTGGACGCGGGTCTTGGTGAAGAGTTGCGTAAACGAAGAGCAGACCTTGTTGCAAAGGTTCCTTTGCCCGGCGCTTGAGGTCTGGATCGAAGTTGATGATTGGTAAATTTTGGCTTTGAAAGATGATAAGTTTTCTCCCCTTTCGTGCAGTTGGCTTCATAGTTTATTAGTGGAGTGTTTGTGAATCTTCATGATGTTGCTTTCCCTTGGAGTTCTATTGGTTGTCTTGGATGCATATATGTATTGGTTTTGTTGGCCTCTTGGATCTACTTGACGCAGAGAAACGACACATTGAGATGAGGATGGCTTTCCCACAATATTTGCGAGTTTTTAGGGCACAGTCAGCTTTGATTGCGCCGGAGACCATTGCACACGTCAACAATACAGACCACCAGATTTGGGGTTTCTAGCAGTCTTTTGTTCTTTTGCTCACAAGATTGTGAATTAAATCCGAAATCATATTGGATCGTATCGGATTTTTAGAATACAGACTTTGAAACATTTCAATCCTGCCTGTCAGACCCCGGCGACACCAGCCCAAACACCACACAAGCGCCCTAGATCAGAAAGAAAAAAAAAGAATACACCGCTCCATCCCCCTTGAATGATGGGAAACACTGTGGAGCTGCAATTTAGAAAGGAAAGACAAGCTGGGGAATCTACCGAGCAGCTGCAGCATCGGGTTTGGCCAACATATAACGCACAGCCTCCTTGGCAACGTTAGAGTCCCAGGGGCCATCAACGCCGCCGTAACGGAACTCAGATCCACTGCCATCCTCACCGCCACCACGGGTAGCTTCGCCCATGATAGTCTCGAGATCGCGGCGCTGAGAGCTGACCCAGCGACGGATAAAGTTGACTGGATCCTTGCTTAAAGCGGTGTAGAAAGAGTGACGGGCGCGGGAGTGTGTAAGGGCCTGAACAATCAGGGCAACTTGCTCATCAAGTGAGGAGATTTGGCGCAGGCCAGCTGCGTACGCCGGGTTTTGAGTGAGAGCCATCATCTTAGTACGCAGGGGGTCGTCAACTGCAACCTGGATATCGTAGACCGTCGGCGTAGGATTAGCGTGGAACTCTTCGTCCACGCGAATGGTATAAGGGAGCTTGATTGGTTCCATTGGGCTGGTGTGATGACCAATGCTTTCAGGGATTTGGGGGAAGAACATTTGCTCCCGATTGAAGATCTACCTGGATCGTTAGTATTTTATACAGAGATCAAATGGTCATAGCACATACCGAGCGCAGACGGTGATCACAGCGGACTTGTCGCTTCTCCTCATCTTCCTGCAATTCCATAGCACGAATGTAATCCCAAAGCCCGAGAACAATTCCACTGCGGGTCTCTTCCTCAACATCCAGAACCTCAGCCAGCTCCTTGCTAAGCTTGTATCGCTCTGGGATTTCGTCACGGACAAGACTAATGGTGACATTCAAATTATCCTGCGAGGCTCGAGAGAACTGCAGACTATCGAATTCAGCGTTCGGGGGCGCTGGTGTGTTGGCATGCGTGTTTGGTTTAGACCAGTTGACTGGTTTAACCTCGTCAGGAATTGCTGCAGCGGGCTTATCAAAATCGATGGTGATGGCCTTGAAGAAATGCGAGAAACGCTGAGACGAGCTTTTAGTTTCGGACTTGTTCGTCTTATCCTCCTCGGCTCCGTCGTGATCCATGGCGTCGTCATCTTTCTCGTCCTCAGCGGGAACCGTAGGATCGGTTTCATCATCCAATAGCCGCCCTTCGATGCGTACTTTGTATCGACCCGAGCCTGGATTGTTACCCGGGCCCTGCCACGGCTGGCTTTCAGCAGTATTAGAGATCCAGATGCGCATAGTCCGATACTTCTTGACGGTCTTGTTGATGGAATCCTGAATATCTAGCCTCTTGCGCACAACGGCAGCATCCAACCGTTTTTCTAAATCGCGAAGGTTCTTGTATTGTTGAACACCTTCGCCGATGATCACGTCTTCAATGCCATCGGGGAGGTTCTTGTCGGTCGGCTTGCGGCTGCGCCGAAGGGAAGCATCGCTGGGGTGGGCCATGGCACGCGCAGCCATGTACTGTTGAGGAACCGCGTGCTGTGGCATCGGAACAGGCATTGCGCCGCCTATGGAAATGTAAGATTAGAGACTAGTTAAATAGGTGGAGACCGATGAAAGGGGACATACCCGGCCCTGGGGGGCGACGTGGTGCGGCTGGGGATCGTTGTGCGTTTGGGGGCATAGCCCGAGCATAGTGTTGCTGCATTGGAGCTTGCATTGTAGAGGAATCAAGCACCGAAACGGTGGTGGTAAGATGGCGGATGGAGGGGAAAGATGCGAGATGTTGGAGATGCGAGGTCGCGATTCTTTTGCCCGTCGCGCTTTACCCTTTTCGGACGATCGCGAAGAACACCATCCAAGAGAACAAACTTATGATTTCACGCGGATTTTGCGGTCTAACATTCCAGAAAAGAGCTTAGGGCTAATTGTCATGGAATGATGTGCTCTATAGCTACTTGCAAGGATTAATGGTCGAGTGTGATCGTGCATTGTCTCGATTATTTCCTATCAAGTCATCATCTAACAGCATTGGATAAATCCCATCTTTCTACTCCAGAAGAGATGCCTGGTTAGTATACAGCCCTTCCACCACATTTCCGAGCTTTTCAATTGTCTCCAGTGCTGCGTCATAAGCCTGGTCCCGCTCTGTCTCATCATACACGATCAGACATCCCGAACCCTGGTCCAATACACCGATGATCACCTTGTCCAAGATCATTTGAGACAACTTTCTTTCCACTTGCTGTGTGTCCAGACCCACCATCTTGGCAATGTGGTCCAGCTCCACCCGGCTGAAGGGCTCAATGACCTTGATCAAGTTCTGTTCCAACATGGCATCGTAAAGACGACGGAGATGGTTCCGAATGAAAACATCGCTGCCCAGTTCGTACCGGTAGTCTGAAAGGGCCTTCTCGTACTCTTCGAGGGACCGATTGGCGTGGGCCCGTGCAACAGCCTTCATAGCCTCCAAACGTGGGCTGGCGTACTTTTGCGCTTGTTTCGAGCCCAACAGCTGTGTGACATCATCAACCAGGTTCAACATGATCTTGCAAAGAAGCATGTACTGCATTGTCGCCGTAGCAAGGTCGCCCTCATCGAGCGAGCTGTATCCCTCAAGTGCCTCAATGAAATAGGAGTATGATGTGGTGAAGTCCTTGTCTTCGGCGTGCAGCATGCCGCTTTGCATATCTAGACCGGCCTGTAGATTTGGCGGCGTGTAAACGGAAGCAGCTGATGTCCGTGCTGCTGTCAGAGCAGCGCGTGCCTTAGCCTGGTTACCCAGAGCATGGTACACTCGCGATTCAAGCAATTGTACCTCCACCAGCATAAGCTTATCATCCAGGCGCTTCAGCTCCCGAAGAAGAGAATTGATAAGAGTAAGAGCGTCATAATAAGATTGCTTCTGCATATAGATGGCAACAAGTCGGGCTTGAAGGGCCTGGCGAAGGAACGATCGCCGCTCAGTGATAGCCCATTCTATGCATGATTGGATGACGTTGCCTTGGAGTTCGAGTGTGTTGGGGATTTCGCTAATCAGGTCCAAGAGTTGACGGACTAGATTATTTATCATTAGCTAGGTTCTATGCACGTAAACTGGCGCGCAACTTACCCAGTTTGGCAGTCTTCGCTTTGGCAAATGATGAGAAGGTGTCACGGCTGGTCTTGATGAGGTCCGCAATCTCCTGCGGCTTCTTCGCATCCCGATGCAACTCGCCCAAACCAATCAAAGCATGTTCATAGTCTCGCGAAGAGGCCTCTGTGGAGCCGGGGCCCTCTGAGAGGATCTTCTGGTAACTGGTCGCTGCTTTCGAGGGATCCTGCTTGACCAAGTCTCGGACCTCTTGAATCCGTGGCGAGACCTGGGATGACATGATAAAAGACGGCAAATGGCGAGCGATCGAGATGAGGAATTAGAGGGAAAGGGAGCAAGAAAAGATGGTGGTTTGAAGAGAGGTTGATGACCAGGTTGAACGGGGAGCTCGAAGCTGGCGGCAGCTCATCGTCCTCTCACCGCCCGCTTGGCAAATCAAACAGAAAAAAAGTTCCATCAGCGATTTTCTTTTCTTCTTTTCATAGTTTTCACAACGCCAACATGGTAAGTATTTTTCCTATAAAATTTGCTTATTGGATGGCCATGCTCATTATGTACAGAAAATCAAAGCACTTTCCCGCTCCACGGCGTCTCAACAGGCCCCCGGGTCCGCTGTCGTTCGCCAGTCGCGGAATCTGGACCCGACTCAGCACCCTTTTGAGCGGGCTCGTGAATATACTCGAGCTCTCAATGCAATCAAGATGGAGCGCATGTTTGCTGCTCCTTTCCTCGCGCAAATGGGCAACGGTCACGTTGATGGCGTTTACTCCATGGCAAAGGACCCCGGTTCTCTTGAACGCTTTGCCAGTGGCAGTGGCGATGGTGTGGTGAAGGTGTGGGATCTGACGACACAGGGCGAAGTCTGGAATACCCAAGGCCATGAAAACATGGTCAAGGGTTTGTGCTGGACGCCGGAGCGAAAACTTTTGTCATGCGCAAGTGACAAGACAATCAAGTTGTGGGATCCTTACAACTCGTCATCTGAGGCTCCGCCGATGGCAACCTATCTTGGAAACAGTGCCTTCACTAGCGTCTCGCATCACCGGACTCTCCCCTCTTTTGCTGCTGCATCTGGTGTTATCTCTATTTATGACCTCTCACGGCCCTCTTCTACACCATCGCAGACTATGCACTGGCCGACCAGCGTTGATACCATTACATCAGTTGCTTTCAACCAGACTGAGACCTCCATCCTTGCTTCAACTGCCATTGACCGTTCGGTTATCATGTACGACCTGCGTACTTCCCAGCCGGTCCACAAGACGATTCTGAGACTGGCCTCTAACGCCATTTCTTGGAATCCCATGGAAGCATTCAACTTTGCCGTGGCAAACGAAGATCACAACGCTTATATCTTCGATATGAGAAAGATGGACCGCGCCCTCAATGTTCTGAAGGATCATGTGGCCGCTGTTATGGACGTCGACTTCAGCCCCACAGGTGAAGAGCTGGTCACTGCTTCATATGACCGGACAATTCGCCTATGGAACAGATCAACTGGTCACTCGCGTGACATCTATCACACAAAGCGGATGCAGCGTGTCTTCTCTGCAACATTCACGCCCGACAACAAGTATGTGTTGACGGGATCCGACGATGGCAATGTGCGTCTCTGGCGTGCTAAGGCATCGGACCGCAGTGGAGTTAAGACTGCTCGCCAACGTTCCAAGCTGGAATATGATCAAGCCCTGATCAAGCGTTACTCACACATGCCCCAAATCCGCCGCATCAAGCGCCAGCGTCATGTGCCCAAGCCTATCAAGAAGGCTGGCGAAATCAAGCGCGAGGAGCTCAATGCTATTAAGAGACGTGAGGAGAATGTGCGCAAGCATACTAAGAAGGCCAACCTGGCGCCCAGAACTCATGAGCGTGAGAAGATGATTTTGGCCAGCGAACAATAAACCATTCAACTTGTTTTATGACTTTCCATTGGCCAGGCTCCGCCCCAAGTCTTGCAATCGAGAATATGGTCGAATGGAGAATATGTTCAGTGAAGCAAACCGCTCTGCTTTATTTACATGCTGTCTGGGCCCATATAAAGCCCTTTTCATGATTCATGCCAATATACACTGCTCGTCATTATTCGAGCCACATCTCAATCCACCTTCCGAGATGCTTTTTGACTTTGAGTCACAGCCGCATCAATTCCACTGATATATCTCGCAATCCGCTGCAACGCAGCGGGTAGCACGGCATACCAATTCACGAGTGATGCATAAAAAGGCAATCTGATCACGCCGCCTCGACCGCTATCAATCGCTGCCACCATCTCCCGCGCAACTTCGACAGGTTCCAAGACTGGCGCAAAGAAGTTGTTCGGCGCACGCACCCAATCGAACAGTGGCGTTGACATCTGCCCAGTTTCCACTAGCAATGTCTTGATTGACGGATAAATTCGGGTCTCCGCTTCTATTGTCCGATGCAGCGCGCTGAGTCCCGCTTTGCTTGCTGCGTAATCTGACAGCCCCGCGGCAGTGAGCTGACCCAGCACCGAACTGATTGTGACAAGCGTTCCCCCGGTCTCTGCTGCTATGAGCCCAGGAAGGAAGACTTGGTACAGATGGAACGCCGCCATGAGGTTGGTGCGGATGGTCTTCTCAAATTGCGCCGCTGGCAAATCGAGCAGCGAAAGACCGTTGATCCTAGCAGCGGCGCAATTGATAATGATCGTCGGTGTTCCTAACTGCATTATTTTAGCAAATCAGACCTCAATCGAAGCAAGCCATAGAGCACTATAAACACAACCTGTCCGACCATACAAATCCCCAGTACCGAGTACTAGTAGCATCATTTGGTTTCAAAGGTCACACAACGAAATCAAAAGCAAAAAAGCAAACATACCTTTTGTAAAATCCTCCCCTTCGCAGCCTCCAATGCCTCCCTTTCAGCAACATCACACGGGATATATAAAACACTCTCCCCAAAGATCTCATCCCGGCTATCCTCCGGAACATCTTGGATATCCAGTATGGCGACACTCGCTCCACGCATACCATACATCTGTGCGATCAAAAGACCCAGGCCACTCGCACCACCTGTAATAACAACGACCTCATTCTCGAAGTCGACTGTGCGCGGGACACCGTGCGCAATGCGCTGGTTGATGGTCCGCGCAACGAACAGGACTGTTATGGCAGTTGCATAGCTCACTGTCAGAATCCAGGCTGGATCTGTTGATGGTGTTACTTGAGCACGCAGACAGAGAACGAGGATCCAGGCTATAAAGGGGTTTAGGAGAGATTTGGAGAGGATGCTGATTAGGGTGTCGATTGTTAGGAGATTGGAGCGTGAGTTTGTTTGCCCCGCGGTTGGACGGGGTGATTTCGCCGTTGTTTTTAGAATCGGGGGATTTGGAGTCGACATTGCAAAGTCTGCTTTGGGTTTGATTCCGGTCTAACAATCAGATGCGCAGGACGTGCAGGTGTGCAGTGAGTACCTGGTCAGACACGAGATTCGACACGCGTTTGGCTTTGCGGGGCCGATAAGATAAGGGAATCTATAAAGATCAGCTCTCTCCAGCCAAGTTGCCTGTCTGTTTAGAAGAGAAAGGTTTAGACTAGAAATAGCCCTAGAAAGCACTGCTTGCTGGATTACCGATAGGTATTGGTCTCATTCGGACCCGGAAAAAAGGTAAGAAGGCTACGCAAGGAAATAACAACATTGTTAGAATTCCATGTCAAATGACGAGATCTTTGTAGCGGAAAACACGAAAGAAAGGAGATAGATTATTGGAAAACAAAGCTGGATATTCAAACCAGATCATGATCATAGCGATTATGCCTCTTTCTCCTTTCGTTGAAAAGAAACTCCAGTACAGAACGCCGAAAGTCCCCCCATGGTTATGCCAGATATTGAACCCTTCCCTTTATTAGTTAGAAACGAAATCGTAGATCAAAGACCCTTTTTGCGTTGACCCAAGGGCGAAAGAGGCTTCTTGTTCTGAGCTTTCTTGACTGCTCTAATCGAATGACTGAAGGTAGGGCAATCTTTATCCTCGGCGAGTATGTCAAGATCACTCGGGGTCGACGGCACACGAAATCCCTGACCAGGCTCAGGGTAGGCGCGGTAATCTTCAGCATCAAACTCCGATCCATGATAGGATCCGATTTGTGAGGATCGAGACGCAAATGGGGTAAGAGACTGTGGGCGCGATTGAGAATAAGATGATTCGTCATCGGTAAGCAGGTCAGAGTTCCAAGAAACGAGAGAAGCCTTGCGGGCAGGTTGAGCTGTGTTCGCAGCTTGAGATGTAGACTTGAGCACAGTCTCCGAGGGGTGCTGCAACGCCGTCGCAACAGAAGACATGGGGGCAATTGTTGCTGGGTATCCATGTGAAGTTGCAGTCAACTCCTGATGGGTATTTAGATCTCCAAGAGGCTCTGGTAGAGAAGGAATGGGAGCAGATTCGGAGAGCAATTCAGTCAAGAGTTGATGGGCTTCCGGGCCAGTGGACTCCGGGGCAGTGGTAGTCGAATCCATGGCATAGGGATTCAAAGATATGTTTGCTCTCTCAATGAATGCAGAATCAGAGATTGTATTCAATGCGGGATTTGAAGTCCGCTGATTGTGTGGCGCCGCTGGAAGTGATGGAGTGAAATCAGTCACGGGTTCCATGTTAGGTGGAAACATGGGGACAGAGGGCCATTTGTTTGAGACTTTCAATATGAGCTGCACCAGTGCATCGTGTGAAAGGGACGACAGATATGCCCGTCTCTCTTCTTCTGAATAGTAATTTCCACCAACTTCTTGTGTAGACACAGGGTGCTTCTTTGGGCGTCCAGCCTTTTGCCCTATGACTGCAGCCTTCTTTTGAGATTTGGTCTGGCTCGGCTGGCGTTGAGCAGGCTTACACTTGATGCAAAACCATTGCATCTCCGGAATCTCAATGACCTCGTTCTCAATATTCGGACTATGACATTTCTGATGCCATGGAGCATCACATGTATCACAGAGAACAATAAAATTGTTCGAGGGGCTATTTCCTCGATAGCAACCCGTGCAAATTATGTTCACCTGGCGGGTTTGACGCTTCCTCTTCTTTGTTTTTGCTTTGACAGGTGCAGCTAGCCCATTGGTTGTCATGGAATTCGCATCTGGGACAGCTGGCTGATTGACACGACGACCAGATCGAGTTCGATTTGAAGCTAGCTCCGCACCGGCACTTTGCTGGATCATTTCTGTGATTCTGGAATTTGCCCAACCTGCCTCTTCCTCAAGTTGTGCTGGGTTTTGACGACTTTCCCAAGGGAGATTGTTAGCCATAAGCTCAGGGTGGCGTGGCAGGTCAGAGATGCCTTTGTGGTCAAATATATCGCCCTCGTGAATGTTTTGGGGATGAACAGGGTTGATCTCTGGGGCAGGAAGATCCATGAGTGCTGCTGAGACTCGCATCGTCATTTTTCTTGCAATTTAATCTTAAAACGAGATTTGGCGGAGATTTTTCAAGAGAATAGTTGTGTTTTTTCTAGGACAATGCCTGTCTTCCAATTCAACACTGGTCACAATAGGCACCAGGGAGGTTGCTCAAATGATCAGACAAACATAGTGAGTCCCTCTCAACCCTTGTATTGAAAGCAGGATTGGAGTGAAGTCGTCGAATGAAAGCCTTCTGTATAGGGTCACGTGCTTCCGATGCAACCTTAAATCGCCCTGCTCCATTGTTAACTGACGTCTGAAGGTTGATTGTAGGCTATTCGTTATGATTATTCTGTTTTGTACACATTATCGGAGATTTTTGTTCATTTATATGCCGATTGAGTGCACGATTGAGTGTCGCCTTTGAGACCTGCATAGTACTTGTGACTACCTTCACGTTCATCTATAGAATTATAGCTAAGCTACAACAATTTATGTGCAAATTAAAGACAATTTAAAATTAAGAAAAGGACACGACAAACGCCGAGTGGCCATTCGAATGCCAGAGATTTCTAGCTTCCTATGTTTCTAATTTTTTATATACAGACCTCGGGAGATGTTGTTCATGTTTCTCATTAATAAGTTCAGGTTCAGGAGATGACTCCCTGTTCCTTAAGACGGGCAATATCTGCCTCTCCATAATCAAGGACACTACCCAAGATTTCATCTGTATGCTGGCCCAAAGTGGGAGGAGGTGTGCGCACACCCGGCTTCGCCTCAGAGTACTTGATAGGTGTGTTGACCAGCTTGATGGGGCCACATGCAGGGTGGTCAACTTCTGTGACCATATCTCGCGCCAAAACTGTTTATAGAGTCAGCAAGGGTCTTGTTATATGTAGAGAAAACAAGTAGACTGACCATGCTTGTGGTTCAGGGTTCCCTGAATGTCGTTGACAGCTGCATAGGGCATACCGCTGCCTTCAAAGATATCCAGCCATTCCTGTGTGGTCTTTTGAACCGTGGTGCTCTCGATCATACCGTCAACTTCAGCTCGGTGTTGCACTCTGTCACTGTTGGTGACGAAGCGGGGGTCTGTCTTCCACTCAGGGAAGCCCAATCGATCACTCAACACACCAAACAGTCTGTCATTGCCACCGCCGAAGAGAATGTCTCCATCGAGGGTCTTATAGCTCCTGTAAGGCACAATGGATGCTGGGAGATGTTAGTCTGTCATTATACCACAAGAGACCGTTCGCTGCTTACGGTGTGCTGTGCCCCAACGGCCTGAATCCTTTTTGCCACTGATAAGCGCAGAGCTCGCCAGGTTTGATAGCGTAGCGACCTGGCAGTCACTCAAGCAAGCATCGATATGCTGACCCCGCCCAGTGCGACCCCGAGCAATCAAAGCCGCCATAATGGCATTTGATGTGTACAGTCCCGTGGTCAGATCGGTAACGGCAACACCGACCTTCACTGGTGCGCCATCCCGGGCACCGGTGATATGCATCAATCCCATCTCGGCTTCCACCATGACGTCGTAGCCTGCTCGGTTGCTGTATGGGCCTGTCTGGCCATACCCGGTGATACTGGCGTAGATCAACTTAGGATTGATTTCCCGCAATGTCTCATAGTCCATGCCATATTTTTTGAGACCTCCAGGGAGATAGTTCTCGACTAGGACATCGCACTCCTTTGCAAGCTTGTGTAGAATTTCGACGCCCGACTTGTGTTGGAAGGAGAGACCAAGAGATTTCTTGTTCCGGTTGACCTATATCCATTGTTAGGATCATGATTGTTTGTTCATGGCTTAAAAAATGCTCGTACAGCCAGATAGTAGGCACTTTCGCCAGGTCCTTTCTTGGAAGCATCTTCATACGGCGCATACGGCGGACCCCAGGCTCGAGTATCGTCGCCGCGTACAGGATGTTCAACCTTGATGACGTCCGCTCTATATTTCGCTGTGTCAGCATATCATATCACAGAAGTCACTAATCAGAGCTTCTTTATAGCTCCAAAGCTCAGTACATACCCTAAATCACCTAGGATTTGGGTGCAATAAGGCTAAAACAAGTCAGCACGAATTACAAACACACGGCATACATGTCCAGATATATACTCACACCGGCCAGAACACGCGTCATATCAAGCACCCGAATACCAGCCAAAGGCAATGATCCATCAGCGGGAACTGCAGTGGAATAGCTCCGTCCTGGCACCGTGCGCCGCAGGGTATAGCTACCCCAGGACAAGCCCGATCGACGGGCAACAGCGTGGAATCTCAGCGCGACTGTCATGATGATATATACTGAGAGCGCAGCAGAGACAAAAAGGATGCAATTCAAACAGCGAAGTTAAAATACATAGCAAGGAGACCCATTAAATGGGATCTGGGGAAACCGGCGAATCTCCGCCAAAACGCCGACGCCGACACCGCTCGGAGGAGCTGCCGAAGCCGAGGTGGCTCACGGTGGACCACAGCACATTTTCGTAATCATCAACCGCAACTATGTTCACAGGTCTTGTCGAAACGATTGGAAGTGAGTTTCGCCGATCCATGAGACCATCGAAACCATAGCTTATGTGGTTTTACTAGCTGTCACGGCCTTGGAGCCCCTCGATACCTCGTCAAGCGGGGGCGGGGGAACGTCGCTCACCATTTCCGACTGCGAGGAGATCCTTACCGACGCGCACTTGGGCGATAGTATCGCAGTGAATGGTAATTCGCTCTTCAACTATGATCTGTGGGATATTGTCTAAATCTTGGGCTTAAGGAACATGCCTTACCGTCACCGCATTCGATAAGACCTGGTTCAAGGTTGGCTGTGCACCGGAGACGCTGCGGCGCACAAATCTAGGCTCCTTGCAGGCAAACTCTCCCGTGAACCTCGAGCGCGCCGTCTCAGCAAACACCCGGATGGGAGGACACTTTGTGCAGGGCCACGTTGATACCGTTGCAGAGATTCTCTCGGTCACGCCCGATGGAAACTCGTTGGTATTCCGCCTGCAGCCACGCGATAGAGATATCTTGCGCTATGTTGTGGAGAAGGGCTACGTGACTCTCGATGGTGCTAGCTTGACTGTCACCAAGGTTGTCGATGGTCAGGATGGATACTGGGAGGTTATGCTTATTGCCTACACGCAAGAGAAGGTGGTCACTGCGGCCAAAAAGCCCGGTGACCTTGTCAACGTTGAAATCGATATCGTCGGCAAGTATGTCGAGAAGAGCGTGCAGGGATACTTTGCTGGTACTTCCGGTGGAGATTTTGCTATCTTGGAGAAGATGGTCAACAGGATCGTCGATGAAAAGCTGAAGAAATAGACCACATTCACGAATAACGAATTGCGGAATGGATCACCCTTGTCTTTGTATATCCTGAAATGAATGAATCGATATTTGACCTGGCCATTGTTTTGTTCTCTCCAAGGCCTGGCTGTAGCGAATTGGAGATAGTTCAGAACTTCAGATGTAGCGCTAAAGACGAAGTTGGATTTTTGTTTACATCCTGTCGACTTGGGAAGGAACGCGAATGCGTAAAAGGCAGGCACGACCTACGACCCATTACAGAATGGCCTTAGGCACCCAAGGTTGCATGGCGATTGTTAATGAGACTCACGAGTAGGACTCGCAGCTCTATGCAAGCCTGAGAAAAGGCCCCCAATCTTGCTACTGTTACTGCCATACATGGCACTGTATACTGCGTGATTTGTTTAAATCTTAGACACTTTTGACATTGAACAATGGATTTGCAAGACTGCATTATGTGAAGACAAAACCTAAGATAACGCCGAGATGCCTTCGGGTATGTGACAGTGACAGAAATTTTGGTCCATATATGACATGGATATAACATTGGAGACGTGAAGGCGGGGCCCGTCATTTTTGATTGAGTTCACCAATTTGACAGACGAAGGGGCACAAGCCATTGAATTCCTGAGATGCTTCAATCGCAAGAGTCGGCTCCTTCATCAAACGTACGCAACCAAGTAGAAGTTGATAAAAAAGCATGGGGTGATTCGAGAAGACCATTTACTCTTCCATGGAATCATCCGAATCGGCTTCAGACTCGGAGTCATCCTCGGGTTCACCCTCACCATCAGCCTCCTTGTCAAAGTCATCATCGCTGAGCCAATCCTCATCATCATCCATATCAACATCCTCATCGTCATCAGCCACTTCTTGGCCATTAGCCCTGGCCTTAGCCTTGGCCTGCTTCTTTCGTTCAATGTTCTCCTTCTGCAGCTTCTTTCTCTGCTCCTTCTCCTTTCTGCGAACGTCCCAGCTCTGGTCAAGCTTCCGCACTTCCTTCTCAGATTTCGTAATAAAGTCGTGCCACATAATCTTGCCATCGCAGACTCCATCCTCAACCTTCATCAGGCGGAGCCGCAAGCGAGGGCCAAGCTCTACCAGCTTCACCGCTCGCTTCTCGACACCAGGGGTATGGGCTGGCTTGTCCTGACCCTTCTCTGCGGCCTTTTGGCGCTGCATTTCCCGCTTGTTCAGGACTCGGCGGGTCGTGCTCTCTGCAACTTCAACCTCGGCATCGGTGTCTAGCTCGGTCTCACTTGCTGATGTGTAGCCTGCAGCAGATGGGTCAAGAAGATAATCGGCGGCATCCTCTAGCTTTCCAAGGTTGGGGACGGCGGTCTTCTTCTTGTCTCGGTTGCGGATCTCTTTGGGATCCAGGCGACGGATTCGTTTCGACACACCGGTCTTCTTCGTGGCAATGGCGTAATGGCGTAAAGTCAGGATATATGAATCGCTATCTTTTTCGGCAGGCTCTCGGTTGAGCAGCATGACACGGCGGATGGATGACAGAGGTTGGCTTTGGGGGTTGATGGGAGGGAAGAGGGACTGGAAGATCGTGGTTGTGAGGGTCTCGAGGCGCTTTGGCACTTTGGAATCTTCGGTTGCGTCTGGCGTAGTGAAGTTGTTCATGACCAACAGCGGCGGGGTCTTGTGATCCTGTCCGCCACTTCTTGGGCGCTTCATGGATCTCTCAACATCCTTGCACAGCGAATAGTTCTCAACCTTGAAGTGGAGAGTCGGCCCACGAGGGGTGACAGCGAGTCGCATGTTTGTGTTGCCAGTTGCAGACTTGGAAAATAGCATAAGGTGAGTAACACCGAGAGGGCCGGTCATAACGGTATAATCTCTCAGTCTGTTGGATTTGCGTTCCTAGGTTGTCTGTTAGATAGAGCGCGCAAACCTCGAGTGATGAAACATACCTTCAATCTCACAGCGGTATCGGGTTCCATCATACGACGGACATCCTTAACCAATTGGGTCACACTGCTACCGACTTGAGAAGCGCCTACTCGAATGACCATAGACTTTGGGGTCTTGGACATTGAGGCAGCAGTGCCCTTCACGGCAGAAGCATTTTGCGGCTTCTGGTGGGTGCGCTTCTTAACACGTTGCTTGGCCATTTTGATGTTAGAAACGAGAAAAATGAAATTGGCAGCGAAAAGCAATGAATACCAAGTCCAACAGCTCGAGGTTTTTTTTTCTCCAAAAATTAACTTCAGAAACAGCGCCGGATCAACAATGTTGCGGACCCACATTAAATTATTTCTTTTGAGATAGTCAACGACGACGACATCTTTCCCTATTTGTTTTGATAAAACACGATCCAAAATGCCGATTACCAAGAAGCGCAAGGTCGCACACGCGGCACCTGCTGAAACGGTTGAAGAGAGCGATGCTTCTGCACGGTCTCCAAGCCCCGAAGCTGCAGTTGAGGAGCAGGATGTCGAAGATGCTTCCTCCGAAACCGAGCCCAGTGCGCCCAGCGCCCCCAAGACATTCAAGGAGCTAGGCCTCATTGACTCACTCTGCGAGGCTTGCGAGAAGATGGGATACAAGGCACCTACCCCAATTCAGGCCGAATCGATTCCGCTGGCACTTCAAGGTCGTGATATTATCGGACTTGCGGAGACAGGTTCCGGAAAAACAGCTTCTTTCGCACTGCCTGTACTTTCTGCCCTGATGGATAAGCCCCAGCCATTCTTCTGTCTCGTCATGGCTCCCACCCGTGAACTCGCATACCAGATCTCACAATCGTTCGAGTCCCTCGGCTCAACAATCAACGTGAGATCCACCTGCTTGGTCGGTGGTATGGACATGGTTCCCCAATCGATCGCCCTGGGCAAGAAGCCTCACATTATCGTTGCCACACCCGGCAGACTTCTCGACCACCTCGAGAACACCAAGGGCTTCTCCCTCCGCAATCTGAAATACCTCGTCATGGACGAAGCCGACAGACTCCTCGATATGGACTTTGGTCCCATCCTCGATAAAATTCTCAAGGTCCTGCCTCGCGAACGCCGCACCTTCCTTTTCTCCGCAACTCTTAGCTCAAAGGTCGAATCCTTACAGCGAGCTTCACTGTCAAACCCTGCTCGCGTGTCGATCTCCACCAGCAAATACGCTACAGTGCAGACCCTGCAGCAATATTATCTGCTGCGGCCCTATAAGCACAAGGATATTTACCTTGTCTACCTCCTCCATGAATTTATTGGCCAGTCCGTTATCATCTTCATGCGCACCGTGCATGAAACTCAGCGTGTCGCTTTCTTGCTGCGCGGTCTGGGCTTCGGCGCAATCCCAATTCATGGACAGATGTCGCAATCTGCTCGTCTGGGAGCACTGGGCAAATTCCGTTCCAAGAGTCGAGAGATTCTGGTCGCCACTGACGTTGCTGCTCGTGGTTTGGATATTCCCAGTGTGGATGTGGTTCTCAACTACGATCTTCCGTCGGATAGTAAAACATATATTCACCGTGTGGGTCGAACCGCGCGTGCTGGAAAGAGTGGAAAAGCTATCTCCCTCGTCTCGGTAAGTTATATTTCATTCTTTCATCTACGGGATCCTGATACTAACTCCTCTCCCCGTTTACAGCAATACGACGTGGAAGTTTGGCAGCGTATAGAATCAGCACTTGGAAAAGAGCTTCCTGAATATGATGTGGATAAAGAAGAGGCCATGGTCTTTGCTGAAAGAACCAGTGATTCACAGCGTGACGCCATTCAGGCGATGAAGCATTATGATGAGAAGAAGGGAAGTAAAGGCAAAGGAAAGTTCTCCTTTAAGGGCAAGCGAAGTCGGGATGCCATGGATCAGGAAGAGGGCTAGAATGTTAGTCTGGTCTTATTGCTCTTTGTACATGAAAAAGTGGTCTATCTTACGAATTTGGGGAGTTTGAATAATAAAAGAACCATAGATTTCATTACTGCGTCAAAATGATATCGAATATTTTCCTGGACCATATTTGCGGGGGCCCATACAGTCAACAGAGGTCTCCGCTGTCTTGATTCACTGAGGCCAGTACTCAAATGCAACATATTCCAAATTTGCACCGATGTCTAGCGACATTCGTGAAGACTGGAGAACCAACTAAAACCAGGGAATCCATTAGGCACTGCCTGCCTCGCTAACAGCGTTGGCAACGCGAGTAGCGAGGTCATCGGCCTCGGAGCGGCTGGCCGCCTCGGCGTAGACTCGGACGGCATCCTCAGTACCACTGGCACGGGCGAAGCTGCGGCCCTTGTTGTAGCGGGACTGCAGAGACTCAATAACGGTCTGCAGACCGGCAGGAGACTCGAGCTTACGCTCGGCGTCATATGCCTTGAAGATGGAACGGTCGTTGACCTCAACACGCACAAGGCGCGAGGGAAGATCAGTGTAGGTTCCAAGCCACTCCTTGGGGGACCAGCCCTTGTGGGCGAGGATGGCCTCCACAAGAAGCGCATCGGACAAAGCATCACCGACAGCCTGGTTAATCAGGTCAGTCAGAGCCTGGAGGCTCTCCAGGGCGTGCTGCTGAGCGGGTGATTGGGGCTCGGTGTTCTTGATGACCTTCAGGGCATTCTCGGAGAAGGTGACAGTACCGTGTCCGTTGGCCTCGAAGTACACACCAACATCGAACCGCAATGCGGCGTGGTGAAGGTGCTTCACACCAGTGTTAGTGCAGATAATGGGAAGCTTGAGAACCTTCTCAATGTAATCGGTGCTAGCGCCGTTAGCATAGGCGGTCTGGACAACACCAATCTTGAGCTTCGAGGCGATTCCGGCACTACGGGCAAGATCTCCAATGAAAGAGGCAGCAAGCGTCGCAATGCGGTCACCATCGAGGAGACGAAACACGTTGCTCTCATCCTGGAAGTAGTAAACCAGGCGATCGGCATCACCGTCAAGGGAAGCGCATCGATCAAGCACGGCAGCCTTAGAAGAAGGAGGGGCGCGTTGCTTGGTCTTAACGTAATCGGCACCACACTGCACACATGGTTAGGGGGATGATCGAAATTTGGACCTTAACTAGGTGGAAGCGTACATCGAAGTTCAGTGCGTCAGGGTTGATCACATCGTCGTTAACAACCTTGATATCAATTCCAGAGAGGAACTTCATCAGTTCCCTCAACTTAGGTCCACCGACACCGTTGGCGCAGTCGACAGTCAAAGAACCCTGGACCTTGACTCCTCGCATAACCTTCTTGAAGGAGTTGGCGAGCTTCTCATAGTATCCCTGCTCGGTGGGCTCGCCATACTCGTATTGTGTGCCAAGAGTGTTCTTGCAACGAACAACATAGTGAAGCTGGGGAGTGGTCATATATTTAAAGTCGATGAATTCGACCTCTGTTGCGGTAAGCGCAGCGTTCAGGACACTCACCAGGCGGGAGCCAGAAGCGCGGGTATCACGAGCGAAGACGACACGGGCGGGGTTCGACATCTTCACGTCAATCTCCTTGACAAGATCATCATAGACATCGGCGATCTTATCCAGTGGAGCATTTGCCAGTCTTGTCGCATACTCCTCCCATTCGGCCTAGTTATGACAGTGAGCACATTTCCGAATTTGGTCATTCGACGCGGGTTAATCTCACTTCCAGCATCTCACCCTAAAGAAATATAAATAGTCAGATATGTCCTAAGGGGAATCCTAATATAGCGGGTATCAATGGCTTCAACTCACCATGGGATCAACCAACTTGACACCATTGTCCTCCGCGGGGTTGTGACTGGCGGTAACCATAACACCAATCCATTGTCCGCTGAGCTTCTTGGATCTCAGGCTTGCAAGCAAGCCCACTGCAAATACAACGGTGTTGAGCAGGTCGCTGCGCGGCCAAATCGGTCAGAACAAGTCGGCGTCAACAATAGGATGATCGCGGGGTTCTAGAGGATGTGGAGGCGGGGTGGATCAGCCATATTGGAAGAAAAACTTACGCTTTCATGCGGAACTGTAATGGAAAACAGAAAAGTCAGTCGAACAGGTTCCATAATAAAGTATTCCTTCAGCAATGGGACCTACTCCTGCAGTGCCATACTCAAAGACCTTGCCCTCGGGCTTTGTGTACTGCAAGGCGGCCTCGGTGATCGCTTTCTTGACGGCCGGGGACGCCATGGTGCAAGTCTGTGGTTAGGGATAAATCACAGGAAGAACTTTCAAAAGAAAAGGTATTTTGAAGCTTCCAGTCAAGTCGAGGTCAAGGAGAAGGGGAGCACTTGAAATAAAAAAAAGCGGCTGAGGGGTTTGGGGTGAGACACGACTTATTGCGACGGCCTTAGCGGTGAGAGCGAATAGCGGGGATCTCAGGTACCAGGGCGCGACATAGGACGTGGCAATAACATATCTAGCGCACGAGCCCCCGTGGAAATTAATCGTGACTGTAAACATTCTGGTGGGGAGCATCTCCATCTTCATTATAGCTACCTCCACTTCTAAGATACAGTCAAGCATGACATGTGGGCATATCTATGCTGTTCTGTAGGGGCTTTTTGGATACAGACCCCCAATTTTTACTGATTTCCTATCCCCTCTATGCCTTCAGCCTATGCGCCGCAATATCGTCCTGTGTGTCCCTGATCAGGAACCTGTCGGCAGCGCCCGATGTATTAGTCATAGGAGTACCTTAAGTCGTATGAATGGAGAAGACTTACGAATACCACCAAACAGCGGGTACAACTGTGCCCAGATGCCACAGGCTGTGCGCATCAATCAGCCCATTCCAAGGAGGGAAATCGAGCAACTCCAGACTCATGGCCAAGATAATCCACGCCACAATCATACCAGGCCAGGCGGTCCAAGACTTCATATACTTTTGGTATCGGAAGATACTGAACCCGGTCCACAAGAGGTTCTGGATAATACCAACCACCACGTTGGCTATCATGTTGTAAGTGTAATCCCAGGACCAGAAGGTGAGATAAGACACGTGTAACGTGTATAGCAAAATGCAAATAGCAGTCCACAGACGACGGAGGGTTGGCCGGTATGGAGTAGTTTCAAGGTCCAGACGGAAGATTCGGACAACAGATAGATAGAGTCCGTATAGCACGTTGGCCCCGGCCGCCCAGTAGTCCAGCTTTTCGGTCAAGGGGAAATCCCGAATGTGGAAGATCATGCTAAAACTCCAGCTTGCAAGACCAATGTACCCAAACATCATGTAGTACGGGCGGAGTGAATGCCAGGAGGGAATCGATTCCTGGATACGCGACATGCCGTGCCAGTGCGCGGCGAAGTTGAAGAAGGAGAAGAGCACTGAAAAGGGCTCCTGCATACCCAAAAGCCTACGGAACGGCCATTTCCCGTGGAACTGTACGATCGGGCTGATCATTGGAGGGTCACGCGCAACTCGACGGTCGGTAATGACATGTTGACAGGTGTAGTCACATTCGGCAGGGCAGGTCCATAGTAGCAAACGGTGGTGCAAGGCTAGCAAGGTCAGAAAGGGGGAACGTGGAGAAATGTGAGAATAATGATAGACCTACGTAAGACTGAATTCCCATCCTGACAGTTTTCCGTTTTACAGACCTGGGATCGTTAGCTGTGTCCACGGATTTGTTGATTGCGGACCCGTACCTGGACGCATTCTCTGAAGTCCGGGAGGTGGTCCCCTAACGACGCGTTGGACCTGCCAATAAGTGAGGCTAGGAAAACAAAAGCGAAGAGAGTGTAGATATTCACTTTTCCAACGCCCAGATACATTTTGATCCAAATATCTCAACTTAGGCGATCCACGCGTAAGCTTGGTGAAGAATGACACGTTGAGCGGAGCTCCCGGCGGCATCACAGAGCCTCCCTCGGTGGTCTTGGCAGGATCGAACCAGTTCTCTATTTACCCCACAGCGCCATGGATCGACTTGTACAACTTCAATCTCTAAAGTCTAATTGAACCTATCAGTCTTGTATGTTTTATTGCGTGTAGCCTTCAAGGATATATAGCATTATCGTAGCAAAATGCAAGGCTAATGGCGCAACCTTGGAATTGATCTACTTTCGATATCGGATCTATGGATATAATTGATTGGTATTTATTGTCCTTGGTTTAAACAGCCAAGTTTGCTAATTTCAGCACAAATATCACCCAGGTAAGATGCAGGTACATATCTACATGTATGTTATGTAGGTATTGTACTCTGGGCCTCTCAGGGTTGTACATCTATACCGGTAGCCCTATGGAAATAAGGGCTTCCAATCTCATGTGACTATCTCACGTGATACCCGGAGGCGGTTAGCGCGGGCGGGGATTGGAGTTAAGCTTGGCGGGTGGGCAAATAATCAGAAAAAAAAAGTTGAGGGACTCGATCGCTGTTGAGGTTTTATCTTTAACATCCTTCCTGTTATTTTTTTTCACTCTTCCTTTTTTTCATTCAACACTTGTTCTTCTTTTCCATACCGTCGAGATGGATACCGGAGCCGATACCCCTCAGGGGATGACCAGCAGTGCTGATCGCATGGTTGGCATGGAACATTCTGAAGTCCGCTACTTCACTAGGTACGTTATTCTTCATTGATTGGGATATCTGGGCATTGATGCTAACAAATCTATAGCTACGACCACCACGGTAAATTATTCCGATGCATGACGGGAAATTTCTAGTGTGGCTTTTACTGACGATCATTTTTTTTTATCCCGCCACAGGTATCCACGAGGAGATGCTTGTAAGTATAAATTGGCTGGCTCATCTGCTATTTATGTATATGATACTGACGTTCTTTCTTTTTCTTCTAGAAAGACGATGTCCGCACACGTTCCTACCGCGACTCCATCTACCAGAACCGCCACATCTTCAAGGACAAAGTTGTCCTCGATGTCGGCTGTGGAACTGGTATCCTGAGCATGTATGTATTGACCTCTTGCCCTAGTCCAGGATATCCTGTTGACTGACTTTTGTCATAGGTTCGCTGCTCGTGCTGGCGCCAAGCACGTCATTGGTGTTGATATGTCTTCGATCATCGAGAAGGCTCGTCAGATCGTTCACGTCAACGGCCTGTCCGATAAGATCACTCTGCTCCAGGGAAAGATGGAGGAGGTCAACCTTCCTTTCCCCAAGGTTGATATCATCATCTCTGAGTGGATGGGTTACTTCCTTCTCTACGAATCCATGCTGGATACCGTGCTTTACGCTCGTGACACCTACCTCAACCCCGGTGGTCTGATCTTCCCCGATAAGGCCACCATGTACGTTGCTGGTATCGAGGATGGCGATTACAAGGATGACAAGATCGGATGTGAGTAGCATTCTTCTGTCAGACCTTTTTCTGTATGTTTTACTAACCAAGCTTAGTCTGGGACAACGTCTACGGATTCGACTACAGCCCCATGAAGGAGATTGCCCTCAACGAGCCCCTCGTCGATACCGTCGAGATGAAGGCCCTTGTGACTGATCCTTGCCCTATCATCACCTTTGATCTCAACACCGTCACCACCGCCGATCTCGCCTTCAAGGTGCCTTATGCTCTCACCGCCAAGCGCCCCGACTTCATCCACGCAATGATCGCTTGGTTCGATATTGAATTCAGCGCTTGCCACAAGCCCATCCACTTCTCCACTGGTCCCCACGCCAAGTACACCCACTGGAAGCAGACCGTGTTCTACCTGCGTGATGTCCTCACTGTTGAAGAGGATGAGCGTGTGACCGGTTGGATCGAGAACCGCCCTAACGATAAGAACAAGCGCGACTTGGACATCAGCGTCTCATACAAGTTTGAGACCGCTGACCCCACCCGTGCTGCCGAGGGTGGCTGCTTCTACCGCATGTAAGCTTTCTCTTCAGATTTGTCCTCGGATTTAGGTCATCATACTAATGCATTATAGGTGTTAAATCTTCTATCTCTTTTCTAATATGATGTCATTGTGATGTACAAGTGCATGATTGCACCATCTGAGGGAAATATTTTCGTCCAGGCAATGCATTATGGCATGGGCATATATGAAATTGCCCGAGGCGAATCGGACATCTGCTTTTGCCTTTGTTTATTTCGGCGTTTAGTTCTTGGGAGGCAGGAAAAAAAAGGCATTTTGCGGCGCGAACGGAGGCATATCATTCTGAAGCTCCTCGAATTTCCAGGTAGATACCCCGAGTCGATGCTTAGTTTAGCAAACCCCAACGCTCTTCTTCTGGACATGATTTCCATGTAAATCAAAACCCACCCTTGTACCCCGTAGGGTACAATATCATAGGAAACGAGCGTCGGTGATTGGCAGCGGGAAAACGTGCCAAGAAGGCCGTCGTCGGCAAAGCAAAGGGCGCCCCAAAAACTTATCAGATCCTCGGCTTCTTACAGTCCCCGCAGTTGCTGGAGCTATATTAAACTGCCGAATTTCCCTTGTCTTGATTTCACTCTACTTCCCTGTCCATTTGATCTTTTGTCAATTACCATCTACAACTATTCCAATGTCGGCCCCCGGAGCTGGTCACGAATTTCCCGCCAAAGAGGTTTCTTGGCAGAAGCGCGATGTGCTACTATTCGCCAACAGCATCGGCGTCAAGGCCGACGAGTTGCACTTCCTCTATGTAAGCAATAAGTCATATAGCTTAGCAAGGTACTTTCATCTAACCAGTATAAAGGAACTTGATCCGAACTTCTCGGTCTTCCCGACCTATTCTCTCATTCTCCGTATGTCTGAATGTATCCCATAACTTGAAGACCATCACATTGACGTTCGCCAAAACCCGTTAGCCTTTAAGCTCACTGATCAGGAGGTGATTGATTTCTATGCCCGTCAAAGTGCAGTTCGCATTCCCGGCGTGCCGGACCTGGACTATCGCCATGGCGTTGATGGCCAGCGCAAGATCACGATCCTCAAGTCGCTTCCCACTACTAGCGCAGGGCGCAAATTTGAGCTGCGCAACAAGGTCGTTGGTGTTTATGATAAAGGCAAGCCCGGTACTGTGACCGAGACTGAACAGTCTATTGTTGATAAGGAGAGCGGCGAGGTGTACACAAAGGTCCTGAGCAGTAGTTTCCTGGTCGGCCAAGGTGGCTGGGGTGGTCCTAAGGGTAAGTTCAATTTACTCTATTCAGTGGAAAATATGGAGTACTTACCAACTGATTTGAATAGGACCTAGCACTGTCAACTACCCCCCGCCCGAGGGCAAGGCCCCCGATGCTACCCATGTTGTTCAGAGCAATATGGAGACAGCTCACCTGTATCGGTAAGTATACTTTGCATACAAGGCTCATTCTGATATTTCCGAGCGGTAAAAAGTAGATGATTGAGACATCCGATGCTGACTTCTTGCCAGTCTCAACGGTGACTACAACCCTCTCCACGCTACCCCGGAGCCTGGACAGAAGATGGGCTTCGGTGGCACTATTATTCATGGCCTTTTCAGCTGGAATTCCGCTGCGCATGGAGTTCTACGTGAATTGGGTGGTAGTAACCCTGCCAATATGAAAGAGTTTCAGGCTCGCTTTGCCTCGCCTGTGCGACCCGGCGACAAGCTCATCACCGAAATTTGGAGAATGGGCAATGTCCAGGATGGCTATGAGGAGGTCCGCTTTGTTACTAAAAACGACAAGGGTCGGGTTGTGTTGAGCAATGGCCGTTGTCTATTGAAAGTGACGGGCGTGAAGAGCAAGCTGTGATTGTTACAACCGAGCTGAAAGCAATCAGATACCGGTTGCATCTTAAAATGTATAAGCGGTAAATAGTTATATCTCGGGTCCGAATATCGTACCATATCCATTGATCTATACCTTTCCGGTCTAATATCGTCCTTCTTATACTTGCACGTGATCCTACCCTCGGCTAGCCCCCTCAACCCGAACTTGAAGCTTTGACCCTAATTGCTTCCCCGGATCTGAGGGAACTGCATTGTGTATTTACCTTTCCCCCCTTTGCACCTTTAGTACTACCTACATAACAACCATGAGTTTCGGCTGGCGTACGGCACTTAGATCGAGTGAGATGTGGAGTCGCGCAGGGTAAGACCTCCTGTCATATTCTTTTGTCTTTGAACATCCATTGGACGCTAATTCATCTCGGAGTAGGCTCAAGAGCTTGAGACCCCGCTTTTTCCCCGGTAGTCTGGTATGTATCCAGTACAATTGATCTTGTTCGAATTAATCGACGAAGATCTCTGGAACTAACTTGATCTTTGTGTCCTATTGTCGATAGAATGGTTCCCGACATGTCACATCTGGCTCCCCAAGATTGCAGAACATCACGATAACCAACGAAGTTACTCGGTCAGCTTGGTCCAGATCTGATATAGTGACTCTTCCAGGAATTGAAAAACAGGATCAAACAAGCACTCTAAAATTGTGAGTCATAGCCCCAAGACAAGTCGAATAATCACTGACTTTCATTCGCTAGTGGTCAATTTTTTCTCAGGTTAGTGGCCGAGATATGAAAGTAGAAGGTTGGATGTTTGTTGACAACTGATCTTTTCGATCAGAGAGAACTGCCAGTGTCCCAAATGTATTCATCCGGATACTAGGCAAAGAACAAGCGACACTTTTGCGGTAGGACATATGATAATCCAAGGTGTTCGTACTCTATCTCTAACGGTGCTCCTACAGATTCCACAGGAAGTTCAGGCAGAGTCAATCGTGCATAAGGACAATGTCGTCGAGATTCAGTGTGAGAGATGGCACGCACGGGTTTAATTCTTACCCTCCAGAACTGACACTGTCTCAGGGTCTGATACTCATTTGGGAATATACCCATATGATTGGCTTCACCCACACGCACAGAACAAGTTTGGGGCCAATCTTGAAGCGATTAAATCGTCGCCTTCAATTGGATTCAATCCAAATTATGTAAAAGGGCCACGGTAAGTTTCCTAAAGGCACATGGACTGACTGATATTGATATTGATACCCCGGAGGCCTTTTCAGCCAGTTGTGGATCCGAGTCGAAGTCCCAGAGTCAAATATGAGGACGTAATGGCAGACGACAAAGCACTTGCTACTTGGTTGAGCCTTATTGTAAGCGCCTGGACCTGAGCCACTCGTGAAAATTACTAATATCTGAGAAGTGGGATCGGGGATTTTGCTTTGTAGACGGTGTTCCTGTGAACCCAGAGGCCACACAGAAGCTCATCGAGCGGATCGCGTTCATCAGACATACCCACTACGGTATGTACTCCAGAATTGATTTGCGCTAAGGTCTTACTTGGCTCATATAAACCTCAGGTGGCTTTTGGGATTTTACAGCCGATTTGACCTTCAAAGATACGGCATATACCAATGAGTTCCTCGGTGCTCACACAGACAACACTTATTTCACAGATCCTGCCAGACTCCAGCTCTTCCATTTGCTATCCCATACCGAGGGTTCTGGGGGAGAAAATCTCTTAGTCGATGGGTTTGCAGCCGCATCCCAACTACGCCTCGAGGAACCGATGCATTATGGCGAATTATTGAAGCATCGGCAGCCATGGCACGCAAGCGGGAATGAAGATACCTGTATCCAACCATCTTCCATGGCCCCAGTCTTTTCGCTCCATCCAGACTTCCGGTCGCTGTATCAAATCCGCTGGAACAACTATGACCGCGCACCAAAGGTCAATTGGACGGCAGTGGAACAATCCTCGTGGTACCGCGCTGCGCGCCACTATAACGAGATTTTGAAGAGCAAGGAAATGTGGACGAAGCTTGAACCAGGCTCTGCGCTCAGTAGGCTTCTTCATTTGTCATTTTGATGATCATATCAACTTACATCTTTGTTTTAGTTTTCGATAACTGGAGAATGTTGCATGGTCGCTCTCAGTTTACTGGGAAGAGGCGAATGTGTGGTGGCTACGGTATGTACCAGCTGTTATGTTTCTTTTATGATTTATTTCTAACGTTGTACCAGTCAATAACGATGACTACATTTCTCGACTTCGTCTGCTCAAGTTTGGCCGAGAAGAGGTGCTGAACAACCTGGGCAACGTCCGAGGTAGCCCCAGAAACCCCTATTATTATAACTGAGTTGGACATAGACTTGACTCAAAATATATCTCCAAGAGATACGAGCAGAAAATGAGATATTATACAAAAACAAAGTAATGCAAGTAGATAGAACCCAATCGCACCTGATTAGAAACCTAGATCCCATCACGTGATGCTCCATGGCTGACGTTGTTGGAGCTCGGCCACCGACAGCTCTTCGTCCCAGCAACCTTTTCTCATCTTCCCCCATCCCCTTCAAATCCACCGGCCTGCTATTTCTGCATTACGGAGCTTCTCATTTTATCGAACCTATAATTTCCAACCCTCCGATCCCACCATGTCTACTCTTGAGGACCTCGACGACCTCGAGCAGGAGCAGAGAGACAAGAAGCAAGACCAGAACGATGGCAATGGCAAGAAGCCCGAAGGCGACGATGATGCCGAAATGGCAGACGCCGACAAGAAGGATGAAGAAGAAGAGATGTTGGACGAGGATATCCTGAACTCAAGCACGGCAGACATCGTTACGCGACGGCGGATGCTGGAGAACGAGATGCGCATCATGAAAAGCGAGTTCCAGCGTTTGACACATGAGCAGAGCACAATGAGGGAGAAGGTGAAGGATAATCAAGAGAAGATTGAAAACAACAGGTGCGCTTTCATCGGTCCCCAGATTGGCTGTTCTGCAAAGCCGCGGAGCTTGATGGCCAGCTTGCGGATCGACCCAAACATGGTTTATCTTCAACAGTATACTGACATTTTTATCTACAATTATCTAGACAACTACCATACCTTGTCGGAAATGTCGTCGAACTATTGGACCTTGATGTGGAGGCAGAGGCAGCAGAGGAAGGGGCTAATATCGACCTGGATGCCACCCGCGTAGGCAAATCCGCTGTCATCAAGACCTCCACCCGCCAAACAATCTTCCTTCCGCTTATCGGCCTCGTAGACCACGAAAAGCTCAAGCCCGGTGACCTGATCGGTGTCAACAAGGACTCATATCTCGTTCTGGACACACTACCAGCCGAGTATGACAACCGTGTCAAGGCAATGGAGGTCGACGAAAAGCCTACAGAGAAGTACACAGATATCGGTGGTCTGGATAAACAGATTGAAGAGATTGTGGAAGCCATCGTATGGCCGATGAAGGAGGCAGAGCGCTTTAAGAAAATCGGCATTAAGGCTCCCAAGGGTGAGTCCATCTCTCCTCTCATATGTACTTCGGAGCTAACGAATTCCCTTAGGTGCTTTGATGTACGGACCCCCTGGAACTGGTAAAACACTTTTGGCCCGTGCCTGTGCCGCTGAGACGAATGCCACATTCCTCAAGCTCGCCGGACCCCAACTTGTGCAGATGTTCATTGGAGACGGCGCCAAGCTTGTGCGCGACTGCTTCGCCCTAGCCAAGGAGAAGGCCCCCTCTATCATCTTCATTGACGAGCTGGATGCTGTTGGTACCAAGCGTTTCGACTCAGAGAAATCCGGAGACCGTGAAGTGCAGCGAACCATGCTGGAGCTTCTGAATCAACTGGACGGCTTCGCCTCAGACGACCGTATCAAGGTTCTAGCAGCAACTAACCGCGTCGACGTGCTGGATCCTGCCCTCCTCCGTTCCGGCCGTCTGGACCGCAAGATCGAGTTCCCTCTGCCAAACGAGGAAGCCCGCGCCAACATCCTGCAGATCCACTCGCGTAAGATGTCCGTCGAGGACAGCGTCAACTGGGCTGAGCTGGCTCGCAGCACGGACGAGTTCGGTGGTGCCCAGCTCAAGGCTGTTTGTGTTGAGGCTGGTATGATTGCGCTACGGAAGGGTCAGAGCAAGATCGGTCACGAGAACTACGTTGATGCTATTTCGGAAGTCCAGGCTAAGAAGAGGGATACCAACATGGGCATCTATGTTTAGACTAGATTGTCTTGGTTTTTATGTCCTGATTCATACACGTTATCTCTATGCCCTTTTTCCCCACCCATGTGTCTCGAGTCATCTCGTGTATGTATGCTCCCTCGGTTTGAATGGGAGCCGGTAATTCGTTATGCATGAACGTCGTGAGCCCTTTATTACGCTCGTCTTGATACTTCTAAGTCAGTAGTGTCTAACCACTTGCCATCTAATCCATGGGTTGAGGCCTATACTAGAATTGCCCTTGTATAATGTTTGTCCGTTTTAATTCGACCTGAGCCTGCATCATTTGGCCAATGATAGACTGCGACTGCGAAATCATATTATGATCACAGCGTCACCTATCTAAGAGAGAATGGGCTGATGACTAGTGCATGGATGGCAAGGGTCATCCGTGAGGAAGAGGGACGTTTTTACCAATTATATCACGTGGCTGTGGGCTGTGAAATTGGCATGGTCTCTCGCATCCTTGGACCAGATGCGTCCCCGGAATCTTGGGCTCCTATGAGGGAAAATCTTAATCTACATACAGTTCTCAATGAATTTCAGGCGGAGATAGAGAGGATAGCTATGGCGCGAAAGGGCTAGATTGCACACAATACAGATATATATCTAGATATATATATACCGCGGTCCAAGACGAATCCTCCAACCAGAGCACGACATTATGGCCATCGGGGGCGACAGTGACAATAGCAATCTCAATAAGGACCGGATAACACGAGCTGTGACAGGGGAGAGTGTAAACCATTTTCGGGTGGACCCAGACCTCAGGCAAGAGGATGTTCACGGAAGAGATCGACGAGATCTAAGTATACCGGAGTACAACACTTGAAGCATGACGAGGAATATATTAGTTGTAGCCTGAAACAAAGCACATATCCAAGTCCAATCTTCACACACCAACGCCTAAATTGATCATTGTATTGTAAACGGGCGTGCAGCCAAGGACACCTGCCAAACCAGGAGTCGTGGAATTCCACTTCCCCAACCACTCCCACTTCCCATCGAGGACCTTCTGGTACAAATTGCTAGTCTCGGAAATCCATATCAATATTACACCGGGTTATACCCGCACGGGTACATAGGGGCTTGACCAGCCACCAGAGACCGAGGCCTTCAAGCTAGCCGTGCGAGCTTTCCCATAAAACAAGAGTATTACAGGCTCTTCCAGCCGAACATCCCCGACACCCATCAGAGACGTCTCTGGTAGCAGCCTAGGTGGTCGCGTTTCCGTTGGCGGCGCGGCGACGAAATCGGTAAAAGAGCACCAGTGCGAGGATAGCCAGAACCCCGGCGCCTACTCCGACCCCGATACCGGCTTTGGCGCCATTTGATAAACCCTGACTTGTGGATTCTCTTTCTTGTTCGCCGTCTCCCGGATTGGGTGTCGACACAAGCTCGCTGTCGGCAGTTGTGGTCGTATGAGTAGCCATCGCCGTCGCAAGCGTGGGGGTTGATGCAAAAGAAGCAGATTGGGCAGTTGAGACAGGCGAAGCAGATGTTGAAGTTGAGGCGAACACATCTATCGAGATACAGGCACATCCAGACTGAATCTCGTATATTCCGAAGTAACTATTGTAGTACGCTTGATAAACGACAAGGTTGATATCAGACGTCGCTCCCGGCCTTATGGAGGTCAACTTAGCCGCAGGAACAGTGAGCTCGGAACGGGATGCAGAAACGATTGTTCTCCAACGGGAGGCCGGATATTCTGAGATATCAGACGCAAAAAAGGATCGAGATTCGCACCGGCCGTTGCACGAGTCGCTGTATGGATTGGTGTTTAGGCGGTTGTTGGGGGATAGTTCGACGGTGTATATATCATCTTCCGTGGCGTCGTAAGTCCATCTGATAGTGACCGCATCGGTAGGGAGCGGTTGACTAGGTTCTTCGATTATAAGGAGGCCTGTGATCATGGGAGGGTCTTCGCTTTCGTCGTTGTCGAATTTGGCGTTGTCGACTTCGTCGTTGTCGAATTCGTCGTTGTCAGATTCGTCGTTGTTATATCCGTCGTCTTCAGTTGCGAAGCAATCCAAAATCAGTTATCAACGATCTTCACAGGCAAAAAAGGAGTTGGGGTTGCTCGCACCATGTTCCGCTAGGACAGTCATTATAGCACAAAATATCAGGAAGCAAACCGAAATCTTCCTGATGTAGATCATACTATACATATTTCCCAGGAACGCCATGAAGGCTATTGAGATATTGAGATATTCAACAAGGGGAGGAAGAGGGACTCTGGCGGGACGAATTGGAAAGAAGCTAAATGCAAATCGACTTGGGAGGAGGGTCTCTCATATACTGTTTCCTTATACACTCTCTGGCCAGCTCCGAGGGAGATGCAGGTCCCGGACCCGTCTAACCCGCAGGTTTAAATCCGAATTACAGTCCTTCATACGGAGGACGGAGGATCCGTACAGTATTCTAGAACACTGACTGCTTACTGGCTCCCGAGTGCACACACTCCCAGGGACCCGACTCAAGATGTTGTGGCGGGTGGCTAGACCATGCCTAATGTGATGTATGTGATCCTTGGCAGGATCCGAACCAACATGAAGTGTCCCCCCCCCAATGTAGCAATCTCTTTTGGGGCTCAGCTGGGATGGATGATCTTACTCCGCAGAGGCGGCCAGCAGGCACACGAGGGCGCAGGAAAAAGCCCTGGTAGCTGCTGATCGTCGCCGATCTTCCGCCTGTCTAGATCAAAGAGCAAACAAAAAAAAGGCGTATTCGTATTCCCTTTTCTCTCTGGCGACACGGAGGATGTTCTTTTTTTTTTTCCGACTTTTTTTCGATTATTCTTTTCTTCTTTTCTTCTTTTTCTTTTTCTTTTTCTTTTCTTTTTCGTTTCATCTTTTATTTCATTTTATTATCATTTTTATCATTTTGATCATTTTTATCATTTTGATTTGATTATATTTCATGATGTTATGTTTTATTTCGATGTCTCAAACGAAGTACCTAATGTACCTCCATGTACTCATACTCCAGACTCCATACATCGGGTGGAATCTCCACCAGACTTCAACGGCACTGTCTCCTCTCCAGGGCCTCAAGGTATTCCCTACTCCGTAGACGGCAATAATCAAGTTCGTGTTATGTTGCCAGACGCTTTGTGCTGTTTCCACCGTTCAGCTGCTGATACAACGGTGGCATTGGATGTTTGAACCTACAGGTATGTATGGCGCAGGGCTCTGGCCCCTAGCCCTAAGTAAGCCGGACCTCCGTACTTTTGGATGGGCTCGCTGTCCTACCAAGACCCCTACGTACAAATGTACAGCTCACTAGTGAAAGGTACGGAGGACCCACCCGCCAATGTTTTTTAGCGTGGCTTTTCTAAAAACTATAGCAAGACGGCAAGCCGTACGGAGTACGGAGAACTCCGTAAAATGTGCCAGTTAGAGATCAACATATCACAAAGAAAATCCCTCAGATGCATGAGTGGGCAGGGCAAGGGGTAACAGCCAGCGATGGTCAAGTAGACTGCACTGCCAGCGAGGTCATGGGCGCCGTGAATTGTGGCCCGTCACTGTCCGTCACTGGCCTGCAGGAGGAGTTATGGGTTGTGATTAGTTGACGGAGCATACCTACATGTAGGTATTCCCCCTGCAAGTACCCAGTACCTAGCACGGCCCCATCCAAATTGTGAGGCTCCGGGCTTCCTGTGGTCTCTTATCAATTCGAAGGGAAATTAGGAGACCTGCATATTCCAGCGGCCCGTGCTCTAATTACCATGTTATGTGGATTCTCGATGGCAGGCGGCGATGACCGTGGTAGAATACTGTACCGAGTATCTAAATTACTCTTTGATCTGATCCTGGGGGGTAGGCTAATACGAGACGGGTGTTGCCCTCGGAGCTGGCAAGAGAGTGGAGGCTGCCTACATGTAGGTGTGTTCACTTCTAGCCCCCCCCCCTCCCAAATTCCTTTTCTCCTAGCGTACCTCATGACCTGCAGGCCACTATATAACCGCTACATTACCTAGGCTCACTGTTAATGCTCCCACTGCTCAACGCGTCATCAGCTTGTGAATAAACAAGATTGCAAATGAGCACACCGCTGGACGTTTGAACCCACCATGGAGGCACAAAGTACTCTCGCGCCCGCCGGGCTGCACCCAGTTGACACAAAGGGCCTATGCCTGCTGTCCTTGGATGGCGGCGGCGTGCGAGGCCTCTCATCACTCTATATCTTGAAGAGGATCATGGACCGACTAAACGATGCGCGGCGGAGGCGAGGGCTCCCTCCGGTGAAACCGTGCGAAGTGTTTGACCTTATCGGAGGCACAAGCACTGGCGGGTGAGTGGGCCTACCTTGTTCAATCCGACGTGCTAACTATCAGCCAGCCTCATTGCGATTATGCTGGGACGCCTCGAGATGGATGTTGATAGGTGCATAGATGCCTATAGCGAACTTGCAGCAGCAGTCTTTGGCGAGAAGCTGAGATCAATCCCTATCAACCTTAGGGGTGGTATCAGACCCCGGTTTAACCTGGGGAAGCTGGAAAGCGCGATCCAAAAAGTGGTTGAGGACAGCGGTGCATCCAAGGAGGACCTGTTTGACGACGGCATTGAACGCGGATGCAGAACGTGAGTATATCTCCAATCAAGGGGATCGGTCTAACATAGTTAGCTTCGTTTGCACCGCCGATCGCTATACAAAGGCCATCGTCCGCTTCCGAAGCTACAGCCTCTCTCACGAATCAAATATCCGGGCGACGATATGTCAGGCCGCCCTCGCGACATCGGCCGCTACAACTTTCTTTGAACCCGTCAGCATCGGAGACCGCTCATTTGCTGATGGCGCACTTGGCGCAAATAATCCAGTGGAAGAGGTGGAAGGCGAGGCGTCGAACATATGGTGCCATGAAACCGCTGAACTGAAGCCGTTGGTCAAGTGCTTCATCTCGATCGGAACAGGCCACCCAGGCATCAACCCGTTTGAGGACCAGATGTTCGAGTTCCTAGGGAGGACACTGGTGCAGATTGCAACCGAGACAGAGAACACGGAGAAGAGAATGATAGCGAGATGGGCAAGTCACTTCGATAAGAAGCGGTACTTCAGGTTTAATGTCGACCAGGGGCTGCAGGGGATTGGGCTGAATGAGTGTGAGAAGAAGGGAGCGATAGATTCGGCAACAGAGGAGTTCCTCAGACATCTGACACAGAAGTTCCGGGTGCGAGATTGTATTCAGAACATGGGACTCAAAGAGAGTGTGTATCTCGAAGATTTTGCATAGCGAATTAAAGACATTTAACAATGTTTGCAGACAAGACTGGACTGGAATTTGCCACTGTGATAGAGGTACGTGCATCACTGCCGGGTCCGCCCCTGTTCCTTGCTGAAAAGTACAGGAATATACCAGTAGACAGCAGGCAGATCTGAAGATCGGTTAGTGCTCAAAGTAGGATTCTACTTCCCAGAAGACTAATAACCCCGTATCCGGACAGGAAACGATCCGAGCCCCTTGCCCTATGCCTCCAGGGCCGCCTGGAACTCACTCGATAGAGAATTTTGTCTTCCCGGTACAAGAGTCGAAGTTCAGAACAGGATCAGGGTATGGCTGGATAGCGATGACCAGAAGCATATCTTTTGGTTAGCAGGTTGGCCTGGCACAGGCAAATCAACCATTGCCTCGACAATTGCTCGGGACGTGGATGGATTCGATGATCAGCATTGGATGGCCTCCTTTTTCTTCTCCCGAGGAGATCAGGAGACTAGCCATGGCGAAAGATTCTTCAGCACAATTGCTTACCAACTGCGCTCCAAACAATCGAAATTTCAAACCGTTTTGGAAAAGGTCATATCCGAACACAAGCAGAATTCCCAGCGCATATCACTGACTGACCAATGGGAAAATCTCATTGCTACGCCGATCTCTCGGCTTGCCCGTTCATCTCTACCGACTCGACTCGTCATTGTGGTAGATGCGTTGGATGAGTGTGAGAATGACAAGGACATCGGACAGATCTTGCAGCTTCTGGCAAATCCTGGGAGTGCTTTCAGGCACATTCAGCTCCGGGTCCTCATTACAAGCAGACCAGAGTCTCGGATCCGCAACCTTGCTCGCTGTCTGTTCGAACCGGATCTTGTTCTTCAGAGAGTCGACGGAGCCACAGTAGACCGCGATATTACACTTTTCCTTCAACACAATCTATCGAGGGAAATCGTGACCGATGGTGATATTAAAGCACTCGTCCGCCGATCTGCCCGGATCTTTGTCTGGGCAGCGAGCGCCTGTCAACAAATAAAGTCTGTGAACGGCAACTATGCCACCCGCCGACTCCGCGTCATCCTCGAGAATACTGATGTTTCCTCCTTGCCGGTGAAACATCTCGGGGAGATTTACCGGGCAGTTTTGGAGAAATCTCTTCCACCCGAATGTTTGGAAACGGAAAAAGAACTGCTCCAGAGGCTCCTGAGAACCATAGCGGTTCTTCTGTCCCCTCTCTCAGAACGTGGTCTCGGTGGTCTGCTCGAGATACCGAAGGGAGATGTTCACGAAGCGCTTGACCACTGTCATTCAGTCTTGGATATCCCACCGGGTCAGGACACTCCACTAAAGATACACCATCCCTCATTTCGCTACTTCCTTCTTGATGACAAGAGATGTCTCGATCCAAACTTCTGGGTCTGTGAAAAAGAAGCGCACAGGGCAGTGTTTGAATGCTGTGTAAATGTCATGTGCAAAAACCTTAAGCAAGACATTGGCAAGAAGGAAGCACCTGGTACCACTGTGTCTGAAGTGTCAGTTGATGAATTTCTTTTGCCAGAGGTCCAATATGCCTGTCGCTATTGGATCAAGCACCTACGGAGAGCAGTATTTGAGCGCGGTGACCTAGAGCGCCTTCGCATTGTTCTAGACAAGCATTTCCTGCATTGGATCGAGGCTCTTTCTTGGATGGGGAAGATTTCGGAAGCAATTTCATCCATCTTGGCCTTGGGAGTCATCCTTCGGGAGAATAGCCATGTAAGCAGTCGTTCCTATGTGCAAATGATTTCCCTCGTTCACTCGCTGACTTCCTGATAGGACGAAGACATGGCACTGGCACTCTTGAAGCGAGTCGATGATGCTTCTCGATTCATCCGATACCATAGAGTGGCAATCGAGACGAGCCCCCTTCAACTATACAGTTCTTCGCTTATCTTCAGCCCAAGCAGTAGTCTGACCAGGCTCTGCTACAAGAGAGATCGACCAAACTATGTTCTGAACGAACAGATGATAGAAAGTGACTGGAGTCTATGCCTACACACACTCGAGGGACATGGGAGTCCGGTCTCGTCCATTGCCTGGTCACCGGGAAGTAGAGTGACTAGAGTCGCATCGGCGTCAAACGATGGGACGGTCAGAATATGGGATCCGGTGACGGGAGAGTGTATATTAATTATCAAGGGACATGATGATTCGGTCACATCGGTTTCCTGGTCGCAGGATGGACGTCAACTCGCATCAGCGTCAAATAATGGCACTGTCAAGATCTGGGACCCCGTGACGGGACAGTGTATATTAACGCTTAAGGGAGATAGTGATCGAGTCACGTCAATTACCTGGTCCCCGGATAGCGGTCGACTTCTATTAGTGTTATCTCATAACACTATTAGAATCTGGGACCTAGCGACCCAACAGAAGCTATCAACGGTCGACAAGAATCGTAATTCGGTCCGTTGCATTGCCTGGTCGCAGGACGGAAGCCGATTTGCATCATCGTCATACGATAACACAACCAAGGTCTGGGACCCGATGACTGGACGGTGCATTTTAACACTCGAGGGACATGGTGATGCAGTCACTGCTATTGCCTGGTCGCCGGATGGAAGGCAACTCGCATCACTGTCAGATCATAAAACAATTATGGTCTGGGATCTGGCGACTAGGGAATGCATATCAACCCTCGGGGAACAACATGCCTCGGTCACGTCCATTGTCTGGTCACAGGATGCAAGTCGACTCGCATCAGCGTCAGAGGATCAAATCATCAGGGTCTGGAACCCAAAGACGCGAGAGTGTATATCAGAGCTCAAGGGGCATCGTGGTCGAGTAACGTCGATTACTTGGTCGAAGAATGGAAGGCAACTTGCATCATCGTCAGTCGATAACACAGTCAGGGTCTGGGACCTAACGGCCAGACAGTGTATATCAACAATAGCTGAGGGACATGATGGTTCGGTGACTTCAATTGCGTGGTGGCGGGATGGAAGTCGACTCGCATCGGCGTCAATGGATGGCACCGTCAAGATCTGGGACCGGACGACTGGAAAATGCATATCAGCGCCCCCGGGAAGCCGCGGGACGCTCGAGAGACACAGCGGTTCGGTGAGATCAATTGTTTGGTCGCAGGATGGAAGTCGACTCGCATCAACATCAGCGGATCGGAGAATCGGAATCTGGGATACGAGGACTGGACAGTGCATACTACAGCTCCAGGGACATCGTCATCGCGTCACGTCGATTGCCTGGTCGAAGGATGGAAATCGACTCGAGTCAGCGTCAAACGGTGGCACAGTTAAGATCTGGGACCTGACGACTGGAAAGTGCACGAACAAGCTTGGTGAGGACAATTTTGACCTCCTACATACCACCGTTAGCTCATCCAATCTAGAACCCAGCGATTTCGTTGCGACCTCTCTCAACCCTTCCATCCCTCTTCCAGAGGCAGAGAACGGCCAATCAGACAAGGGTTCTTCCTGGATAACAGATGGAGGGCAAAATTTTCTGTGGCTTCCCCCGGAATACCGGCCGTCTTGTTCATGGGTTATGTTTGAAACGACCATAGCTATCGGCTGTGCTTCAGGACGTGTCTTGCTCTTGGAGATTCCCAAAAATCCCCATAGCGCATTGAGGTCTTGATCCCACAACGGAAGAGATGACAAAATAAATGTCGAGACATAGAGCGATATAGGTAGAGCCAACTAAGAAAATCTTTCCCCTGGGCGTAGATCGTTTATCAGGCGCATTAAATTGAAGGTAAGAAATATCACACACGTAAACACAAATGTTCATGCTCAGAAGTCCTTGTCAATCACTATGCATTGTAACATATCTCGATACTAAATGCTACTATAATCACTTCTGCAAGATATGACCCAACAAAATCCCTCAAGGGGAAAAAAACTAGAAATAGAAAGACACGCAAAGATGCAATTGGTCATTAATCCATACCAACAACCGTGGCTCATCACACACACCTTCCGCCATGAGATTCGTTCTTTAAAATGAACAGGATAAGAGAACAGAACAGAGTACAACGAAGAAAAAGGCATTCACAAAAGCCCCTCACTTCTAGATCCTAGTTCTTGCCAGCATCCTTAAGAGTAACAATGCGATTAAGCACCAGCTTCTCATCAGTGGACTCACGGTCAACAGCAAAGTACGCAACGCGCATACCCTGGAAGCGAATGGAGTGCTTGTTCTCACCAGGCTCGGTCGCGCCTTCCTCCTTGGGCCAGGGAGCTGAGCGGGAGATATCCTGGAATCCGGTCTCAACCATCGCATCTTTGAAGATCTCCTCGGAATCCGGGTTGATATCAGCCAGGAAACCGGCCGGGTGGGCGGAGGGGTCCTCGGACTTGAAGAGCTGGTTGAAGGAGCGGACCTCAGCGCGGATGGGGCTGTTGTGTGCGGCGGACTCGCCGATCCAGTGGATGAAGGACTTGGGTTTCTTGATGGCTTCGCCTTCGGCGGGTTTCTCGTATTTGGCGTGCACGCAGATGACTTCGCCGGTTGCGGGGTCGGTCTCGAAGGAGGTCGCCGTGATCGGGTAGGGGACTTTGAGGAGGCCGACGGTTTTGCCGGGGGCGAGACGGAAGTAGTCTGGGGAGTCGACGGCGCGGAAATCAGAGCGCTCGATGTAGACGGTCTTCGTGAAGGGGATGTTGTGGGTGCCGAAGGCTGGGTCCTTGGGGGAGAAGGGGGAGTCGAGCAGCTCGACGTAGCCATCGGGAAGATCGTCGATGATGACCTTCAGAGGTTCGAGGACGACCATCAGACGGGGGACGGTGGTTTCCAAGTACTGGCGGACGATCTGCTCGAACTTGGCGACCTGGACGTTGGTGGTGTTCTTTGTTACGCCAAGGTCGTTGACGAAGGCGAGAATCGCCCCGGGGGGGACACCGCGGCGGCGCAGTGCGATGAGAGTGTACAGACGTGGGTCATCCCAGTCGCGGACGTGACCTTCCTTGACAAGCTGGATGATCTTGCGCTTGGAAAGGACTGTGCCGGTGATGTTGAGACGGCCGTACTCGCGCTGGTTAGGGCGGTAGACCTCCAGCTTGTCGCAGAGCCACTCGTACGACACGCGAGAAAGCTCGAACTCGGTGGTGCACAAAGAGTGTGAGATCTCCTCAATGGAATCACACAAACAGTGGGCGAAGTCATAAGTGGGGAAGATCTTCCACTTGCCTCCCGTGAGGTGGTGCTGCTTGTCCTCGGTGGTCATGATGCGCCAGGCGAACAGATCCCACATCTGAGGGTTCGGGTCTGTGATATCCTGCTTCATGCGGAGTGCTGCCTCACCGGCCTTGTATTTACCGTCACGCATGGCGCGGAACTCAGCCAAAGATTCCTCAATGGGCCGTGTGCGGTGGCTGCAGGAGAAGCGTTCTCCACCACGCTGGCCACCCTCGACCTCACCACGCTGGGCCTTGATCTCGGACTTATTACAATGGCAAACGTAAGCACCATCGCGCTGGATAAGATCCTCTGCAAGCTCGTAGAGGCGGTCGAAGTTGTCACTGGCGTTGGTCTCACGCACAGGTGTGAAGCCGAGCCATGTCACGATCTCGCGGATGGCGTTGTAGTATCGTTCCTCCTCACCTTCGGGATTGGTGTCGTCGAAGCGCAGGATGCACTCACCACCGTGGTGCTTCGCAAATCCAAAGTTGATTGCGATAGCCTTGCTGTGACCAATGTGGAGGAATCCGTTGGGCTCGGGCGGGAATCGCGTGCGGATCTTGGGGACGGTCTCGGAGAGAGGCTTTTCCTGGTACACGTCGTGCAGGAAGCCGACCTTAAACATAGCATTGGGATCCCGGGGCGCAGGAGCTTCCTTGGCCTTGGGTGCCTTGGGCGTTCCAGCTGCTTTGGGCTTATCCTTGTTTGCTAGCTTGGCCGCGGCTTTCTTAGCGGCTGCGGCCTCTTTCTTTTCCTGGCTCTTGGACTTCTTGGGCGGAGCCGTGGGATCGACGGCCTCCTTAGGCCTCTCGGGCAGGTCAACGGGCTTTGCGGGGTCCATTGCGACGGATAGCGATTGGGAAAGCGAAGGTGGGGGGATATTTTTTTCTCAACGAGGGGCTCTTTGTATTCGATGCTTATCAGTTGGCATTCGCTTATCGGTCCGATTCAGCCCGGGATGAGTCATCATCTATACTGCCGGGATACAGCCCTGTAGCTGGGCCTGGATGGCTGCTTATTGTTCAGATAGGATATCTAGACCAGCTTAGGGCTATTTTTAGGTGACATGGAGAATCTTGAGTCATTGCATATGCTGTTTGATTATAATTATGTGGTCAATGCTGTACAAGTATGATACAAAGAGTGTGCAGACTCAAAAATAAGATGACAAGAAAGAAGAATATGAGTACCACTCATTAACCTTCCACAGACACGCAAATAATGATACAATAGTAAAAGAAAATCCACATGATCAAAGGTCGAAGCGTTTGGTGCGCATCGAATCATTATGCAACGCCCATCTCCGCACGCCTGACATGGCAGCGCGTATATCGTGACCTGGTACAATGAGACGAGAATCGAGAAAAAGAGAGGATAAAAAGATGTTCTAACAAGTGTGGGGTATATGGCGTAGATGATATAGACAAGAAAGGGAAGAAGAAAAATGATCAGAAGGAAGGAGAATGGATCAGAAGAGTTGTTTAACGTCAATGAGCTCTGAATTGCCCGGACGATCACGCTCCATATGGAACCACCAGTCTCGACCCATTTTGTGGTTCCAGGAGCCAGTACAGGTATCCTTATCCCAGGGTAAAGCTGAGCCCATTGTACTACTCATGGGCGTGATTGGTGTCGTGGGTGTAGTTGGAGATGTACCCATCATAGAGCGACCACTCAAACTGCTCCAGCCAAACCGGGACGTACTGGAGGCAGGTGAGGTAAAGTCTTCGGGGGATGAGAGGCAAGGACTTCCGCCGCGGAAGCAATTCACGCCTACACCGGCGGCATATGTCAGTGACTGGTTTGAGGCTAGCAATTGCTTCCACCCAATCAAGCCGCCGTCTAACTCTTGGCCAGTAATATCCGGACGAAGAACGAAGTGAGGAATCGATGCACCTGTTGCTGGATCCCGGACACCACTCCGGCCCATCAAGGTTGGCATGCGGAACTCGTAGACCGTTTTGGGGCCGCTGTGGTTTTTGTCCTGATGTTTGAAACGCTCACATGCGGCCCAGATGCCGTAGTCGTCCATTTCTTGCTCGGGTTCATCTTCAAATTGTGAGCCTTGCGCGTTGTCCGGCACGTATTCATCCGAAAAATCTTGGATTAGTACCGACATGCCCTCCTCGGTGTCCTTGGCGGCCATATCGATGAATGTCTGGGCGCGGATTCGAGCCGAAGTCAGATTGTTGCCCGCAGGTAGAGCGATCGGTCGGGTGCTCACGGAACCGTGGGAGCTGCGAGGCAAGCTATATCGGTCTGGTCGGAGTAAAGCTTGTCCCTTCAATATGGGTCGACAGGTAGCTTGGAGCGCACCAGGGGGCTCCACGTCGTTGGGTGCACGAAGCGATTCCAATTCAGGGAAACCGGCGGATAGGATACTTTGAGCGAGATGATAGTTGGCAGTATCAGATGGTTTTGTGTGTTTCTGGAAGGGGAGGGTATCAAGTTGGGTGAGAGCTGTGCCTGGATCGGGGCACGCCACATCCCAATGGAGGTATTTTAGGGTTGAGGAGGCGAGGATAGGCTGGAAGACCATGTGTGCTTTCGGCAAAGTTAAACACTTGCCGGTCTGGATGATCTTGAAGCGTTCGAGTTGTTGCAATGAAGCAAGAATTTTGGAAATGACTAGCAGCGAGTCGATGTTCTGTTCCACCAGGACGAATGTCTTGAGGGAGGCCGATTCGGGTCGTGACGTGTACTGCGAGAGACCGGCATCTGTGATCCCAGGCAAGTTCTCCAGCCTTAGTGACTCCAACGGGGGTAGGCACATCAATGTGTTGTCATCAAAGGAGTCTTCATTGAATGACGAGACGCAAAGGTTTCGCAATGAGGGAAGAAGATCGAACATGCGGAGGGAGACGCTAGGTTCCAACGACCCGTTTCCATTCAATCCATAGAGCATCAATGTCTCGAGGTTTGTCCACGAGGTATGGTAGTCCAAAAACTCGAACATTTGGGAGGGACCTAGACTCCCAGGGCAGGAGTCATCGCGCGGTGACACCTCAGATACTTCTGTGGCCTCGCCTAATACCCATGTGTGCTCTTTGAGCTTTTTTCTCGTTGATAGAGCATGGGTCAACCGATCGAATTCGTGATGGTACGGGATATTTAAGCCCAAGAGGCGCTCCAGGTTTGGGCACACCATGACCACGGATGCGACCAAGTCGCGATAATCCTGCCATGGCGAGTTTTGCTTCGTCGTGGTGAAGAGCAAGTCTAACTGGGGCACCCGTAGTTCGTAGACAAGATTGGCCAGCAGCTTTCGCTCGCGAAGAGTCCGTCTCAGGAGCTTCAAACGACTCCCTCTCTTCAGGCGATATTTCTTGAGTTGGGCTGGGGAGTCAGCTCCGACAATATGTATACTGTGATATCTAGCACAGCATGTTCAATTAGCCATTGAATGAAACAAGGAGAACCCCGACTGATCAAACTCACAGAGGACCTCTGACAGCCTTTTCCCAAGACCGACAAGTCAACGATAAGGCATGTAAATCGCGTTGAAAACATGTTGTACATCCTGTTTGATGCTGTCCTTTGTGTAATTCTTCCAAATGGTGGATTATCACTTCATAGACCTCCCTGGGCACTCGTCGTTGAATTGGTTCAGTGAACTTGGGCAAAGAGTTGACTGAGTCGCCTTGGCAATAGGATGAAGATGGTGAGGATGGCGAGTATGTAGTAGGTGCTGTTGAGGCGGTATAGTTTGATCTGTAGGATGATATTGAGGATGTCCGGGAGGCAGTTGGTTGGATGGAATAGTCGACATGGTCCTCAGAAATGGGATTGTACAGCGCAGGGCTTGCTGTTCTAGTGGCGACAACACTCATTGTGAATCTGCTCTGGCATCGGAACAAACGACAAGAGACACGAGGGGAAAAAAGCAATGTCAATTCCCAATAGGGAGGTGGAGGGGTGCAGGAATGTAGGGGACTTGGGGATATGGCGTAATGATTACGGAGTAGAGATCGGCGAATTCCAATGCTTTTTGATAGCCACAACACGCAGCGTTGTATTGAATAGTGTGCGTCACAAGAAGTGAAAAATGAAGGAGAAGAGAGTGGTAAGAATGATAGAGGGATATAATTCCGAGAATGAGCGGAGTACGAGGCCCATTAGATCAGAAACGCTGGAGACCCTTAGTACCACGCCACGTTCTTCCAAAACCAGTAGGGAAAAAACGAGACAGTGAGCAAGGCGATCTCCCCCCACATCAGGAATGGGCTGAAGGAGTAAGCCGTGCAGCACGCGTGTTGGAAAGCGGAGACGCTCGGGTGACAGGGGCGGTTCAGGGGTTGAACTAGTTGTACTCCGTACATTCAATCCTTTGCCCTATCGCATCTGGTCGTCCGATCAGCGTGTACTGAGCAGTGGATGCCACTCACCCAAGATTCCTATGCATCTTCTTTTGGTTCGAGTACGGTGTTATTCTTCAAATCGCAGGAATATCAAAATAACGGCTCGCCAGGTCCGAGTGTCGAGGGTTCGCGAACTAACTGCGCCCTTACCCGTTCGGGTTTAGTTCGGGGTGGGCCCTCTTTAGGGCCAAATCAACCCCTTTTCCTTCTCTTTTTTTCCCCTACTTTTGGCCGTTTTTTGGGGCTTTTCTTGCTGCTTTGCATTGACGATTTCGTATTCTAATTGATTTTAGATTGTACTCTGGGAGGGGTTTCAGATTATAGTAGATCTATATTGTTCTCTCCTTTTTCATCGTCGGTTATCGTGATATCTACTCCGTACGGAGTACCGAGGCTGCATTTTATATCCAAACGGCCCAAGCGCATATCGCCCTGCAGGCCAATGAAATAGGAAACTAGACGGCTGGTGCAGGAACACCTTTTCACTTTGATTTTTTTGGTTTAGCTTTGTACTCCAGAGTGGTCTGCGCGTCCCTGCACGTACAACAGAGAACCTAGGTGATCGGCATATCACTATTGACACTACTCCGTACTCCTTATACTCCGTACTGTGCAGGTGGATTGTACACACTTTAGCACTTCGTGCCTATTATTAAACCTAAAAAAAAAAACATGATTCGTGTTCTCCGCCACTAAAATCTATCCTCCGTGCAATCTCCCAAGATCGATCTAGCAAGATCGGCGGTGGATTGGCCACTAGAGCCCTCAACACGAAAGGAGCTCAGCGCTTCCTCTGTCCAGTGCAACACCTCGTCTACCTCATTGCTTCGTCGTCTGTATGTACCCCATATGGTGATCATAGAAATGGCGGAAAGCCCGGCAGAGCATGTCTCAAATCCATCAGAATATCCATGGATGGGCATCACCGCTGAATTTCCGATCTGGTGGAGACGTGCTGGGGGGTTCCATTGGCAGTCTCGCAGCCAATGGCACCATTGGATCTTGTAAGTACCGATAGAACCTTGGAAGGTGCCACTGTCGTTGTCCTTGGAATTCGGAATTCCAATTGGAAGGTTCATGGTCCGTTCGCTGTACTATACTCCGTGCCTGCAGCATACCGTGGGTCCACCGTGCCTTCTCTGTGCACTAATGTGCCTATGATATGGCGTGGCGGGCCTGATGGCATTGGATATACCATGGGAGAACCGAGCGCGGCCTGGAATCCGTTCTATTTATGGCCACTTTTGTTTCTTGGGCGTGCTGGAGCTGAGTTCCACGCGTCTCTGGGTTTTACGAGGTGCTGACAGCCACGCGGTCTCGCGTGAAAATGCAAGGCAAACTTAAACGTGCCGTAGTTTCGGGAAATCGCGTAGAATAAGGAGAGAATGTTCGAGTGGGTTTGATGGATACGATAAAAGTGACTAGGTCAAGCCACGACGCTTCTGTCTATTGCCTCCACATGTGATACCCATAGACCATACGACGGATACGGAGTTCAATATACAACCTTGGAACATGCATATGTTCAATCCTTGGAAGGGTTGGTTCGGGTCACGCGGCTAACAGAGGGTTACGGGCGATTCCATTCTGTTCTTCCGTACGGAGTAGACGAGAATGTATATAAGTCGCACAAAATACTAACACAATATATTATATCTTGACCTCGAACGGAAATCCGAGCTTTGCATCTCGTTACATACCTACTCGTACATCTAACAAAAAGTCTAAAAAAGTCTCGTCCCCTCATAATCTCGTCTCCCTCCCTTCTATATCCACCATAAATCGATAAACAACGTTCCTAAACTCACAGTAGAAAACTCACCCATCTGAAGTCCACAGTCCCAGTATTGACCATTGTATGCCGATCATCCGACAAAAAGACGATCAGACCATAGCCTGCCACCTCTGGAGAAGGGCTCGAGCCTACTACGACCCAGAGCGATGGAATCGACACCGTGCCGTTTTCCCGGGAGTGCTAACTGTCCGGAGTCCTCCCGGCATTGTTTCTCGGCCCGTACCCGAAACTGCGCTAGTCTATATTAGGCTATTCGATAACTGCTTCTTCCAAGTGGGAGCCCACAATGACCGGGAGTCACACTGTATCGGTGTATTACAAAGGAGTTGAGATCTCTGGCCGCTTGGTCTGTGTGTAGGTATTAGCGGCGTGTGGATACTGAAGGGAGTAGACACTATGACGGAGGTAGATAAGAACGTGCGAGAGTGAGGGGACATGATCCCAATGGGCACGAAGTGAAGCAATTAAATTCGAGGGATTATATGTTCGGTACAGCAAGTATACAGTGTGAACCAGTGAGAGAAAAAATATCTACAGGAGCCTGCAATCCCGAGAAAATCTCCCAGAAGTAGTGATGACCTTTACTGCAAGGATATCATATGGGAAAATCTGACATTCAACTAGAAAAGGATATCCGTCCCCCCCCAATGCAGATGCAGCTCGAGCCCGTGCCGATGCCAGTCTGAACGCCATGGAAAATGGAACTCGAACGAAACGCTCTGCTACCACCCAGAGATCAAATCCGAACAGCTCGAATCACACCGAGATGTGCAAGAATGGAAAAAGCCCCGAGGCAGGAAAATTCTCAAATTACCACCGTTGCCATGTTGATGCCCACAAAGAGAGGTAGAAAGTGTAGGTGACGGTAGGAGATACCATGGGAAAGATTCAATGAAGAAGAGCAGGTATCAGAATTCAGGACATCAATCCCAGAAGATAGAAAATAAGATTATCAACACTGCGCTGGAGACAGGATCAAAGACAGAAGAACACGGCAAAGCAAGTTCGCTGCGACTAATCACCCCCAGAGCACGATGATTGGCAGTAGGAAAGCACGCAATGAACATTACCCAAGACCCAACTCCTCCAAACACGCAAAATTCTCCCGGGATTCCCTATAAGATGGAACGTGAGGATACTCACCGGAAACCCGGAAGAAGGGGGTATGTGACTGGGAACTGGCCGAGGAAACGAACCAGAGAATGGAATCATCTCGATTATCGAGTATCAAGTTTGATATCATGAAAAGTTCGTGAAAGGGCCAGAATCTGAGATCAATCTGAGCCGGTGCTCGACATCACCGAAATCGGACTTAAAAGATAAAGTAAGGAGGAGGGCGGAAGTTCGTGGAAAAACCAACTTGAGGAAACGGGAGTCGGAAACGAGACGAGAATAAATGGGAATGGAAATCGAAACCCATATTTGCGGGTGGGAAGTGATGCAATCCGAGGGCATGTACAACAAGAAAAGAAACAATAATGTATGCCAGATCAAGACTCCATGATCATGCAGAAAGAGAGTGAAGGAAACGTAATCACATGTCAAAGGTATCATCGACGTTGAAAATACCGGGTTCGGTGCCGTCGTGCGTCTTCTGAACGCCGGTCATGCGCTGGTCGGTCGAATCGCCCGACCGGTGGCCATGTTGCCAATGCCCGTCATGCATGGCGTCTTCATCCATATGATCGCTGTCATCCATCAAGTGATGGTCGATAGAGCTTTCGTTTACGAAGGTGAAGCCCTTGAAATTGGCTTGCATCCCAGGGGACAAGGGCGTAGAGGCTGGCATAAGACCGTTGGCGAGAGCTGCTGCTCGGAGATTGAGCGAGTTGTTCAGCTCCATCGCATTTGTGAACTCGGGATCAAAGTTCGATGTGTCGGTTTCAGACTGCAGCTGTGGTTTGAACGGAGGAATTACTTCCTTGCGGCAAAGTGTCTCCCAGTTGATATCGTGGAAGAACGGGTGTGCCATGAGCTCCTTGGCATCGCCGTTCGCACCGAGTCGGTGTTTGGGATTACGATTCAGCAGGCCCTTGACGAAGTTTCGTCCTTCAGTGCTGAGCGCATCACGGGGGAATCGAACCTTGCCGAATGCGATATTTTTGTACATCTGTTGAGTGTCCTCGGCATAGAACGGACTCCAGCCACAGCACATCTCGAAGACCAATACTCCCAAGGACCAGAAGTCGACCATCTTTGTGTATCCTTGCTCATCAAGCAGCACCTCGGGAGCTAAGTACTCAGTGGTACCACAGAAGGTGTTGGTGGTGTCGTTTTGTGCCAGATTCGCCTTGGATAAACCGAAATCGCAAAGCGCAATGTGACCGTTGGCATCCAACAAAATGTTCTCCGGTTTAAGATCCCGATAGACAATGTCATGATCGTGTAGGTGTTGTAAAGCCAAGATTAACTCGGCGATGTAGAACTTCGCCCGGGCCTCCTGGAACCGACCCTCACGCTGCAAGTGCCAGAACAATTCACCGCCCGACATATAATCCGTCACGAGATAAAGATCTGTTGGAGTCTGGAAAGAGAACTTCAGCCCAACAATAAACGGAGAGGCTGTCATCGCAGTGCGCACTAAGATGTTGCGCTCTCCGAGGGTGTGTATGACCTCTTTCTTCTGAATGATAACCTTCTTGGAGAGGACTTTCATCGCATAGATACGCTGTGTGTCCTTCTTCTTAACCTGGTAGACTTGGCCGAACGTTCCTTTGCCGATGAGTTTGAGGATGAGGAAATCATTCGGTCCGACCTGCTTTCGATCTGTCTTTTCGAATTTCATCTCGAGGTGAATTTCTCCAGACACTTGGTTATCTCCGGCACCGCGGGCGACCAAGGGGAACCAGCCTTCCAGTCGGCTGTGATCTTCCTTGAGGTTGATGCAGAGGCGTACGTGGCCCAAGAAAGCTTCCTGATTGTTGCGGTCATAAACTGTGACATCGAGCTCTGACTGATCTCCCATAACGTCACTTCATAGAACATGTTAGTTGAGCGTTTCGGGTTTGAGAAGCTGGGTTAGGAAGTAACATACAAGGTGGCCTCGTGATCCCAGTGCGGGTCTGTCACAGGCGTCCGCCCCTTGTGATCACTCTCGATTGCACTGTTGTGACTACTAGAGCGGCTCTTCAAGGGAATGGCCATGGGCCGACCAGCAGCCTCCTCGGCATCTGACTCTTGCTGGCGTCGTTTCTTTTCCTCCTCGCCGTCGCGAGCACCCTTTGAAATGTACTCATTCCATTCAAATACGCACACCACATACGGATCGAAACTGGGTCGCAGTCCTCGACCGTCGGTGATTTTCACAAACAATTTACCGTTGATCGGGCCCGTGGGTGCCCCGTTGGATGGAGTTGTCGTAGATTTAGACTGGGGTTGAGATGGGAATGCTTCATCGAGTTTCATCGTAATCTCATCTGTAGAGCTTTCCATATCGTCCGACTTCGACTCGGATTGTGGCGTTTCTTGGGGAGTCTCCGAGGAGGTCTCCTGCGGGGCCGAAGTGATGGTCTTGTCCTGGGCGGCTGGGACCTCGTTGGACATGGCCCGGGGAGTAAGAGGTGGGGTATTCTTAAGACGCGACCCATCGGGCGCGTTTTCAGTTAGCTTGGCAAGATTCTCAGAAGATATAGAGACATGCGGCTTTTCATGGTCGAGGAGGGGGGCTTCGGTCAGGGAAAAGGCATCTGAGGAAGAAGGGAGAGTGGGGTTGGAGAAATGTGTGGCAAGAACAGAGTCGTCAGAGATGCTGGACACTGGGAGAGATGTTTGACGGCGGGAAGAAGAGTCATCAGGAGGAGTGCTTGCAGGTGGGATGAGGTATTTCTTCAGAGTTGAAAAAATCGAGGACACGCCTGGACTCGTCCCGAGTTCCATCTCGTCCGACTCATGCTGCAACAACGAATGTGGAGGTGTGGGCAAGCTGGGGTGTTCATCCTCCATCTTATCCGACCCATCTTCCTGCTCCATCATGACAAAAGACTCGGAGGAACCAGAGGAATGGATTGGAAGCGCATTTGATTGAGGGTCCACAGAGGGTTTCGACAGACATGACCATAACCGTGGCAGACTCGCTTTATCACCAGAGAAAGAACCAACCTGGAAGTAGTTGTGCATTATGGAAGGCAGACGCTTGTCCGCGAGATCGGGTTCGGGCGTTGCGATTCCAGTCGGCGTTGGGGTAGACCCGTTTGACCTGATCTGGTCTTGGCTCTCGTCGTCCAGTCCAGCGCTATTGAGACGGAAGGTGGTTAGTTCATGCAACAAAACGGGCTGAACAATGGCTCCAACAAAAAACATCAATTCCGGAGCTGTAGGCAAATTCCGACAAGGTCCGAGACGAATGGCGAGACATGGAGACACGGGGAGGAGGCCATTCTCCTCGAGCAGTGTTTCATGCAGGACAACCCCAATACAAACAACCAGACTGTAATGCAATGCGGTGTGAGGGGATCATGGACCCTCTTTTTCCCATTCCAAACCCCGCCTTTCGGAATCATTAAGAATATAGAAGTGACTCACTTCATTGGCTTCATGTCGTCGTGCAACACGGGTCCACTCGGCGCGGCCATTGCGTTTCCATTCAACGTTCTCTCGAGGAGAACCGAGTCGGAAAATGAAGAGGAACGAGGGGGCGGGGTTGGGTTGGAAAGATGGAGGAAGTTGGAAAAAGAAACTTTGAGGATTTTTGATGAGCTAAGGGATTTTGCGGGTTGATGAACCCGGCTTCGGTGCTTTCCCCCCAACAGATGAATCTGAATGGCGCTGGCAAATGGAGTTCCCTTTTTTCGTTTTTTTCCCTTTGTGACTCGACGCCGTGATTCGATCGTTTTCTTTGAGAGGATTCTGGCTTTAGAGTGGGATTTGTTGGTTTCGGTAATAGGACCCCACTGGGCTGAAGATAAACCATAGGCTCATTGATAGTCCATGTTTCCGAGCTTCGGGGTTATATGCGAGGCTTTGAGAGATAGCCTGGGAGAATGAAGTTACAATTAATCGGCCCAGCTGAAGGAAGCTGACCGTAAGCAGGACAAAAGCTTCTGAAAGAGACCGGACCTAAAAAAAGGCATAGGAGGCATTTTGTATTCTCTAGTCCCGCACTATACGCCTAATGACCTAACCCGCTAACTGCGCCAAATCCGAGGGGAACTCCAGATGAGAAATTCAGAGAAAAGAACTAAGAGTAAAATGGAAATGAAAATGAAAATGAAAATGAAAATCAAATCAAAATCAAAATCAAAATGAAATCTTTTTCGAAAAAAAAAGAAAAAAAAAGAAAAAGCAAAATGAAAGAAAGAAGAAGGCCCAACGTCATGTGGGGAGACCTGAGTGGTCAATAGTGTCGCTTTCGAGTCCCCAGGAGTATCAAGGGAATTGCCAAATTGGCTTTTGCCCTCTTCCTTTGGTGACCTTTTTTGGCCTTTCGGCGTTTCCCTTCCTAATTTAGTCTCCCCCAAGGTAGCGAAATGCACAGAAAGCAAGATTATGGTCAGGTCACGGTCACTACGGAGTAGTCCGAATGACATTGATGACATTGGGCTCGGCATGTGGCTATAGGGAGTACGATGGTATCTTTTTCGGCCTTTTCGAGGCTGAGCGGGAGTTTGTCTCTCATGCCCTCAGCATGCGCCGTGTTCTCGGTTCCTCCCTTTTCCTATTTAGTTCTCTTATCGCGCTCTGAATGCTTCCTCTCCGCAGTTGCAGCGGGGCAGTTTCTCATTTCATCACCTGGTGACAACATCGGCGTAGCGCGATAGACCGCTTCTTTTGATTCGGAGCAGTGTTGTCCGTTTTCTCTCTTGTACCAGTACATCGGACTCCAGGAAGTACGTTGTATACAGTGAAGTCCATGGTACGTCTATCCCTATCCATGCCCACTACATCCCTCGTGAAACCATTGATCAAGTCCCGATCGACGCCGATCGCGATCGTGGCCTTTCAGCTTTCAATATGGCCCGAGCCTAGCTCTCAGCTCCCCTTGCATCTGCATACCACGGTGAAAGATGAAATATGCTGTGGTTGGGGTGCTCAAGGCGGTCCCTCCACATGCGTCATCGGGCGCCGCGAGGTCCCAGCCCCTGCAACGCTAACATGTGGTTTGGCGGATCAAAGACCCGGGTCGTGCGCGAGTGATGTACAATGTACGTGCCACAGATGTGAGCTTGCTGGTAGAAGAAGGAAACGCGACGCTAGGAAAAGAGCTGTTGCTGATCTCCGGTGCTCAGCCTGGACGGAGTACTCCGTACTCCGTAGTATCCATGCCTATAAGAGGTGGAGTGGGGATCGTCTTCCTAACCCCTCGATTTTATGTATGACGAATGGTGTGGGATGGAAATAAAGATCCCGTAGATGAATTCAAGAATGGAATCTGATTTCCGCATACCCTGGACTTGCACGAAGAAAAGTTTTGAGTAAGAGACCGACTACGGGCACACTACTCCGTATTGACTAACACTTTTGCTTTTTGGATATTTCCCGCTGGCCACAATTTGTTCTCAGGCTGTCGTATTTAAGATGGTAATTTCTTAATATTCCTGACCCGAATGCGAAGGTGTATACCTATTAGGTAGCGCCCAGGGGTCGGGTTCAATTAAAATCGCAACCTCTGCCTAAATATGCCTGGCTTTGGACCGCTCTTGACACCGCTCATGATTGTATTGTAAATCATAGTCCCTAATTGAAACCATTCATACCACGTACACGGAGTATCTTGAGAACAATATATGTGTAAAAATGACTTTAAAAACGCAGTTGGAAAGACTACTAAAAAGAGATTGCAAGCCCGCAAACCTTGGAACGCAGGCGACTATATGAAAAGCATCACTTTGCCTGCTTCACGTTGCAAGATTGGACTGAGGTACCTTGGCAAGGCATTTATTAAGGTCGCTGGCATAGTAACTCGGGTATTTTAGCGTTTTACCAGCCCAAATCCAGTTATAATTAGGGAACTCGATTTCAATTGAATCATGGGTTCGTGCGGTTGATATTCTAATTTCGGGTTCCTCGACAACCTTGGAGCATACAACCTATAGCCGAAACCTGCATGGGCTCAATGTGCATTCTCCGTTATGCACAGGACCGAGTCCGAGCCTAGAGCTAATTTACAAATTATAGGTCATCTGCACTAAGGGGTGTCACGATCTGCGGACTTGTCAGCAGCTATGTACTCGCATAATCTCTGCCAAGCTTCCAACTCTCTGCAGAAAATGATCACAATTCACGGGCACGTTCTTATGCTCGTCGGGTTTCACCAGTTAATATTCCGAAGCCTGACAAGGAGCTTGTGATATGCTGTTCGGGCAGAGCTCTACCTAGCTTGAGAGCTCAACCCCACAAGTAGCGCCAATTCGATATGACCCCAAGCAGTACCTTGGGCAGATATCACGATGCAAATATTTCGCAATCCACGGTTTTCTAGTGATCCCGAGATATGAAATGTTCAAGCAGCCTGGGAGAATTGCAAACCAGGAGCTATCACTCACATGTGATATTGAACATTGACTGTATGGAGAACCAGTGGGCGTCCACCGTACGATGTATAGGGACCCAAATGAGGTCAGTGGTGATACGAGCAATTAACCAATGTGTTTCAATGCAGTGGTTTCTTTATTGGATTGACACGATTGATACCCAATAAGGGCGATGTGATTCGGAAGGGAACGAGGCAATAAACGATCGGTGAGTATTTACGGGGCTTCATTGAGTTGTAGATCCATAGATGAACTCATCTTGCTGAACATTGAACCCCCGCACTCTCATACTGCCCAACTAGGGGGTAACACAAAGCCCGCAATGCTGTCCTATGCGGGCAGCCTGTAATATCCAATTGACATGAGCAATTTGGGCCGGCAATGGCGGTTGGGAATCTAGAATTAGAAAAGAATGAACATCGAACAGCCAGAAGCAGTATGTTTGCCGATCAACGGCCAGACAGCACATCTGCCCGAAATCCTCCGTTGATGGGTTGGTGGGTTGGTGGGTTGGTGGGGATGAAGAACATATGATGTCAGGAGGTAGGAAGCGATATGGATTTGCCTTGTTTGCACTGGTAAGGCTTGTATTGATGTTTGTCTGATTTGCATGATAAAAGTGGGTCCCGGGTGACTAAGTGGGATCTCGGAAAAAGGTCGGCCCTTCGCAAAACAGCTATTCCTCCCCATTCGCGCTTCCCCAGCATCGATCAACCATCGACAAAATGCCTCGAAAGTCAAGGGCGGCCGCCCAGGCGGCTGCGAAGTTGATCAGTAAGTTGATTTCAACCCCCGCTTTTGCCCGCACCTGCGATAAAAACCACGTCCCACCATTCAAAATTCCACGCTCCCGTTAGACGCGTTTGCGATTAACCAGCTTCAGAAAATGTACCAACACTTCCAGATGGGTCTGATGAGGAGATGATTGACGCGCCTTCTTCCCATCATTCCTCACCCGAACCCGAAAAAGAAAGTTCCCCAGAGAAAGATCCTGAGCTCGAGGCTGAACCTGAAGCCAAAGCCGAAAGCGCGGAAGTTCAGCCTCGCGAAATTACAACTACACCCAAGCCCGAAGAGGAATTGAGTGTATCGACCCCCGCAGAAGACTCAATTATCCCCGATACCGACAATACGCCTTCCTATGGTCCTGGCCGCCCGTCACTTCCACCCCGCGGTAAACGTCGCATCGGTCGTCCACCTAAGAACCCTCGGCCTGAATGGGATGCGCCTGACGGCGAGACACCACTTCGAGTAACTACCCCAGTGAAACGACGCCGTGGTCGCCCTGCTGCTAGTGGCGGACGCTGGGCGCGCAACCGTGGACCTTCCCATCTCACACAGGTTCCTGTCGACAAAGAAGGAAACATGATGGATGTGATTAACGACGAGGTGTCGATCCCACCCGACCCAATTGGCGCCACCAAGGTCGACGAGAATGGTCATCTCCAAGGTGGACGTGAGTACCGAGTCCGTACCTTCAAGATCCTTGGCCGTGGAGACCGTCTCTACATGTTGTCGACTGAACCCGCCCGTTGCATTGGTTTCCGTGACTCCTACCTGTTTTTCCAGAAGCACAAGATGCTTTACAAGATCATTATTGACGATGATGCCAAGCGTGATTTGATTGAACGCGAACTCATCCCCCACTCCTACAAAGGACGTGCCATTGGTGTCGTGACCGCGCGATCTGTGTTCCGCGAGTTCGGCGCAAAGATCATCGTCGGCGGCAAAAAGATCACTGATGATTACGACGAGGCCGCTGCTCGTGAGCGCGGCGATGTGGAGGGCGAGCTAGTTGTTCCAGAAGACAGACTGCCAGGACCTGGAGAAACTTACAACAGGAACCAGTATGTCGCTTGGCACGGCGCGAGCAGTGTCTACCATACCAATGCGCCCTCGGTTCCTCTTGCAGGCGGAAAGCCAGTTGATATCAAGAAACGTCGCGTCCCAGTTACTGATGACAACTGGATGCTCGAGCATGCCCGTGCTGCAAGGTGAGCCCAAATTTGATTGCGAGCAACCCATTGAAACCTGTCAACTAACGCATGTTCTAGCAACTTCAACTCGAAACTCGCCGAAATGCGCCGTGCGAACCTGGGTGGAGTTTACGATGTCCACACCAACACCATGCAGTATCCGAAGATCATGCAGCCTACTCACGCCCGCTGGGAGCGCGTCCCACCTGCTCCAGCGACCGGCTCGACTGAATTGACAACGGACATGGACTCAATGAACCTCGCCAACGGAAGTTCCCCTGCCCCCGGAGATCCAATCCCCCACAAACCCGAAGAGTCGCGCGAGGCTGTTACTGGCGAAAGCTCTACTCAACAATCCACCACCACCTTCCCTCCTGTTCCCGCTCATCTCCACGACCGCTACATTATCCAGGATGTCGTTTACGAATCCCCCCAGTATTCAAACATGGGCATCCCGGGTCCCGACGGCGATGTGCACGATATCGGCCCCAACGGTCTGGTCAGCGTCGCCAACCCCCAGCATCCTGAGTTCATGAGCCCCGAGATCATCGCGTTGCTCCCTCCTGAGTGCAAGGAAGCTCTCCTCGATGCTGCGGCGCAGGAAGTTCAGTGGAAGTCCAAGTGGAGCACCGAGACCACGGACGGCGAGCGTACTCAGCCCACTAAGAGCTACGCTTGGTACCCCTAAATCCTGGATTTAATTTCTTTTCTTTTTTCTTGTGCGTCGGCGAAATTTACGGGTTAGCATGGGCTGGGTGGCTGGACATGGCGGGCGAACGCCGGAGTTTTTTTTTTCTTTGTGCTTGGAGGGTGCTTTTGCATTCTCGACATGTGTCATGGGTGGATTTTCATCTTCATGATCTATTGAATGGTTCTCTCTTTCTCGGTCCATATTAGCACTCTATTTCTTGAGTGCTGGAACTTCAGATAATAATGAACCATCTTTTTTACGAATATGTTTTGCCTCTTTGTAGTTGGTTACCTCGTTGGTCTAACCGAGTAAGTTTGCTCTTCTGGGGCTTTCTGGAAAGGTGTCGTTCTCGGTCTGAGCGGCCTTGAAGGAAGGCAGAGTATGGTAAACACATTGTAGCATATGGCATAACTACCTATAGTAGGTGCTACAGATCCATGATGCCATGCGTGTACTTCACTTGGTAAATGTTGGATAGCTACATCCAGGGTTGCATGTAGGTAGTAACTACAACATCAAATCCGAATGCGTATTCCAGGTTGAAAATGTAGAATTAGGATCATAGCTTACACCAATAGATAGATAGAAAGAAAGAAAGAAAGAATAAACCGAAGTCATCTAGAAACTCCATTTCAAAAGCAAAAATGAACAATAGGGACCCAAGAGATCGATCGAGTTGGTCTGGAAAAGGGTGTTGGTGAGTGAAACAGCCAGATGGAAAAGTGACAGAGGGCAAGACAGATCGGCGTGATATGCCGTAAATGAGCAGTTAATGCTGAATCATATGGAGAGGAAGATAGTTAGGTAAAAAAGAGTAAAAGTAAGTAATTCGGAAAGTCAGCACCGAGAACAAAAGGCAAAAAGAGGCTTGCTTGATAGAACGGCCGGGTCATGCATGCGAGGGTAAGGCAAGGAACAAAGGAAGAGTTGACGGATGAAATTTCAACGGAGAAAACGAAGCTGCATTGGTCGCGTGGCTGGAGGTAAGAGGCTGTCACATGGCCATTTCCGCGCGCAACTTCGCCAGCTCGGCTTCCTCGTCGTCTTCTTCTTGTGCCTTGGTGGGGTGTTTGACTGTGCAACCCGCATGGTTAGTAAACGATACATATGCCGCTTAGATATAGGATTTCGTTCCAACATACGATCTGTGTTCCCCACAGCTGGTAACCGGTCCAGTTGAGTGCCCACTGGTACAGTTCCGGTGTTGAGCATCTTCGCGTCCATAGCCTCCTGCTCCAGAGCCCCCAATTCGTCCTCGAGCTCTTCCTCGTCGGGCTGTTCGCCGATAGGGAAACTGGTGATGACGCTTCCGATTTCGGCGCTGAGCGCATGTTGATCTTGGAGCTCCTCCCTGCAGATGATCAGTACGGCTGTAACATCGTATAACAAAAGCCTTAGCCCGGCAGCAACGTACATCGTCTTGTCGACATCCTCGAGCTTCATTCCACCGTGGATCTGCTTCATAGCGGCACCGGCCTGCTTCATCGCAGCCAAGGTCTCGTGATTGATATTCGCAGCTTCGATGGAGTATATCTGCTGCTCGAGCTGCATGGTCTGCGCCGTTGTCTGCTCGAGGTTCTTCTCATGAACTTTTTTCCGTCGGAGGGCATTTTTGGCAGCTATTTAACATAAGAAAAGATAAATACATAGTTAGCCACCATCCGAAACTCTTAGATAGATGTTCGGCAATAATCTGTAAGATCTGCATCCATACCATTCTTATCTGTGTTGATATGCTTCCGCGCCAAAGCCTCCTGATCCGCAATCTGGCTCTCAAGGTGCTTCTCGCGCTTTTGCAGCATATCCAACTGCTCGCGCAGCGTTAGGATAGCGTTCTTGGGCGCATCCTTTCGCTTCTGAGCGGCGGCCCCGCCAAACCAAGACCACATGGTGATATCGGTGTCTGTGTAACTAAGAACCAAAGGAAATCAAAAGATATGATAGACCCTCAGGAGTCAGAAATATACCTAAAGCAGACCAGACAGTTGCCTAAAATCCGGAGGAGTGGAGAGTAGGTTGATTTCTTTGCTGCAAGTCAGGTGGAGCAATAGGCTCCAAGCAAACTCAGTGAGCTGACAGGTGAGATAAGATTAGTGATAATAAGCTCCAAATGACCGGTATGGCTCGGGGCACACGTCTCGTTGGGGAATGCTTTCAGGCAGATAATTCTGGATGAATGCAAAGTTGGAGGGGAGAGCGCCCGGGTTTCCCCTCGCTGGGCCTATGACATACACAGTAAGGCCAGTCACGTGCGACAACAAGACCGATGTGTTTGTGACATTTCGATCTTTTGTTTTTCTTTTCTCTTCCAATTGCCGCGCTTTATCGCTTTACAATGTCAAACGTCCTGTTTCAATAGCGCAGAGATGAATGGACCGCGTCCCTCGACTCGCGCGTTCCTATCCGATCTCTCATCTCTACAGGCGGACTCGAAGATCCGCTTTCTTGGCTGGTGCGTCCGGTATAGAGCAGAGAACAAAGTAGTATAGCTTCGAGGATTTGCAAGACTAACGATGATCTACGTTCTTTGTCGCACACAGCGTGACGCACTATACCATCGCCACCGGACATCTGATCCTGGAACACAACTATCCACGCAGCAAGGTTGCGCCAAGCTCTGTATCTGTCGATGTCAATGCCCTCCTTGAGGACCTGACCGCCGAAGATCTGCGCGTGGGGGCATGGTTGAATGTTCTGGGCTATGTTAGAGAGTCGGAGCCAGCGCTGCCACCATCTTCATTCTCTTCGACTGCTAAAGACGCAAACCGGTCAAGTCAGAGGCCTTCCACGGTGTTCCCTCGTCCAGTGTACATCGAGGCAATCATGGTTTTCCCAGCAGGAGCTATTGCACTCGGCGAGTATGAGCGGATCCTTTGCAATTCCCAGCAAGTAGAGCGGATGATACAGTCTATTCACTGATGAATCACCTGTGAACATGACCAGATTGCATACAAAATCGGTCATAGATCGAGGAATTTTTAGAAACACAGAGATTTTCTATTTGACACTTAAATCCCTTTCTATTAGGCCCCTTGGTATCTACATAGGAATTTGTGTTATTTATCATGATATCCACTTGGTATAGCACATGGCCATAAGATAGGTCGTGTTTATCAGCTTGCTTGGTTAAAAGTGAGGTCAAAAGTGTATATATGTAGTCTTGACATTGACTCCATACACGCAGAGCAGTTAGACGAGCATTCAGACATTAAACATTTTGTTAAAAAGTAACTTTTCGCCCACCCCAAGAATAAGCCGAGGGGCATCGGGACGTACATCAAAAAGCGACCCAAGAACCTCAAGCTAAGCAACCTCTTCAGCCTTCTCCTCATCCGACTGGCTCGCCTGCTGAAGCTGAAGCTGCCTCCTAGCCCGCTTCCCCTCCAACTTCCTCTTCTCCTCCTGCATGCGCATAATAAGAGGACTCCTCATACGGATCTTATGTCCATACTTGTAAAACACAAATGGAATCGGCACAATAAGAACCTCCAACAACCCCAGCAAGGTACCCGACCAATTAGGCCCCAGACTAGCATACATATAAGAGCCAGCAAGTGGTAGCACACCACCAAGGACACTCCGAATAACGGAATTACCGGCCAGAGCAGAAGCAGCATACATACCGTAGCTGTGGGTGAGGTAGTTGGACGCATAGATGAAGACGCCAGTATTACCTGCGCCGAACGGGATGCCCGCTAGCAAGGGTGCAATCCAGTGGATTGAAGCTGGAGAACAGGTCCATGCAAACCAGAGTTCGCCGATCGGAATGACTGCTGCGCAGATGCATACGAATGAGACCATTGCTTCCGGGGGTGGCTTGCCGGTTTCGGGGTCTTTAGCGTGGCTGTTGATGAGCCGCCGGATTAGAGGCTCGCAGGCAATTGTGAGTAAGACACCAATGCCGATGCCGAGGAAGGCTAGACCTGACAGGCCTAGGCCCCAGCCGCGGATGTCTTGGAAGACGATTGGGTAGGCGATGAAACAGAGGTACAGAATGCCGTAGATGATTGCGATGTAGATGTCCCAGAAGATACTGGAGAGTCGGTTAGCGTCGTGCTTCAATGAATATCTGGCGCATTTACAAGGGCTAAGGAACATACCAGATTGGCTCGGTAACTGCCATCACAAATGGACGACTGAGGTTCAACTTGAGGATCTCAGAAAGGTTCTCCTTCTGATCATAGCGACTCCACCAGCGGAGCTCGCCGCTCTCCTTGCGAAGTCTGGTTGCTTTCTGTTGGAGCAGTACTGGGGCATATGTTTCCTTCAGTATGATCGCGAATCCCAATGCAATAGCGGAGAGAATGAGCGTGATCCAGCACATCCAGCGCCAGCCAAGATATTGAGTGACGAAGCCTCCGATAACAGGACCAACGACTAAAGCCTGTTAGCAATGGATCCATTGCGGTATAAAAAGAGGATAGAATAAAGGACATACCCGGTCCATTTAGCGGCCCGATACTCCAAACAGAGATCGCAAGTGCACGGTGCTCATCATCCACCAGATCAGCCACCATACCAGGCGCCGCGGAGATCATGACACTACCAAAGAAAGCAGCAATAGTGCGAACTACGATCAGTGTCGTAACAGATTTAGCTAGCGCGCAGGGAATGATCAAGACGGTGAACACGGCAAGACAGATCACACAGACGGGTTTCCTTCCGTAGACTTCGCTCAACGGGGCCATGAACATGGATCCAATGGCAAGACCGAAGAGGTAGAAGGTCAGGCCGAGGGTGACGATGGTCTTGGGCTGACCGAACTCCTCAGCAATCAATGCGGTACCTGATGTATAAGATGTTGAATACAGCACACTTCCAAGTGAATTAGCTAGAAGTTCTCATGCCATGGTAGATCGAATATAAATACTCACACGATGAGGGTGTTCCATGACAGAAACAAGATGCACATGGACTTGTATCCGAAATTCCAGTTTTTGGGGTTCTGTGGGTCATCCTCGCCATCCCAATCGACCTCATAGTCGGGGTCGGTGGTGGCATTAGTTGCGACGGTCGTTATCCGTCCCGACAGTGACATGTGAGAGCTTCGCGAGGCGCGAGCCGTTAACGCCTTTCCCAATGCATCATGGTCGGTCTTCGTGTCTACTGTAGAAATAGACACGATAGAGTCGGAGTCTTGGGACGGGCTCTCCGTCTTTTGGGGAAATTTTTCTTGGGATGCCGAATGAGGGCACTGAGATGCCATTCTCAGACGCTTCCCACGAGGGCTTTTAGGGCAGTGGACAGTGAAATAGGGCCTGTGAGGGATCCCCGAGATTATGGAACACGTTATTCGAGAATTAGGGGATCTTATTAATCGAAAGGAAAAGATATGGCTAGGTAGCTCCTTTGTCCTGCGATCTTCGTCCCAAGATAAGAGCGCGGGGCTAGTGTTTCTCTGTTTTCAGAAATGGGGATGATTGAGTCAAACGATAGACAAGCTGGAGGAAAGCCTGCAGCTGAGACGGATTCAGAACACCGTCCAGGGGGAAGCAGCATACATAGCCTCGGAAGTGAAGTCGGCGTTTAACATCCAAACAGCCTTGAGCTGGGCACCTTGGAATCTTCCGAAGGTGGAGCCGAGATGATAAGCATATTTGACGAGCACAACGTGTGCATCGGAAGATGATCTCTCGACTGCATGGGATGTAGCTTGGGAGACACAGGCCAGCTTTCCCCGAAAGCAGAGCAACTGGGTATCTATTATCGGAGCACCAGAGTACTGCCTAATATCCATTTCTATACTCCTCCATGCCCCGTTTTGTAGATGGTATGGGGCCCCATGGGCAACGAGCAAAGACTCCATCATTCACATGTCCCCATCTGAATGTGTGTCGACCCAATCGTCTCCACGCCCCTATTAACCCCGAAAAAAGTGGGTTGCAGGTGTCCTAGCGTGCCGGTTTGCCGATTTCAAATTTCAAGAGTTTCAACCTCGCTAAAGTGCTGAGCTAGGGCGTAAGGTGTATCGCAATTCCTAGAATACGGCCTGTGGCCATGTGTCGCCTGTTGCATGTGGTCTATCATATAGGACGGAGGATCTTGGCGAAAGTGATATCGAAGCGAAGAGTCCCGAGCCCCCGGAATATTAGATGCTCCGGGTCGTGCAGTAGGGGTTCTGATCCATTCCATCGACCATGTACAACATATAAAACGTCAACGCCACCTGTGAAAGAAGAAGTGCTTCAAACCTGAGGTCTGATGTCTCGAGACCTAGAACTGCTAAATATAGGTACCCCCTATTCCATAAACCTGCTTGGTCGCAAATGACAGGAAAATCTCTGGTGCAAATGGGTCTCTATTCAATCAGATCCGTTGACTCCCGGTTTGAATGGATCGATGGTGTGCAGTTCGGGTCAACTCCGGATGCTGCTGTTGTTCTCACTGGCCACAGAGGGCCCTGGGTCGCTCGTTTAAAATAACCGAAGCGACTAAGGCCTAAGCGATCTGCCAAAATAGATCTGATCCGATCGAACCGCGATCAATCTGAGGAACCGACTGGAGATTCCAATTTGTTTGAAACAGCATGCTGCTCCAGGAGGCCAAACCTTCGAACAGCCCTATAGCCAACTTTTTCTTTTGGACCTAGACTCCCACGCTCTTTTGTAATCTTTCTCCATTAAAACCTTGTGAAACGCAAACACCTGGAAAAGTAACCATTTAGCATCGCCATCATGTGGCTCATAGCAGCTGGCCTGGCTCTAGGTGCTGCCTACCTGTGTCGAGTGAATTCTGCTATGAAGGTAGTCGCTAAAGAGGCACACAAGCTATCGCCCCATCGTTGGACGGTCGAAGAAATCAATGCTACCTACAAGAAGAGCCTGGAAGCCCCCATCGATGTGACCAAGAGCCTGCCACCAAAGCAATCCCGCCGATATGTGATCGTTGGTGGAACCGGTACGTCTAGATACAAGGTATCTCTTAATACAACCATCCACTGATCACAAGGTATAGGCCTAGTTGGGGCTTGGATAGTATCTCATCTCCTGGCACGTGGCGAAGACCCCAAGGCCATTCGTATTCTGGATCTAGCCTCCCCGGAGCAGAACATCCTCAGCCAAGGTGTGGGTTGGATCAAAACCAACGTCACCGACGAACTCGCAGTGACAGCTGCATTCGCAGAGCCATGGAATGCAACAGTCACCAAGCTCCCCTTGACAGTCTACCACACAGCAGCCGTAATCCGTCCTCAAGACCGTCTCAAGAGCTTCCTACCGCTCTGCAGCAAGGTCAATGTCGATGGCACACGGAACATTCTCAACGCCTCCAAACTCGCCGGCGCCACAGTCTTCATCTCAACATCTTCCGGCTCCATCGCCCTGCACCAGCCAAACTTCTGGATCGCCCCGTGGGCAACCGAGCCCTCACGCGTAGTGCAGGTAATCAGCGATTCAACCAAACTGCCCGAATCCCACGAACAATTTTTCAGCAATTACGCCGTCACCAAAACCGAAGCAGAACGGCTCGTCCGCGCAGCCGACGATCTAACATCTAACTTCCGCACCGGCTGCATTCGACCCACGAACGGTATCTACGGCACAGGCGGCGAAGCCAATGCTGCTGTCACGGACATTTACCTCCGCAACGGCGGTAACCCAACCTGGGCTCACCCGATTATGCAGAGCTTCGTGCACGCCGAAAACGTCTCCCTCGCCCATCTCCTCTACGAACAACGTCTGATCCAGCAGAGCGAGCCGGGTTCCCAGCTTCCAAACACCGGTGGACAGGCGTTTGTCGTCAGTGATCCCAGCCCGGCTATTGCGTTTAGTGATATGTATCTGTTGCTTGAGACGCTGTCTAAGACGCCGACTTCTTTCCCGAAGCTACAGCCCGTGCCGTTCTTGGTTATGGCGTACTTCGTAGAGGTTTACGCTTTCTTGCAGATTAACTATCTCTCGTGGCTGCCGAGGTTGCCCCATGATCTGGAGCAGATTCAGCCGTCGCTATTCTCTATCTTGAATGTTAATGTGTTTGCGGATGATTCGCGGGCGAAGCTGGCGCCGGAACTAGGTGGGTTGGGTTATAACCCGCCTATTAACACTCTGGAGGGTATGTGTCGACGACTTGTGGATTGGAATACAAAGGCTGAGGCGGAGGGGGTTCATGTCAAAGGCAAGAAGGTGATTTTGGGTCCTGTGAAGATCTCGGAAGATGGAATTGGTGTTGATGTTGTTATGCCGAAGGTGTGAGGATGAGGATTTCTTTGGTATGATCCATGGATGGGTCCATTGGTCCTTTTAGAAAACATTCAGTTCATCTTTTTCGACTAGCATAATGGAGCGTACAGCAAGCAAATTACATTAATTGTCAATTTCAAGGCCTAATATGGATAAGAGGATAGTGCGACAGGAAACTGTACTTGGAGAGAAAAGCTCTGATATGAGCTATTATTCATTGAATCTTCTGCAATATCCGGAGCCGACCCGCAGTACCCGGCTATATCAGCGACTGACTCCTCTCCTATCCTCACACAGATGTAAAGGCTTTTGTCAGAGCTGGGATGAGAATTTGCCAGCCTCAATCAAAACTTTGGAAGTTGTACTCCGTAGCCCGAGATCAATGGTGGTGGTTGTAGATGAGAATGTACCGAGCACACAGTGTTCACAGCCCTGCGATGAACAGAAGTTCTCGGCGGAAAAGTCAAGGCGATACATGATACACCAAGGCCGGTAAACCTAGGCGTTCATGGACGCAGGAACCAGGCGCAGAGCGACCCTCAAGTCGCACATATGACACTCCACCATGCAAGCGTTCCACCAAGCAGACCGTGCGACAAAGAACATGGTCAAGTCGCACGGCCAAACAGAAAGGTGCTAGCCCCGCTTAGCCTGCTAAAGAGACACGCTTTCATTTATGGAAAAGTACACAGACAAGACGAAAGTTTTTGTTCCTTAGCGCGCCTGCTGCTGAGCCATCTGCCGCCGATGCTCAAGAATTTGCATGCGCAGACCCTCCGACGCAAGCTCGACATCAAGAATCGCACCGACACCACGCTTCCACGTCTCCTCCAGACCAACCAGCTCGCCCTGGCTCGCCTCCTGTGCAATCTTTCTCTGTTTGTTCACTTCCTCGGCAGCCTCTTTCGTTTCTGCCAGCTCCTTCTCCAGAGAACCGAGAATCTCCTCAAGCTGCGAATTGCCAATCAGCCACGCATTCTTGCCATACTCTTCCAGCAGAGTCAGGTTCTCGTGGCGCTTGGACAGATGCGAGCTTGACGCGTAGGCCTTCTGTAGGGTCTGGCGCCATTCGTCTAGATTGGGTGCATCGGTGTCTGATGTGCGAGTTGGGCCTTCTGGTGCTTCGTAACGGGATAGGTCGATTCCGCCTGTGAGGGGTGCTCCTTGCGCTTTGCGAGCGATTTCTTGTTGCATGAACGGGGTGAACTTGGGTTCTCGTGCTTCTGGAATCCAAGGGTGTAGTGTAGTAGCATGCTCGGAGGATAGGTCTGCATTGATGAGCTGTTGCGCTTGCGCTTGCGCGGAGGCAGTGGGTGCGGCATCAATGTCTGGCGATAAGGGTTAGTTATTGGGTTCTAAATGGACAATCTGTGTCTATGGTCGATTCATACATGGCAGAGAGTCGTGGGATTCGTTAATGAGAGGCATTTTTGAGTGGTCTTGGTGTATGGATGTCAAGACTAGAATCCGTAGATTAATCTGAGAACGATTGCTATACGAAGGCGGTGAGCTTCAAGATGCATAGAAATGACTAAGTGGGTATATGGCACGTGATCTCGAGTTATGCATATTTATACACCGAAGTATGTACTTAGGTAACGACCTTGGGAGACCTCAAATGGATGAAAGAGTACGTCTAATCGTGACATAATTAATATATTCTAAAAATGGGATTTCTCACAGTTACATCCGAGTCATGGGATACACCAACAAGAACAGGGCTGAAGATTTAGGTAAATGGTAAGGCCATTGCCCTGTAGGATGCTTGCTGGACTCTGCACCGATGATCCTAACCAAATTCAACAGTTTTTCCCGAGGTGCCTGAGGACAAATGCATGTTCTCAACTCAGTGACTGGCCGCAAATCACTGTAAGCGAGTCGCTTCGCATGCCCGATCAGCAGGCATATCACATCAAGTCCTACCCCATGCGGGGGAGTTCAGCCAGAGCCTATTCCTCTTTTGGGGAGTGTGAAGTACTATGGATGACGATCCCAGCCTCTGCCTATCGCTTAGACGGACGTCACCTACGAAGTACGGAGTAAGGAGTACTTCATGTACACTAACTCTTAGCTTCTCTCCCGTTCTTGGGATACTTGGGCGATGATCTTCGGGACTAACAGGTTCGTGGTCCGCTGGATTCCCCCGCTGGTTGACTTGTATAAATACCCATGTCTTCCTCGGAAGGCGTGGAATTCCTCTCGGCTTTTCGAGTCTTCTCAGATCATTGGCAAGGCTTTTTTTTGCGGATGCCATAATCCTATATAACTTGTGCTATATTGGCGATCATTCCCCACCATGGCTAACCTTCGAATGGGCGTTACCTTTGCTGGGGTGACTCTTGCCGCACTGGTGATTTTGCAGTTGATTGCAGTCTTCAAGATCGATAATCAGTCGCAGTCGCCTTTGCCTCATTTCAGTTCGAACTTCAACCAGTGGAAACATAGGGCAAACAAGGCAGCAGCTGATGATATCTTTTTGGTCGGAGCGGGCAAGGCAGATATAACAGGGTACGTTCATCCATCCTTTCTTCCTTGTTGGGCTATTGGACTAATATTGCTTCATAGACCGGTAGTGGAGATTGCTTTCGGTGGTTATGCTAGTTTGGACCAACGAGGCACTGGTTTAAAGCAGAGACTGTATTCTCGCGCATTCATCTTCGCAGACCCAAACAAGCCCGATGAGACATTTGTGTACCTGGTCCTCGACATACTCACAGGTGATACGGCTGTGCGACATGGTGTTCTGCAGGGTCTCAGTGCGCTCGGTGGGAAGTATGCACGGTACGGCGAACACAACGTCGCAATGACAGGAACACATTCGCACTCCGGGCCTGGAGCGTGGACAAACTACCTGCTTCCTCAAATTCCTTCGCTGGGATTTGACAAACAGAGCTACCAAGCTATCGTCGATGGTACTATTCTGTCAATCATCCGCGCTCATGAAAACCTGGCGCCAGGTCGGCTTTCCGTTGGGTCCATCGACTTGCAGGACACCAATATTAACCGTAGTCCTTATTCATATGAACACAACCCTGAGGAAGAAAGGGCACGTTATTCTGCTGATGTTGAAAAAACTCTTTCTCTCATCCGGTTCGATCGCGAATCGGACAGCAAAACAACGGCAGTCCTGACATGGTTCCCTGTTCATGGTACCTCTCTGTATAACAATAACAGTCTGGTCACTGGTGACAATAAGGGTGTCGCAGCTTATCTCTTCGAGCGCAGCATCAAAGACGATGCGAGATTCACTGACGATGCCGTCATTGGATTCTCCCAAGCCAATGTCGGAGACACAAGCCCTAACATCTTAGGAGCTTGGTGTGAAGATGGCTCTGGACAGAGGTGCCGATATTCAGACAGCACCTGCGGTGGCAGAAACGAAGATTGCCATGGTCGAGGTCCATTCTTCCGTGAGCAAGACAATGGAGCGAAGAGTTGCTTCGAGATTGGACGGCGCCAGTATTCTGCAGCAAAGAAACTCTATGAACAGATGAACACCAACCCTATCAAGGTCACTGGAAGTTCAGCAGTCAAAGCTTTCCATGTATATCAAAATATGGATGGCTATACATTCCCCTCGCCCTTCAACTCGAGTACGCTGACGACGTGCCCTGCGGCTATGGGGTACTCATTTGCTGCTGGAACCACCGATGGACCGGGTGCATTTGACTTTACCCAGAACGCCACTGGTCCGGCTTCAAAGAACCCCCTGTGGCAAGTTGCGCGTGCATTCATTCACCAGCCGACCAAAAAGCAGCAGGAGTGCCAAGCTCCCAAAAAGGTGCTTTTGGACATTGGCCGACTCACTCAACCGTATGCATGGGCCGCAGACATTGTTGATATTCAAGTTCTGCGAGTGGGCCAGCTGTTTATCATCATCTCCACCAGCGAGGCTACCACGATGTCTGGCAGACGCTGGAAGGAGGCTATTGCGAAGGGAGCAAAGCAACATCTTTCAGTTTCCGACCCTCAAGTTGTCCTGGGAGCTCCGTCAAACACCTACGCTCACTATGTGACAACCGAGGAAGAATACGGTGTCCAACGGTACGAAGGCGCGTCTACGCTATACGGCCCGAATACCTTGGCGGCGTACATCAATCTGACTCTCACCTACCTGCCATATCTGGGGACCACATCAGAGGTTGCCAAACTTCCTGCCATCAAGCCCGGTCCCAATCCCCCAATCAATACCAACAATTCCTTGAGCTTCATAACAGGGGTTGTGTATGATGGGAAACCCTTGGGCAAGTCCTATGGAAATGTGCTATCGAACCCGGAAAATGGACCCTATGGCCCCGGCGATATTGTCGAGACTGTCTTTGTGGGTGCTAACCCACGCAACAATCTGCATCTAGAATCGACTTATGCTGCTGTCGAAAGAAAAACTGATTCCGGCTGGGAGGTTGTGCGCGATGATCGTGACTGGAACTTGGCCTTTTTGTGGAAGCGGACCAATGAAATCCTTGGGCAAAGCGAGGTGACTATTCAGTGGCATATTGAGGATGACTTTTACAATGTCGACAATCCGAAGTCCCTGCAAGCTGGAACCTATCGGATGCATTATTATGGGGAGTCAAAGAACAGCCTGGGCCATATCAAGTCCTTCGAGGGCATTGGCGGGACATTTGCGGTTACGACTTCGTAGTCTACTCACTTTACGGTGCTTATCATCTAGTTATAAGAGTGGATGATAGCTAATGGAAATGAAACGTTGGTGGTAACTCATCTTAAATTGCTGAAGATTATAGAGTAACCAGCCCACAGTCAGTGCATCTCGACTTACGCGCCCGGACGTAAGAAAATGGACTAGCCAAACCTATGACAATATGTATTCAGTCCATATGTCAACATTCGAGTCTTCAATAGAATCGAGGGTGGTCCTGTGCCTGCAGCCGACCAATCACCACGCGCCATTGACCAGGGCGCCTACTGCAACGTCTCTTTGTCGCGCCATCTATTTCTAGTGAAACGTCCCACAAAGAGCCCCTTGCAATGGCGGTTGCTTCTCAGAATGGTCATAGCCAGTTGCATCTCTACTGAAGACCTTGCAACCTTGCAACAATGGGCGGTTGTCAAGAAGCCCTAAGCCCAAAGCGGCACCAACGAAACAAGTGCAGATATACTCGCCAGAATCCTCGATGGCAAAGAATCTGAAAGAAAAATTGCCTTCCGGTTGAGATTGAACCTGCTTCATCTTGCTTCATTCTTTTGTTTCTATTCCTTTTTGTGGTTCCCTAGTGACCCAGCCATTCTTTCATTTTGCAAGCCATCAAGACACCTGGTGTGCCTTTCCACTAATATCGCAGTAATATTCTCCTTGATCATGCGTACCTATACAGCTGACATCTTCCATTCTATTCAACCGCTCTATATCTCTGCCTGAGTGCCCCCGTTCTCTTTACAGTTCCCCTTCCTCCGTCGGAGTGGCATCCTGATCACTTGCAACAATCACTCGTTCGCGTTGTTTCTAAATCAGGATGCTCCGCGTCCAGTTCCTTTGGTTCTTTCTGTTGGCATGGACTGCCTCGGCTGGCCCGATCTCTCGCTGGCAGTCTCAGGAATTGGAACAGGCCCCTGAGCCGACTTCTCCCTTCACGCCAGATCTCGAACGGCGTGGCGGGATACTGACAATCACCCCCGTTGCTGCACCTACCCAGTTACCGTTTACCATCGATGATCCAAATTTCACTTCCATCGCCAGTCCTGCTGAGCCAACTACTCATCGGTCATCCAGCTCCAGTAAGTCGACCACCAAGCCAACTACCACCCATGCGTCCTCTTCATCCCGCACAACTACATCATCCTCGATTTCCCATAGCTTTTTGTTGCCATGGCCCTTTGCGCCTCTTAAAACTTCAACTACATCATCCTCGATTTCCCATAGCATTCTGTTGCCATGGCCCTTTGCGCCTCTCAGAACTTCAACTACTTCATCCTCGATTTCCCATAGCATTCCTTTTCCATGGCCTTTTGGGCCTCTTGGAACTTCAACTTCATCGTCTTCAGTTTCTCACGGCAATATTTTGATATCATCTATAGCACCTCTTACAACTTCAACAACGCCTGCTTCCTCAACCTTGGCCAACATTGTGACATCGCTGCCTTCAACATCTACCAAACCATTGGCATCTCATACTGTGCCAATCATCTCTCAAGCTGTGCCAGCACCGACCAGCGTCATTATCAGCTCTGCTCGAGGCCTTTCCTCGCAGAAGCCGCCAGTAGCAACTAGTTCATTACCTATATATGTGGATCCCATACATGTCTCAAGCTCCTCAGCGCCTCGCGTATCATCAAGTGCGAAACCAAATGCACCCCAGACTTCAGCAGATTCAGCAGTGCCTCCTGCGCCCAGCCAGACGACTCAACCGTTGTACTCTGCCAATGCCCCGGCGATTGCTTCATCCAAGTTAACGAGCTCTATCACCCCTCAGAAAACCAATCAGGGTGATGGTATCATCGCTCCACTCTCTAATGCAGGTAACAGCACAGGTACACAAGCCATACCGGCAAATCCAACCTCTGCTATTAGCCGGCCAGCAACACAGTTGCCGATAGTTCCCACGAGCAACAGCCCAGCTGCTGGAATTGTTCTACCTGCAAACAGCACCAAGGCTTTTACAAATCCACCAGTGATACCAACTTCCAAAGCCAACCAACCAGTGAATTCCGTGCAAGGGCAATCTGCATCAGCACAGCTTTCTGTGTCAACCCTTCGGCCAGTGTTGACGGTAACCGAGCCTGTGATTGTCTATGTGACCAAGGGATCACCAAATCCCTTCTCGACAAGCACCATTCAACAGATTGCACCCGCTATAATCAGTTCGTCAGTCCCACCGGCAGTACCCACAGGACAACCGGCTCCCGAGCCCGAACCAACAACCACGTCGTTGGTATTCATGACCATCCATTCCACAGCAACATCTGTCGTTCGTGTGACTGTTTATCCGACAACTTCTTTGCCTCCTCTGCCTGTGTCGTTGCCTCCCTCAAGTGCGAATGCTACAAGTGTGAATGCAGCGCCTATAGAGACAGTTCACGTCACATCCACAAGCATTATTGCTGTGACTATCAACGCGACCACATTGCTACCTTCTTCGGCATCGCCATTGCCGCTCTCGAGCGAGATCGCCCCAACCGGGGAGCCCCTTAAAAAGACGCAGCCTACAGAGACAGTGCATATCACTTCCACAAGAATCATCGCTGTGACCATTTACACATCGCTGCCTCCTTCGGCGGCATCAGTGTCACCCTCAATTGAGATCGCCCCAACCCAGAATGCCCCTCCGGATACAGTGCATGTTACTTCCACGAAAGTCGTTCAAGTGACTGTTTATCCGACAACTTCAGCCTCTGCAGCCGAAAACACGGTCCCTGCCGCGATAGCGCAAGCTACAAACATAGTGGATCCCAAACATCCAGAGACTCGCACATCTGCCGATGCCGATGATGCAGAACCTGCTGCTACGACGCTCCAGCCGGGCAAAGGCATCCTTTCTGTGAATCCAGTGACACCGGCTGGATTTATCACTATCACTGAGACTATGACTCAGATTCAAACTACGACGGTGACGGATCGGGTGACTGAGACTGTCACTGCTACTGTAACTCGGGGTTAGGTACAAAGTTGGGAGGAAAATTGTGTTTAATTCTTGCTTCCTATAAAATACATCGAGGTCCTATTCAATCCGATGTTTATGGAAGACTTTCAGTCCTTTTTCATGCTTGATCAAGTTATGTCCGATCTTTTGGGGCTTTGATCTATCATGCCTTTTGCATAATTCACTATGTCAATCATGCCTACTTCATGCTGGACCATGAACCAAAATCTGTTCAGTGGACCGCCTGTTCACTTAGCTACTGAGGGTTAAGCTTTTGCTATTCCCTGCCGAAGACGCTGCTTAGAGATCATTGCTGATCGAAAGTCATGTATATGTATCGCTGTGATTATATGCCATGTCTCTTTCCTAATTACTCCCCAAGAGCCCTAGAGGTATGCTTTCCATGGTCTGAGCCCTTGAACACTATGCAGAGTAGATATAAATGTAAAGACCAACTACCTCGCCGCCCATCTAACCCTCCCAACCCACCTAGCCCAATCCTGCACATCCTCCCTTTCACAAATCCTCTCCACAGTAAACCACTCCCTAGCAAGCTCCTCATTGCTCGCCATACGATGCACAAAACTATGACACGCACGACAAAGCCACGCAACACTATTCAACATCCACTCATCATGCCATCCCTTCTTAATCACCTTCGCATGCACCCCGCGCGGAATCAAATGGTGGTAAGAAAGCGGAATCCAGTCGCGCTCACAGATCTCGCACGCGTCCGCACGCGTACTAGCCCACACTGGTGGGCCCGTTGTCACGCTCGATGTATATTCCGCTAGCACGGGGGCAAGGAAGTCCAGCAAGTCTGCCGCGTCGGGAATTATGCCATAGACGAGCAGCGAGTCTGTGACGCTGACTGGGATTGGGGAGGTAAGGGTTTCGAGTGTACTGCGCGGGAGGGGTGTATCGGCGTCCGGCGCGACGTAGAGCGTTGACAGAGCTGGGTCGTGCTGGATCGCGGCGAAGCTTAGGGTTTGGAGGGCGGTTGGGAATGAGGTGAAAGTTTCTGAGGCCAGGAACTGGGGTTGTTAGCGTTGATTCTGTTAGCTTGGAGGCTGTCTCCTTTTGTCTAGACTAGCTCTCTGGAAAGAGGTTTCATCGCTTTGCGCTGCGCTGGGCAATCTGGGTAGATTTACATCGACGAATTCGGCCAATTCTTCAGGGTCTGCTCTTCCAGTAGGGACTGATGAGGTGGTCACGTCTTTAGGCTCATTTCGTTTGCCCTTTTGTTTCCGTTTGGTGGGCTTTGGTTTGTCCTCGGAGCGGGCGACAATGGCGTTGGATAGACATTCGCGAAAGACGGCGTAATTTTCATGGGAGGTCATTGGAACTCGATTCGAGAGGACGTCCTCGACCCTGTGTCATGGTGAAGGTGAGTTGAATGTGCCCGTGTTGCCCCGCCACGGATGATTGACATCATTCTTCAGCCGCATTCTTTCGAAGCTCCAACTTTGTCGATTGTACTTTGGCCCATCCATGTCATTGACCATGGCAGACACAATAACGGTGGCTTTTGATCTGTATGGGACTTTACTCTCTACCGATTCAATTGCAAAGCAATTAGAGAAATAGTACGACCCTGCCAGGGCGCAGTCGATCTCCGCGCTTTGGAGGCGGTACCAACTGGAGTACACTTGGAGATTGAACAGCATGGGTGAGCAATCTTACCCTCAATGCTCCCAATATCAACCTGATAGTCGACAGGTCACTATGAAGACTTCTCAGCCATCACACGTCACTCTTTACAGCATGCACTAGCCGAGAACAGCGAGCAGTTGAGCGATGTCAATATCGAAGACATAATGCAAGCGTACGACAGCCTCTCTACGTTCGCCGACGTGAATCCAGCATTAGCCCACATAGCTACGGACCCTACTATCCGAGCAGTGATATTCTCCAACGGGACTAAAACCATGGTATCCAATTCGGTGTTGCAGTCCAAGGACCTTTCGCCGCACGCGAGTGTCTTCAAGGATATTGTCACTGTGGACGAAGTCCGGCAATACAAACCAGCGAAGGCAAGCTACGAGCACCTCGCAAAGCAGACAGATACAAACCCATCACAGATGAGCAAGCTTTGGCTAATCAGCGGTAACCCTTTCGACATCGTCAGGGCACGCGCAACTGGAATGCAAGCTATCTGGATTGACCGTGCTGGCACTGGATGGGCAGATGCCGCGATTCCAAATCTACAGCCAACTGCCATTGTACACAGTTTGGAGCATATTACGGACAAGATTCATGGGCATCGGTACTAGACCAAAAGCCTTACAAAATCGAGTCTTCAAAAGAAGGGCTTTCAACCCCCAAAGAGGGTTGAAAAGGAGGGATGTACAGCTGAATATATTTCCAAACGCTCCACACTTGAGTAGAAGAGTTTGGGGTAAGCCAGCAGATTCGTTCTTTCCTCCCATTTCCCCTCCAGAACTTCGATTGTAACAAAAGTTCAGAGTGAATAGGGAGGAATTCAGTTTATGTGAAGAAGAAGAGGAAAAGGGCGCTCGGCGAAAAATTTCGAGAACAAATAGTACCTGCTTAGTCATCATGGGAGCTGGGATGGATCCATGAATCCACATATCACGTGTGAAGCTTATCGATAAGCTGCTGCCTGCTTTCGAACTGGGCTATCGTCAATGACAGGGATTCTTTGAATCTGTGAACACTGCAAGCCATGTCGCGACTCTGGGACCCCAGTCGAGCTGCTTGGCTGTATCCTCTTCGGGTGTGTTAATATCATTGTTCTTTGGAATCTTCCCAGCTAATTTCTATAGGGTATTTACTACTTTGCGTCCAATCGGTTCCTATGGCCTCTCTTCAAGGCTCGTCTTCTTCCCATCGTCCTCCTATCAACCTTCATATACTTTATTCTCTTCTTCTTCACCTATTTGCCTCAGGTAGCTTTCCTTGCTGTCTTCCAGGGCAGCTCAGCATGGGTGAGCGGCGCCTTCTTGGTGCTTGGTGAAGGTGCAGCAATTGTTGCCGCACTCTTCGAGGCATTCTTTGTCGATGAGACCTTGGTGGATATTTTTGATGCAGTATTGGTGAAAGAGGGCCAAGAGGAGCTTGTTACTACATCGCGCGTCATCTATCCCGAGCCCGGTAACCCGGCCAAGCGTCTCGGCACACCGACCACCAATGCCGTCTACTCCCCATTCTCGCTACGCCAGATCGCCGAGTTTATCATCCTGCTTCCACTCATCTTTATTCCGGTCGCTGGAACTCCTATGTTCCTAGTTTTGACAGGCTATCGTGCCGGTCCCTTCCACCATTGGCGCTACTTCCACCTGCTTGACATGTCTAAGCAGCAGAGAAAGGAAAGTATAAGACGGCGCCAGCTCCAGTACACCACGTGAGTTTTGGACCTTCTTTCTATCTATACGTGATCTGACGAATATCTAGCTTCGGGACGGTTGCTTTGCTCCTCCAATTGATTCCTCCTTTCTCCATGCTATTTCTGATGACCACAGCTGCTGGGTCGGCGCTTTGGGTGACGGACCTCGAACGTAAACGACGAGCCGCCGCCCAACAGTCTAGCCGACTGGGCGAGCAATACCGCGATGACATTATGCCATGACCTGTGAACGATCCTTTATCTCTTTTGGGTGACCAAGGGTGCTACAAGGTGCATCTGGTTTTCCCCCTCGGGTCCCTGATTTCAGCCGACTTGTTGGCCCCCCATGGTCTGTGCCCTAGGGGGAGAGCCGATCATGGCTTTAATGAGTCTCCCTCAGTCCAATCGTAATTCTCTTCTGTTTCATTGCGTTTCGTAGAAAAAGTCTTTGTTGTTTCACATTACTAAATTACATATGCCACGTGATTGCGCCACCATCTGAGATGTTTTTGAAATCCTGTTTATCAGAATTGTATGTTGTATATTCCATAGAGGGTTTGTCCTTGAGCAGAACTTCTTAGAGAAGCCCTTTGATAGTCGCCTTGGCAAAGTCGACTTCCCCAGATTTTCCAAAATTGAGGTCCGCCCGCTTACACAATCCGCCCACTGCCCAGGTGAGATCTGGATTTCTTCCCCGGGTTTCAGTCAACACCTTGGGAGTTATTCTGGCTTTCGGGACTCGGACACCGGCACATCTTCGGTTTCTCAGCTTGGATATTTCATGGGATGGAACATGACCTTATAGACCGAGGCGTGGTCATCCCTGCGCAATTTACTCGGAGATGGACCTAAAAACGAGGCTGCGCAAGGCCTGCGATGCCTGCAGTATTCGGAAAGTAAAGGTATAGTACTTTATTCTGCCATAGCCAGTTAGAAAATACTGATTTTCATACAAGTGTGATACTGGTGGGCCACCTTGTCGGTCATGCGCTAGCTTGGATATTCCCTGCACCTATGAAAGACCAAGCAGACGACGTGGGCCTCCCAACCGCCATGCAGAAGCACTTAAAAAACAAAAGCGAGAGCCCGATGACACGGCGTCGCTGAGTCCCGCAGATGGTCCATCGACGACTCCCCAGACAACGTCATCATTCCACCCCCAATCTGTGTCACTCTCACTCTCGGCGGAATCGATATGCTCTTTGCATACAGTGCAGCTGCTAGTTGATGACTACTTTACTTACATTCATCCTTTGGTTCCAATACCACATGAGCCATCTTTCCGAGCAGCCTTTGAGCGCCGAGAAGATGTGACAAATCATACATTTTTGGCACTTTTGGCCTCAATGATTGGATTGCTAGTGGCCTCCTTTCCACGGAGACCCAAACTTCGCCTCAACACTGAAGCCGAACGCACTGCTTTCCCTCACTCTATAGCTCTGGTAAAACAGTGCGTTGATGTTGCCGTTCAAGCTCGCGGCACCGGTTATCTTGATCGCAACGCCACTGTATATGATGCGGCGATCAGCTATTTTTTAGCAATATGTGCCGGCTATATATATAACATGCGCCGATGCCGTATCTATCTGTCGGAATGTCGAGCCATGCTTCAGGTATATGATCTATGCCAATCTCGTACCAACCCTCCATCATCGACACTAGGGCCAACCAGCCCGTTGTCGCCAGCGCCAGCAATGGCACAGGATCAACCAGCACATACTTTCATGGAAACTCAAGGAGTCGACTTCATCACCCAGGAGCTTGGTCGGCGTCTGTTCTATGTCACACTAGTCGGGTACCAGACATTACATCAACTGGGTTCCTCCGATGTCAAGATCCATGTTCCTCCAGAGACTCCAACTGACCGTTATCCACCACTACCTTTGGAGATCGACGACGAATTCTTGTTTGCGACACATATTGAGCCACAGCCAGCTGGTCAGGTTTCACAGCTGGTCGGATTCAACGCGAATGTCCGTGTCTACAGTTCATATACCAATCTGTTAGCCTGGGAGATAGCTTTTGGCAGCGGCCAGATTTTTGACTGGGAGCACCAGCGCAATAGCATTTGGGACTGTCTCAAGCAAGCAAAATCTGCACTACTAAATGTTCCTTCTGAGTTGTCTCTCTGCCATCCGAAAGACACGAATCTATCTGGTTTTGCCAGCCTTGGTGGAGACGGCACAATCTACAGCTACTCAGATGATCACATCCACCAAGAACGACGTGCTATACAATATGAGATCCAGAAAGCCAATATCTACGCCAGTCAGCTGTGCACCAGATCCTTTCTTGTAGAAAAGTATTGGAGCCTTTTCGAGACCTTCTCAAGGTACGGAAAATCTCACAAATTTACTGCTTCGGGCAGCACGACACCACATATTCAGATTGCAAGCAAATTGGACCCGATTTCGATTTCGACTGCAACTAGCACAACTTCGTCAGACACCAATACCCAACCTCAACCCCATGGACAAACAGACTATATCAACCATATGATGGCCGAGGAGCGCAAGCTGGTCATCAAGGACCTCTTCGTGCTATTACGAACAGTAAACGAAGTGAACATGGAACCAAATGGAGCAAGCATTGTACGTGATCCTCACCCACAACCTGTCGTGTCTCAAACTAACAAAACGTGACAGACCAACAAAATCCGCCAGGTAGCATCAACTCTTCTCAGCCTCTCTCATCGACCCAAATCATCACCATCCACAGACATCCCGAGCCTTGCAACCCCCGCAGCACCATCACTATCACCAACAGCACCTCCGGGCATTCACGTTCTCACTGCCACAGAGGCGGAGTCCTACCTGCACGCATTCATCAAGACTCTCATTCGATTGGAGTGCCACTCGTCCGTGCCTGACGCACTTGTCAGTTCCGATGGCGCGGATTCACAAATGAACGGCCGCGCTATGAGCTATCTGAGTGATTACGAGCGTGACCAGGAAGAATTGAGCCAGTGGGCCTGTTTGAAGGAGTATCAGCACAAATTTGCCGAGGCTGGAGGCGTTTTATATGAGTTGTAGCGTTTTCATCATCATCCTCATAATCAGCCATTCCCTCCCTTCCCTTTGCATCCTTCTCTTTCTTTTTGACATTTGTAATATTTTGGCATGGAAAAGCCAGGGGTTCTGGCGTGGTGGATCAAGATTGGGCAATATATCCTCTCTTTATAGTATGGCATTAATCTCATCAACCTCATATACAGGTGTCTGGTTACCCACTACATTTTTATGATGCATTATTGCCCGACGGGCTTCGATGAAACAGTAAACAAATAGTACTTTATGGGAAGAAAGGAGCAGGTACACAACTTGGCTATTCGGCCATATTGTTTCAGCATTTACAAATGCGCTGCAACGGCAGCACCCTCCCTAATTACATCGATTGTATGTCTTTGGTCCAATCCCCTCCACTAGGGATGCAAACAACGCCCAAACCCTGGATGCAAGTCAATCATGCAGAGAGAAAAAGGGGGAAATATAATACAAAATTTGAATGACAAAGATCATGAAGGGAATGGAGAAATGCCAAATGACCCAGACAAATAATACAAGCGGTCAAGAAGACCGCACAGAAGTCGGACGCAAGAAGCGAGTATCTCACAGATAACGCTTCTCGAAGATCTCTTCGTAGCACTGGACGTGGTCACCGATCTCGAAAGCTGACCACTTGTCGAAACCGATACCACATTCTGTGTCTTTGCGCATCTCGGTGACGTCTTTCTTGACGTTCTTGAGGGAGGTCATGGTACCTGTTGTTAAAGGTTAGCTTGATCCCAAGTTACGAGGGTTACAATCTGCTTACCATCGTAGACGACCTTCTCCCCACGAAGCACTCTGACCTTGCGAGCCTTGTTGATCATACCGTTACGTACACGACTTCCGGCAATGGCCATCTTTTCGCGGCCTTTAACAGTGATCTCGAACAGCTGCTGGATCTCGGCTTCTCCAGTCACGCGAGTAGTGACAGTTGGGGGCAATTGCTCGCTGAGAATGGCTTTGACATCATCAATCAGCTTGTAGATGATGTTGTGGTCCATGATTTCAACACCCTCGGTCTCTGCAATGCGCATGATGTTAGCCTCAATGGGCTGGTTGAAGGAGATGATTTTGCCCTTGGCACTGCTAGCATGTTCAATATCAAACTCGCTGATAGGGCCAACGCCCGAACGGAGAATATTGGCAAAGACTTCGTTGTTGCCAATTGCCGCGACGGAGTTCAATACCGCCTCCGCCGAGCCATCCACATCGGCCTTCAGAATGAAATTGACCGACTTGGGCCCGGTGGACTCGACCTCCCGAGGTGTATCTTCATCTTCATCCTCGCGTTTGCGCTTTTCGACAAGTTCACGACGGGCTTCATTGATGGCAGCCATATCAACACCCATCTTCTGGGTATCAGACTTCTCCAAGCGGTAACTCACGACATCCTTGGCTTTCTGCTCGGTTGGGGCCTGTAGGAGCTCAGTGCCAGCACCTGGCTGCTCTCTCCAGCCATCAATCTCAACAGGCATTCCTGGGGTAGCTTCACTGATGGACACACCAGCCTCGTTGCGGAGAGTGCGAACACGCGCCCACGCGGTACCGGCAACAATAACATCGCCCGGGCGCAAGGTTCCACGTCGGATGAGGGCGGATGCTGTACGGCCATGGCTCTTCGTAGCGGCTTCGATGACCCAACCCTCAACATTGCAGGTTTTGTCTGCGCGGTGATCGAGCATTTCTGAGAGTGCCACAATAGCTTCTTCCAACTCGACCATTCCTTGGCCAGTTTTACCGCTGACACCGATGGCCTGGACATCACCACCATAGTCCTCCACATGGATACCATGAACAGAAAGATCACCCTTGACTCGATCGGGGTTGTTGCCCTCCTTGTCAATTTTGCTAATAGCAACAATGACTGGAACTCGGGCCTGAGTGGCGTGCTTGATAGCCTCGATGGTTTGTGGCTTGACACTGTCATCGGAAGCGACGACAAGGACCACAATATCTGTCACGTCGGCACCCCGGCGACGCATTTCCAGGAATGCAGAGTGGCCGGGGGTATCAAGGAAGGTAATGGCCTTCCCGGAAGGCATCATTACAGAGAAGGCACCAATATGCTGGGTGATACCACCATGTTCAGACGCCGCCACAGATGATTTACGTAGCCAATCCAAAATGGTAGTTTTACCGTGATCGACATGACCCATAATGGTGACCACAGGTGGACGAGATGGCAAAATAGATTTGTCCTCTGGTTCAGGAGCAGCCTGCAAGTCTTCCTTGCCGCTGTCGAAAATAGCCTCGAAGTTGAACTCAGCTGCCACCAATCCAGCAGTTTCTGCATCAAGGATATCCCTATACGTGATTTCCTCGAAACCCATGTCCTCCATTCGCTGCACGAACTGAGCTGGCCGCACACCGATTACATCGGCCAAGTTGCTGACACTGATGAATTCAGGTAGGTAAAGAGGAGCTGGCGCTGCCACCGCGGCGGCTTTCTTCGCAGCTCTTTGTTCGTTCTTTTCTTTCTGTTGACGTCTCCGCTCCCCGCGGAGGCGCTCACGGTCATCAGCGTCAAAGTCGGCGTCAGCAGATTGGCCCTGCCGTCCCTTGCGTCCATCGCGTCCATCGCGGCGCTTAATAGGTTTTTGCGGCTGTTGTTCTTGCGCCTCCAAGTTTTCTAGCTGCTCTAATGCAGACATATCCCAGGTCCACTGGTTCTTCTTGAAATCTTCTTTTTCTTGCTCTGTTTGAGGCTTTGCTTTTTCGCTGTCAGACTTTTCCAGATCGCGTTCCGTAGTTTGTTTTGTCTCCGGCTGACCGTCTTGTTCTAGCTCGGACAAGAATGAGTCTCCCAACCGCTGGAACTTCCGAGTATTCTCGGATTGAGGTCGAGACCGTTGGAAATGTGAAGGTGCTGAAGAATCGCCATAGTCTCTGGTTATCCGGGGCTTTGGTTGAGCACCACCCGGTCGAGCAGTTTTGCAAAATGGGCACGTTAGCTTTGAAGCGAACACATTTGCCTTACAACTAGGACATTCCCAGTCGTTATAAATCTTTTCCTGCGGCCTAGTCTGTGTCCTGCGCTGGAATCGATCCGGGAATCTGTTCTGGGTCTTTTCTGGTGCAAACGGATTCTTTTCAGATGTAAATGGGTTCTCCTCGGCCACGAAGGGGTTCTTTTCGGATGTGAATGGGTTCTTTTCTTGGGCAGGCAGATTTCTCCCCCTGTTCCGCGAGTTTTCTCTCGGCCACTTCATTAGGCCTTCTGGCTTATCCCGAGAGGCCGCGTCGCGTCGCACGTACGGTTTCCTCTGTTGGTTCGATTGCCCCGAGTTCCATTGCTGGTTTGACTGTTGCTCCCGGTTGCGCTGCGGTGGTGGCGGCGGCGGTTGGCTTTTGGCGACGAGGTTTTGGCGCATCGCTTGCTCTGCGGCACTCAAACCCGCCGGTTTCGTAGTTTGTGTAGGTCCCCATCGGCTGCCGAACTTGGGCTTCGCCGCGTCTGGAGGTGAAGCAGCGCCATCATTGTTTCCGGTCGATGGATCCGACGAATCGCGACGGGTAGCGGATGATTGTAAGGCCCGTCGAACTGTAAGAGTTGTTAAAGATGGCGTTCGGTAGACTGAATTCGTCCACTCAGCCCGACGCGATAGCTATGATTGAGGTTAGATAAATCCTCAGCATCAAATAACTCTGGACTCACCCTGCAGACTGGCCGGCGATGCATAATTTAAAAATATCTCCACATCTGGATCTGTCAACACTTTTTACCGTTTCCAGAAGATCGATAGGCCCGCGGGCACGGGACCAGATTATGTCACTGCTTAGGTCAGCATTAAAGACCCGGGCCGGGCCTGTGAATTGTCCGCCGGTAAAGTCACGTGCTTCGGCCCCTTTGGCCAATCAGAGGGCAGATGGCGCCATAAAGATAAGCGGGATGGATATAAAGTCTGGAGTCTCCAGAATGAGTTCCTGTCTTGTATACTTTTGATCTTTTGCAATTGAATTCTTTAAAAATGGAGACCGAAGTGATTGACAAGATGGATCCGGGCGGCGGTGGCGCCCTCCGGACTATTAAAGATCTGGCCGCAGGCGCAGCAGGTGGAATGGCTCAAGTTCTCCTCGGTATGTGTGCACCCTAATTTATATGAATTCCGGGGAAGCTCCACGGCTTGAACATGATGATATGATTTTTTTTTGTCTCATCCTGAGCTGAAGGATCCTTGACATATACACACAAATGCAATACCAGAGCAATTGCTAACGAAACCCCAGGTCAGCCTTTCGGTATGAAATTCCAATGCACGTCCTCGCGAGGCATTGATTAACAATCCGCAGATATTGTTAAGGTGCGCCTGCAGACTACCACTCAATATAAGAGTGCGCTGGAGTGCGCAACCAAGATTTTTAAGAATGAAGGCCCCGCAGCCTTCTACAAAGGCACACTAACCCCGCTTATCGGTATCGGTGCTTGCGTGAGTTGTCTCCGTTTGGGTCCACCATAGACACCCCTCTAACCCACCAATCCAGGTATCTGTCCAATTCGGCGCCTACCATGAAGCGCGCCGCCGCTTGGAAGAGCTGAACAAGAAGAAATATGCCGTTTCCGATCTTTCTTACACACAGTACTACTTGGCCGGTTCATTTGCTGGTGTCACCAATTCCGTGCTGTCGGGCCCCATTGAGCACGTCCGTATTCGTCTGCAGGCACAGCCCCATGGCGCTGGTCGTCTGTACTCGGGGCCCCTCGACTGTGTGCGCAAGCTGGCTGCACAGGGCGGTACCCTTCGCGGTCTTTACCGTGGTCAGGCTGTCACTATCCTTCGTGAGGCCCAGGCTTACGGTGCCTGGTTCATGGCCTTTGAGTACATGATGAACCAGGATGCCAAGCGTAACAATGTTAAACGCGAGGATCTCTCTAAGGCAAAGATTGCTATCTACGGTGGTCTGGCCGGTGAGGTTCTCTGGCTTTCCAGCTACCCGCTTGACGTTATCAAGAGTAAGATGCAGACCGATGGATTCGGCGCGCAGCAGAAATTCAGCACCATGCGCGACTGCTTCAAGAAGACCTATGCTGTCGAGGGTCTCGGTGGCTTCTGGAAGGGTATCGGCCCTACTCTGCTGAGAGCTATGCCTGTCTCCGCCGGAACATTCCTAACGTATGTTTTTTCCTGCCTTGGCATGCTATTAATGGTTTGCATTCTCGAAGCGCTGCTAATATCCTTCTCTAGTGTCGAGTTGGCCATGCAAGCCCTCGGCTAAAGTACCGAGATGGGTTTGGTCTATGATGAAAGTTGACGCATTTGGTTTCCGTTCGGTTTCACTTTAATTCTTTGATATCCAGGACCCATTCAACATCTACGAATTGGATGGAGGTCCACTACAAAAGTGCACGGCGATTCAAAGCTTATAGAGATCAATTTCCATATCTGGCATTGAGCAGATTAGATATACACAAAGCTCCCGATCTAAAGACTTGAGATTTCTATAATCAACCAGAAATGCCCAAAAATTTCGCGTTTGGGTATCAAGTAATAGTCATAGGAAAGTAGAAGACAAAGCAACATCTAGGTTTATTTAAAGTTCAATCGCTGGTTTACTTCGGGAGAACGTGAACCTAGTATGAGAATGAGAGTCCGAAGCATTGAGATTCTCGCTTCAGAAGAAGCAGCCATAATAGCGTCAGGAAGAACGCAGTCTTGGGATGGAATCGTTGGCATTGAGTGCAATTGCAACAAATCGAAGCCTGTTTGAGTATGGCATCAATACACTGTGCAGCCACTCTGTCCCAGCCATACCATAGCCAGATATGTGAGAGGCCAATGTGATTTGCCTCAACAAGTATCATGTAAGTCGCATGTTCTTCTTTTTCGCCGAAGTAGAAAGAGTCGTCAAGGAGCTCTGGACCCCGAAAGTCTTTGTACGTGACTCTTACGAATTTCGCGATTACAGTGCTTCAGTTGTTATCTCTCTTGGTAGAGTCAAACTCTTTCGTCATTTCAAGTTCAACGACTGTCGGTTATCAGCTTGGATCAAGATACAAGTGTGAGGTTTCTACTTACGGATTGCCTGTGGAAGCGAGATGAATTCACTGATATGGTATCCTCAGCGCTTTGGCACGAGGTGCCTTGGGATTTTCAAAGCGGTCCACAGATGTTCAGATGTCATAACAGTAACATCTTGCTCTTGCTTAGCTGTTATTGATGAACCGTCTAGATTGTGTTTCCTCGAGGCATCTCATTCAGCGGTGATATCATATCACTTCCCGTTTTTTCCACCCATGCTGATCAAGAGGCCTGCCAGAGAGAAACAAGGAACATTTAGACAAGAGTAGGCAAGAGGAGGCAAGAGAAGAAGAGGGGAGACGAGGAGGACAAAAGTACATGTAAAGAAGAGAATTGATACCACCAAGGTATATATAGGAATCTTGCTACTAAATGGAAAGTGCCATCTGCTCGAGTTTACACAACTATAGTCAGGTCCAGACTTCACTTGTTGGCATGTACCTGCATATAACCGGTTCTCTCTCTTGGGAGACACTTACTCTCTAATGTCCAAGGACTAGGAATCAGCTTCATACATACATTATTTACCTGCAGGTCACCAATATATGGAGTACGGGGGTTCTTTATGGGACCACAACAACAAGCCATATTAGAGACTTGCCTTGATCACTGCCTGTACGGTCATTCCCTGCAGACACCACGAATAACACTGATAAAGAAAGTAAAGAACCTTGTGTATATCAGCTTCGGAAAGATGCTGCTCACATGCCATGCGTACTGTAGCGCTAGAAAGCTAGGGGAAGATCAAGATGATGATATTCAGCTATCTGCCACTAGCTACTGACGCGGAGGCGTCACACGTGACTACTCACGTGACCCAAACGGTCACTCGTCCGTCATATCTGCCGGCTCATAAAGAGTCGGCCGTCCTCGGCCGATATCTACTACGTGTAGTAGATGGCGTTTTTGGCTGAATACCTTTCCCTTGTCGTCTTCGTAAGTAATGCTTGATTCGTGGTGCGAGAAGAAGCTTCTCGTGGCTTATGTAATGACTAGAAGCGTGAGAAGTAGCTTCTTATGCGTGATAAGAGGCTATATAATGAGCGTGTCGTGGACGTATGACCCGATTTTTTTATAATAGTTTTCGTTATTAAACGCGTTAGGGGTCTTCTGGTGGTAGCGTATCGTATAGTGCTTTATAGTGTATGCGTATAGTCGTCGCTTATCTCGCGTTATGAGGCTACGGCGAAGAATAGAATTAGGTCCCTAGCTACTTACGTCTCGGTAGATACGGGTATAGACTCTAAATTCTACTAGAATGCGCGTAAGCCTCTCTTAAAGGCTAAGGCGTCTCTTACGGCGTCTATGTCTTAGGGAGTTAAGGCGGCTTACCGGATAAGTTCTAGATACTAGGGTAATTTAGTATAGAGGGCTATAGATAGATAATCGATGTCGGTATCGGAAATAGGACCTTAAGCTATTATATGCGTAGTAACGTCGTTAGATATCTAAGATAGCTATAGCTATTCTAGATAACGCGCGGCTATACGGAGGTTAGGGTAGTTAAACGAGTCTAATATAGCTAAGCGCGTAGCGTATATTATAAATACGTTCGATATACTATTGTTAGTAGTATACGAGATAGAGGCTAGGATAAGGTAAATATCTATATCGGTACGGTTTATATCTATACGGTTACGCTTAGGTAGGATATCTAGGTTAGAGTCGTCGTCGGCGTAGTCTTCGGCGATAGAGTTATCTATAGAATCGTTATCGTACTTAGCGGGACGCTTCTATATACTCTTCCTAGGTATAACTTTCTTAGGAATATCTAGCTATCTTATCTAGTTATATAGGGGCTAGTCGTACGGTATCTATATAGTATATTCGATAGGTAACTACGGTCGTAGGATAGCTACTATAGATAGCGGCCTTACGAAGGGGTATTTATTATAGTAGTCTTCTACGGTTTAAGATATAAATCGGCGTAGACCGGTAAGGTATTTTATAATTTATAAGGTAATAGCGTTATTATCGTGTAGGACGAGGTAGTAACGGGAGAAGTAAGTAGAGCCTTTTAACTAGATTCTAAACTAGAGCCGTACGTATCCCTAGATTATAGAGTTATCGGGGGGTCCTTAGTCGAATACGTTTATAGTAGTGTTAAGTGGCTAAAACGCGATAATAGACTTTAGTGCTATAACTAGGCCGGATATAATAGCTTAAGCGCTACTATTAATATAGTAGGATTATAGTAGCTAGCCGGCGGTATTATAACCTCCTATAAATATATAGACGCCCTTCTATATTAGTAAGAAGCGGATATTATTTTAATAAATGATAATTATAGGCGGTCTTAGTATACGTCCTAAGCGAACGTCTCCTCGCTTATTAAAGTTATATACGAGATGCTTTACTCTATAATCCTTAGATAGTGTAAGGAGGGCGTAGATAACTATAGCGTTACTAAGTTATTAATTCTTTAGGTGCCACGCTTAACTACCCTAGTTAGTTATATCCGCGTCGTCTAGTAGGTTTCTAAAGGTCTATCCGGTAATAGAGGCGAGTTTAAGATAACCGCCTTTAGTAGCCGCGTCTTAACCGATTTAGTCTTACTACGCTAGGGTTAGGGGATAAACGCCCTTAGATAGCTCTCGCTTAATAGCGTTTTTATATTTATACCGTAGATCCTTTAGATTAATAAGTATTTACTTAATCCTCTCGTTATAGATAACGGGCTCTATAACTACGTCGGTGATATAAGAGATATTATTATACGTTAGTAGGATAAAAGAGGTTAAGTATAACTATAAATAGTGGATTATAGGAGGTATATAAATAAGAGAAGCGGAAAAGCGGAAGTAAGAGAAGCGCGAGTAAAGGAAGGTAAACGTATATTTAATTATAATTATAATAGATATAGTGATATTTATACGGGTTTTTAGGAGTCGCTACCTTCTACGACTAGGATATTCCTAGTAGCCTCGAATTCTACGATTTTCTCTTCTACGCCGACGGCGTCGCGTTCTTTAACCTATTCGGCTTATTCGCGTGCTTCGCCTTCCTATTATATAAGGTATTCTTTAACTAGTATTCTATACCTACTAAGATAGCGTACGCGTACGTCTAGGACCCTAGCGACGTTATATCTATTAGTGTCTTACAGGAAGCGGGGGTCGAACGTAGCTTACGGGTCCCTTAGTTCGCGGTTAAATAGATCGGGTGTTAGCGCTAGCTCGAGATATTATACGCTAATAACTAAGTATATACGCTAGGATAGCGGTAGCTCTAGTCTATATACTAGGCGGCCTACTCGTTCTAATACTATAAATAGGCCTACGTATTATTAGCCTAGCTTACGGGATATAGCTTTATTAGTTAGAATATTATAGCCTTTACCGATTCGTAATAGGACCTTATCGCCGACCGAGAAGTGTTTTAGCTAATAACGGCGATCGTAGTAATTCTTTATTTATATAGTAGCGTATTTTAAGTATTCTACGGCGTCTTAGCGCGATAATAGGTCCTAGTCGCGGCCTAGGGCGTTATATAGTAGGTTCTATAGTATACGTAAGTCGAATCTAAATATTAGTTTATACGGCGTTTCCCTTATAGACGCGGATATAACACTATTTATCGCTACGGTTAGGCTAGGTAGGCTAGTTAGCTAGTTAGTTATAGGGTATAGTGCTGCCTAGTGCCGTAACTAGATTTCTACTATTTAGTTTATACGTTCGCTCTAGCTATCGGCCTATACGTAGTAGGCGGCGGTAAAGAATAGCGCTACCCTTAGAGCGTTAAATATCGAACGCTAGAAGCCTCTGATAAACTTTAGGTCCCTATCGGATATCTATACCGTCGGTAGGCCCTAGTTAGCGTTCTATAGATACACTAGGACTACTAAAGCCTAGTCTTTACTAGTGTAGTTTAGTTTACCGGGGATAGCGCCTATACGCTTAGTGAACTTATAGGTGATAAAGGCGACTACGTTAAGACTACTTTAGCTCGCTAGGAGCCCTATAACGAAGTCGATATATACTATATAGAAAGGGATTAGCGGCCCTACTATAGGCTAGAGTAATCCGTATAGTCGATATCTACGCGTATTATTACGTAGGTATTCTAGGTAGTGTTAGATATACTATTTAAGCTTACGTATACCTTAATAGATAACGAGGCCGTTCATTTTCTAGCGATATCTCTCGAACCCTTAGTGTCCTTAGTCGTTATATATTAGCTAAAAGATATCCTTTACTAATAATTTCGGAATATATAGCTAGTGACTACTATCTTCCTATATTAAGTAGAGGAAGCCGTCGTCCTCGATAATATATAGTAGGACTAGCGTTATAGGGTCGTTATTTTCTACTTATAGTTACTCGCGTACTACTAACTATCTAGGATCTCCCGTGTAGCCGTCTATAATCTTTTAATATATCTCGTCGGATAGATATATAATAGAAGTTAGAAACGCGTAAGGGTAGTTATATTCTAGTTCCTTTATAGGATTTACTATAGCTATTAGAGCTGTAAGGTCGTTATCTAGCCGGGTTAGCGTAGGGTCCTTACTAGGTAGCCTAGATAAAGCGTCCGTAATCTTATTTATTTTGCCCGGCCGATAATATACCTTAACGCGGTATATCTAGATAAATATAGCGGCGCGTACTAGCCTAAGGTTAAGCTTCTTAGTAGCTACTATACGTAAGGAAGTTACGATAGCGATCGTAGCTAAGTGATCGGTATAGAAGATAACTAGGTTATTCGCTATTTCTATAAGGTATCTAACCTTCCGTATTATCTAGGTAATATAGCTAACTTCTAGTTCTATTACCTAGTAGTTCTTCTTAGCGTTTATAAGTAGTCGGCTAAGGAATATAACTAGCTTAATAGCTGACCTTAGGGGAGGCCTCGCTAGATCGAGATATTAGTAGGTACGTTTTACGTAGTATATAATCACACCGAAACCGGTTTACTAGGATACGTCTATATCGACGTAGGCCTAACGGGTTATATCCTAGTGCGAAAGTATAGTAGAATTAGTACCGAATTCCTTCTATAGGTCTTCGAACGCGCGGAGTTTAGTGGGTATCGGTATATCTAGGCGAGTCTTTATAGCCTATTATTATCGCGGGCGGCCCGCGAGCGGGCTCCCTTTAAGTAATATTATCTTTTGTATCTAGAGTGGTTCTACCTTTTATACGTAATACGGTATTATATAGCGTAGATCTCCGGTTATGCTAATATAAGTTTCTAGCTTCTTTAGAGTGTCTAGGAACTATAGATTAGTAATAGCTTTAAGTTTTTCTTAAGGCGTAGATAGACCTAAGGCGTCTACGCGCTATCCGAGTAAGGTAACCTCGGGAAAGCTAATATAGGCTTTACTTAGTTCTAGTTTGATATTATGCTCTTCTAGGTAACTAAATAAGCTATATAGGTAGCGTTCGTGATCCTCTAGTATATCGGAGGTATATACGAAGTCGTCTATATACGTACGGCACTATTCGTAGAATTTCTTAAGAATAAGATCCGTTTAGCGTTAAACGTAGGCGATAGAGTTATAGTAGCCTATAATAGCGATATTAAATAGTTCTTACCTACGGTATAAGATAACTATAAGCTTCTTACGGTTATCTAGTTTTACTTACTATTAATAGAAGAACCTTTTCGCGTCTACTATAGTGATATACTTCGCTCTATAGTATATATATACGATTTCTTCTTATATACGGGTTAGATAGACGTTGTGTTAGGAGGCTTTATTTAAGCCCCTAATATCTACTACTACTCGTCCTTTGCTTATACTATTAACTATACGATAGACTATAAATACTAGGTACCCTATTAGGGTATAATTTATTACCTATTCTATCTTACCTTCTTAGTAGAGCTTATCGAACGTTTTATCGACGAGCTTACGGTCTTTAGTGCCTAGCGGGTAGACCTTAGGTTTTAGTATCACTTTTTCCTAATCGTCCGTTAGTAGGATCTATATCTATCTATCTTAGGGAATATCGACGAGGCCGGTGTTTCCTTCTATTACCTATACGTTATACGCGTTAACGATATCGGCTAACCTCTTAGCCGTTCTTTAGTTACCGTAGATCGTTATATTATTTAGTAGGACGGTTTCTTTCTAGGCGTGCCTAAGGTTATCCTAAGTACGAGGTACTATATCGGAACGACTTAGCTCTACTACGTGAGCGGCTATAGGGTAATAGTAGGTTCCTTCGTACTCGAGTAGGTTATTAATTCTCGTTCGTGCGGGTAAGCGTACTTCCTTATTAGAGGTATTTATAGTAAGTATCTATAAAAATTTAGCGTCGACGATGTAAGAGTAGAAGCTTAGTTATAGATATTTACCTTTAAATATATAGTCGCGGTCTTATAGTAAGTCTCGATTAGTCTTAGCTTCGACGTAGATACGGGCGTTAGGAGGTATCACTATAGTTATAGATACTCTTACTAGTCTAGACTTCTAGTGATATGATTTCGCGCGGATATTAACTAGGTATATAAGTCCTATATATAATATAATACGTAATCGACTAGACTCTAGGTCTATACGAAAGCCTTCGTACGCTATAACGTCTATTCCGACGAGTAGTTTAGCGTTTAGGTCTAGCATAAGGTACGCTTCGATATTAATACGTGTAATATTATAAATACCTTCGAAATATAGGGGTATATTAATATAAGCGGATAATACGTGGTTAGAGCCTATACCTAATACTAGGATAGGAGCTAATTCTAACGGTATCGTTCCTTTAATAGTCTTAGCGAATACTTCGTTAATTAACGTTATAATATAACCTAAGTCTAGGTAAATATCGTAGGTGTTTTCTAGTACGCCTATACCTACCCGTAACGATAGGTAGTGCTATAGTTTATATATACTACCTACGCTATCCGCGTTATAGATACGGTCCGATTTAATAATTAGCTTATATATAGGGGAGTCGCTTAGGTCCTTACCGACCTTCGCGGGCTCGCTCTACTAGTATAGTAAGTGGTTATATAGCTTAGACTTTGATAGAAAGCCCGCGTTATAATACTAGTAGTTAGCGATAAAAGTGTTAGTAGCGGTTTCCTTTACGCGTATCGTGCTCGTAGGGGCCGCTTCCTAACTCCCGAAAAGGAGAGTGGTCCTCGGGGTATTCCTCGGGATTGTCCTCGTCTAGAGAGTCGTAGTAGTTCTTATCGTACGGATTACCCGGATCGTAGCGCTTAGGGCTATAATCTAGTGATCTTCGGTCGTCGTCGGTAGCGTCGTATATAGCCTTAGTTATATACACCGTATTCCGCTAGGGTTTATTCTAAGGGCGCCTATTACTATCTAGCTTACCGTTTTTACGGGTATTATTACGGTTATTATCACGGTTACGACCGGTACGTTCACGGAAGTAATCTCTTTAGGGACGCTTACGTATATAGTATTTATCCTTACGCTAGTCGTTATTACGACGGTCGCGATCGCGGTTTCTCTCGCTATTTCCGTAGTTACGCTAATAAGCGGGGTTAGGCTATATACTCCTACGGGGCCTATCGGTTTTACCTCTATCGCGGCGCTTATCCCTATTACGGGATTCTATATTAAGCTATTAGGAATATTTCTTCTCTAGCTATATTATAAATACTATAACTATAGTGCCTATTATTAGCTCGGGTATATCGCGTTATAAGTATAGGTCGATCCGTATCTAGATTATACGTAGCTATAGTAGTGGGTCTATTATCTCTACTAACTGTGCTAGGCGTAGTATAGTCTAGCACTATAATATTAGGGAGCGGTTATTTTAAACGTTACGCTATAAGTAATAGCCTTTTATAAATTACTAAGTAGCCGTGGTAGCCTTACCTTTCTATCTCTATAGTAATATATTAAACTAACCGTATTCGTGGTTAACGGGGTATGTTAGTAGGCCGTTACGGTATAGATTAGTTAGCTCTAAGGCGTACCACTCCGCCGCTACCTCTCGTAGACACAATGTTAAGGTAACTATTTATTAAGGCAGTACTTATTGACTAGGTGAATAATAATACGAGAGGGATACGTAGTTAGAACGAAGGGTATTCGATTCTATATTAGTTATAAGACTAAATCTTGCCTTCCCTTTTCCTATAGGTGTCTTCCTTTTATGATTTAGGTTCCCCGCTTCTCGGGACCGGATCATATTAGTTCTATCCCGATATCGTAGGGTATTCGGAGGGGTCTCCTCCGTCTAAGAGAAAGGGAGCCTAAGGCAAAATAGTATAATAAAGAAATACCGTAATAACTATCCCCCCTTCTCTATAAAACCCGTCCCGGGGTTTTAGGTTAAATAAAGGGAAGTATAAGTTATAAGATAAGAAGGGTTCCTATCGAGTTTATTCTTTTCTCTATTTTATAGAGCCTCGTTAGTATAGCCGTAGTAGTAGCTAACGGGCGGGATACTAGCGATCTAATACCGGAACTAGAACTAGTCTAGTGCCTAGGCTACTTACGTTCTAACTTAAAGTCCTTTAATACTACCGAAGGGGAGGTTTTCTCTATCTCTTATCGGTATAATACGATCGCGTCTATCCTTTACGAGCGATATTATATAGATAAGAAGACTTATAATACGGTACGTTTTCGGGCTTTTATTATAATAGATCCGTACTTATCCCGTATAGGTACCTATTAGTATAATAAGGGATACTTAGGATTTTTCTACTATCTTAAAATTTTTAAAGGTTCTCTTAGATAATAAAATAGAGTTATCGGAGTGGATCTATATAGAAGTCGCTAAGAGTTCGTATAATTTAGCCTAGGCGTTTAACGCGGCGGTTATTAGTTACTATTCGTATTAGAATTTAGTAAGTACGAAGAAAATATAAGCTATAAGTATTTCGTAGCCGTTTCGTTAACGATTCGTCTTCTAATAATAGTCTAGCTATTTTAAGCGAATTATAATAAGTTTACGAACGGTCGTCGGGCCGATATATAGACTATACTTAATAGTTATAGTTTAACTCTATTAGATCGGGGTAGACTTTTAAGTCTACTCCCTAGGGATATAGGATATATTTATTAGACTATTATAAAATAGAGGTATTTAGAGTCCGTTTCTAATACTTTTATAGCTATATTCGGGGAAGCTATAGGAACGATCCTACTTAATACTTTCGGGATTAACGAGTATAGGAGGTTTATAACTTATTCTCCTCGATAAAAGGGAAGGTACTATATACGTAGTTCTTTCCTTATAATAAAGGTAGCCTAGAATAAAAGAGGAATTTATTTTAATTTTCTAACTATAATCTTTTCTTTCTTTACGTTATTTCGTTATTATTTATACGTAGTTCCTTATATATTTCGTAGGTAATCCCCTTATATCTTATCGTCTTATCTTTTTATAAGTCCTATTTATTTCTATAGGAACCTTCTTTTATTATAGCGCGAGGTCGTAGTCGTAGTCGCGGTTATAATTATAGTTAGGGTTATAGTATAATTCCTATTAACGACCTATCTATAGACTAGTCTATACCCTCTTCTCCTTCGGCTACTTCTAAGATAGTATCTAAGGTTTATAACTATTCCGACGTAGATCTACTATCGACTCCTTCTCGTATAGATCCTATTAGGACTACTCGTCGTACTCGAAACTCCGGTTCTTCTACGCGCCCGAAACGAAATCGTCCTATCCGATATCGCTTAAATTAGTACGTTACCTATTTATATATAGCTAAGAAGAAGTAGGTTACCGACGAACCCCTTAAGGTTAAGTATAAATCTAAGGCTATTAGTTCTATCTCTTACTAGTATTATATAGAGAAATAACGGATATATAACTCGGTATAGATTCGTTCGCCTTTCTTATTAGTATCGGACCCTAATTATATAGGTTCCGAGTAGTATTACTAGTAACGCTATAGATCTAACCTTAATTATCGAATAGTCTACCTAATTTTTCGAAAAGCTAGAGGATCGCCCCGACTATATAGAATAGGATAGGGTTAACGGGTCCCGATTTTTCTATAGGCCTACTATCTAGGCTACCGTTAAGAATAGGATCCGTAGGTTAATCTCCGACTTTTCTACGTTAATCCGTAGTTATTAAGCTACTTATAGTTTCCCCCTATCTCGAAAGAAGACTCCTATCGTAAGTATTACCTTCTCCTTTTTAGGTATATTTCCCTAACGAATCGGTAGGATATCGCTAACGCTTATAAACGGTTCCTCTCTTCTCGAGGTCTAACCCCTTTACCTCGCCCTAGTCTTTTAGCTATACTAGCCGAGCGGAAGGCCTACGACGTTTCTATTCGCTACTTTATCCGCTATAGGGATTCGGGATATACCTTATAGAACGCTATAAAGTATTCGTTTATCGGGGATTTAATAATAGCGATTATTATAAGTAGTTAAGATACCGATATAAGCCCTATACTTTCCCTTAGTGTCTAGGCTAGCTTTCCGATTATATTAGATACGCTATAGGTTCGTTATATATTCGGTATAGTTTCCGGAATTATTCTATTTTCTCGTTTTTAAAGGTTATTTCTTCTATAATATCTTAGAGGTATTTCGATAGTAAAATAGGCTCGTTTCGATCTAGATTTATTATCTTCTTTTTATTAATAGGGTATTAAATTTAACCGTATACTTTAAGCTTTCTTCTTCTTTTCCTTAAGTTTTCTAAAGGACTTAATAGCTTCTTTTATATTTCCTATATTT